AGTCACTTCTACAGGAACTAGGAGATTTTCTATCAAACTGTATATGTTTTCGCTAACTCTTTGGAGGTAAGTCAGTGAGGTGTGTCAAACCCCAGAAAAATGGCTGCCACATCTTTTTGAGTGTTGTGCCACACCTCACTGATTTACCTTAAAAGCTTCAAGTAGCTGTGTTTTTCAAATCATTGGCTTTTTTCTCTACATGGTAGGAAATCGTTCAAAATCGTTTTTCCTTGGAAGAGATTTTTTGCAAATGGAGAATGCTGCGAATACTGGGTTATGTTACATGCTAAGTTTGCGCTACTACGTTAATCGCGAGGGAAGGAGGCAAGAATAAATGCATTTTATCCTAAACTTCGTAGTTTTCACAAAAGTGATTTGAACTTGGTTGATCTCCTCTAGTCTGAATATATGAAAGCAAAAAATGGGACAAACGAGCTTTGGCTTGCTCTTAAGGGCACCGTCCACCCAAAATTTCGACCTCCATGTTTTTGCCGTTCCAGGACCTTCTCATACCCCTGATTCCGAATATCAAGTTGGAAATCCGCGAAAACTTGGAAATCCCCTGCTTTCAGAACCCCCAGAGCGATTCGGTACGTGATTGGTTGGGCTCGCACGGATGGGCGGGACGAACGTCACGCCCACTCCGAAAGGGGAGGAGCCAGCGTCGCGAACGCGGCCTGAAGCGATTTCCGAAGCAATCTTCTCGGTTCGGAAGCAACTTCAGGCAGCGCGAGTTGGGCAATCATTTGGTTGGAGGCCCCGCATCTGCTAGGTATCATAATCTCACCAACCCCAATTTGGGCGGACGCCTTTAACTCCAGTTTGGAGGTCATTTGAAGAATGATTTCTAATAAGTGCGAAGATGTAGTAGTTCTTTGTAACAGGTGCAAAGTAGTTAACTCTCTTTCGAAAAAAGTTAGCATGTTTTGGAATGACCATCACACTTGCTTAGCCCTATATTCAAAACCTCAGAATTCGCTGAAACTTGGCCCACAGGGTTATTTGACATGCTGATTACGAGATGCTTCATGCATTTAGAGCTGGAAGGGGGGCTGGAATTTGGCAAAGGGGTGTAATCAAGCATGCTGATCACCCCCACGGGGGTGATCTGCATGCTCGATTACCCCCCTGTGCCAACTCCCAGCCCTGTAGCTCAAATTTTGCAAAAAATCGATAAAATCCATATCGATCGATACGAAAAGTAGCCTATGACACCCGCCCGGGCCCGAAGTGTATGTGTGCCAAGTTTGGTCCAGATCGATTCAGAAATGGAATTTTCTATTCGGAACATACGTACATACAGACATACATACAGACATACAAACAGACATTCAGCTTTATATATCTTATATAAGATTATTAACGGAAATCATGTTAATGCTAACATAAGTATCACTTACCCCCTCTCTCTCCCTGACCTCTCAACACACCAAGTGTTGCACGCCACATCCCACGCTTGACCCTGTTGATAACTCTCTTGTCTGCCTAATTTGCGAAATTTCAATCACCGTTCTCCACTTGAAAAACTAATTCATGTAGGATTACGGTAAAAACTTTTGGACGAGTTTTGCTCCAAAGATAGCTATAATGCCCAAAAAATTGTACAAGGAACCGTAAACTTTGCTGAATCAATCAGCGTCGCTTATCTAGACATAAGCATTGCACTTTCCCATGACCCCTAGTTCATAAGTTACTTCAGGTCCGCGGGAACGGTATTTCCTATGTTCATCGAAGAAGCGATTATATTAGGTTGTTGCAAAAATAATGTCCGTTTTGCAAATTTTTACTTTAGAAGGCTATAACTTCGTTCAGTCTGCATATTTTTGAATGCAGTCAAGACCCTCAGAAACAGCAAACTTTTCCTAACATAGCGCGCACCTGCCCCTACTGATATCGCAAACGGGAAGAGAACCATGGGTCAGAAAACTGAAAGTTTTTCTTTTAATAACCTCGTCTTCAAGAGCTTACAACTACCTTCGAGCTTTGTCCTTATAGTTGCTAATCAGCTTATGTTGTAGCTGCAGGCCAATAGTATACGTGTGCATAGAAACTCCAATGAAGGAGTTCTGCGAAAAGAAAAGATAAAAATACAAAAATGTTCACTCTTTTGAGCTTATTTGTTGTAGGCTTGTAAGCTACCAAATTACGAAAATTTGCAATTCTTCGCGCACTGAATAACTAAGTTTTTTTTTCAAATAATGTAGTTAAGGTGTGCTAATCTCAAGCTTACAGACATGGGCGAAGCTTTGGCGATTGCCTAAATTATGAGTGTCAAAGATGGACGCCGTGGCACCTATAGGCAATGATTATTGAATTTGATCTTGACCATGTACTTTGTACCGTGGCGGCTATAAATAAGGCCGCCCGGCCGTTGTTTTAGTCATTGTTATTGTCTGCTATTTCTAGTCTTCTAATAAATTTTTCTATTACTTTCTCTATCCTCACCTGGACATCCGCCCTCGCACTCACGAACCCGGTTAGTGCGTGACATGGGGGCCGAACCGAACCAACCCAACCCCGCCGATAAGACCGCGTAAGCGGAAAAGGCGAGTATCCTGCCTATATCAGAGGCAGTGTATATCCCCGATTCAAAGAGGAGCTCGTTGTGTGGCACACCGCACATCGAGCCTTCTCAGAGGACCGGAGGAGGGTGTCAGTTACACCGCCGTGGTCTACCTCTACAAGGGAGCAGCGGCGCGTGTACCGTATACTGACAGGTCCCTCTTGGTCAAGGGTTATACTTTGTGGCTTGTATCAGCTACACCGCAAGACCCAGTCTAGAGGGAGGAGGGGTATACGCGTGTGTACCGCGAGCTGATACATCGTCGAAATTGAATTTGTGCTGCAGGTGAAGCACAGAACAGGGATTTGAATAAAGCTCTATTTCGTACAGATACCGAGCTTGAATTGTTTTCATTGAAGAAGCCGATGGACACCATGCAGAAAATGCCGGAGTGTCAGAAAAGGGTTCCGCATACAATCCCGTCGACCGAGGATGAGGTCGCACAGGCAGATACTGCGGAGGTGTTGGCAGCAATGGCTCTTCCAGAGGTTGAGCTCTATGGAGATCCCCAAGGAAGGAACTTCGATGATTTTGTTTGCAGATTCATGATGAAGTATGGTAGACTTGGACTGCATAACGACATGCTAGTACATCTTTTTCTGTCTAAACTGGACGGATATCCTAAGACAGTAGCCGAAACACTATCAGCAAGGATACGGGAGAGTACGTTCGAAGAAATTGTAGAAGCACTGCGAAACACATGGAGCATAAATGAGTCTGCTGATCAAATAACTGCGTATGTACAACTCAAACATCTGCGGATGACAAAGGACATTACAGCCTTCTGTCTTGAGTTAGAGAGGCTTACGCGGTTAGCGTACCCAGACACCACAGACAAGCAGCTCTCATGGATAAGAGCTGCAGAATTGGTTTTGCAGTTGAGGGACTGGCCTGAATACTTCCAGATGTTCACCACCGTAGAGACAGTGCCGGGTGAATGCGCGTATGAGCTGGTGAAACCTATGGCGCTGCGCTGCGAACGTAGCAGGGAGATGGCTGTGGCGGTGCAACAAAGTACGGAACAAGTCGTGCTAAATGCATATGCCGATACATCCATTAGCGAGAGCCAGACTCCAGTGGTGGAAAAAAATTGTGTTATGCTAGATACTTTGGAAGCATCTTGCAAAAGGTGGCCACGCTGTTACAACTGTAACAAACCAGGACATTATAGTCGCGAGTGTGGAGAAAGGAAAACCTCAGCGTCAGCAAAGAAACTTGAACAGTGCCCAAGTAACTTTACGGCATTTTTGGATCGATGGATTTGCAGCTCGGCAAGGACACGATCGAGGAAGAATCAGCTGTTTGGGAAGCAAATGGTGCTAAATGTACGTTTGCTGGGATTGTTTCGAAGAGCTATGGTAGATACAGGCTCTCAAATCAGCATTATCCCCCTGAGATTGCTAATGATGAACATGAAAAAGGGATTTGATCTGAACGCGGACGTTGAAGAAATCCCGATTCAGCGGTTACCTTCCGCACACGATGCCTCCGGGAAACGGATAAAGTTCAAGGGAGCGGTGAAGCTCAACTTGCAAGTCGAGAGTGGCACCAAGCACAGAGTAGCCTTTTTCGTTAGAGAGGGAGGAGATGGCAGAGTTGTGCTCGGAACAAATGCGCTACCGCAACTTGGGCCATATATCGCTGATTTGAGAACTCATAGTGGCACAAGAAGGACAGTTGTCGAAAAATTCGTCCAAGTCGGTGTTCCAAGAAAACGGAAAAAGCGGGAACAAAGCTCGAGACTGCACCGCTAACCGAGATGTCTCCTAATCGTAAAGGAGTACGGGAAGAGGTCGCGAACTGTAAAGTAGCCTCCAGTACAAAAAGCAGGAGCGGTCGCTTTCAGCACGGCGTTAACTTGGCAGGGGCCAAGCTCACCGTGGCGGGGGAGAACACGAGGATCTGCAATCCTGTGCGGTCCCTGGAGCGACAGCTCAAGAGAGCCAAGAGAGGCAGGTTGTCAAAAGCCGCCAGGGATCGACTAAATCGAAATTCACAATGCTCTAGCTTAAGAAATGACGTGAAGACAACCGAGTCTGGTGCTGAATCACGTACTAAGAGCCACAAATATCGCATTAGACCCCTTAATTCTATTTTCAGGTATAGTCGTAGGTGGATGCAAGGACAGCCTCTTGATTTGGTAGATGATTGCCATGATGCGGGTAGCCAAGGTGGAAATCGGCCATTAATGGTGCAACAGCACTGCTTCTATGGAGGTGGGAGAAGACCTGTCGTCAGTTTCCTGGTCTCCAAGGGTCAAGACGCGAGAGTTGTCAATCCTCACTATGCACAAGTCACGAGTCGGGACGACTCTTACCGACGGAGGGGCATGTCAAAGATGGACGCCGTGGCACCTATAGGCAATGATTATTGATTTTGATCTTGACCATGTACTTTGTACCGTGGCGGCTATAAATAAGGCCGCCCGGCCGTTGTTTTAGTCATTGTTATTGTCTGCTATTTCTAGTCTTCTAATAAATTTTTCTATTACTCTCTCTATCCCCACCTGGACATCCGCCCTCGCACTAACGAACCCGGTTAGTGCGTGACATGAGAAATTTCTGACCCATAGAATGCCAGCAGTGAGTATCTATTTCGAGGCGTCAGTCCAGATATTTCCAGAATTCTAAATAAGTGCGCAGTAGGTAAACAATCTTCATCCAACACATTTGCTATGTTTTCAGAAGTATTTGTTTATTTGCTCCTGAATTGTGTTCAAGAAGGTGAAAGCTATGAGATTCTGATTTTGAGTGCAGGTGTGAAAAGTGCTCGTGAACATCCCACAGATGAGGATAGCAGCTTATTTCTACCATCGTTAGAAAGTACATGAAGAGAGCTTTCCAATGATATGCAGATTCTTATCGAAAAAAAAGTTTGATGGAAAAAAGTTGTTTGGAATATAGGCTTCAAAAAACGGACATTATTTTTGCAACAACCTAATACTTAAAAACTGCTTTACAGACTACACTAAATCATTTGCTGAGGTTAACTGGTAGTCAGCGCATCAAAACTCACCACGAAAGTTCTCGCTGATTTTGTACGCGTCATTTTCATGGCAGCTGATAGCGGATACGTCGTTATGCTAGTTACTGGCGTTTCCTATTACTGATGAGAGACAGAATATTAATTTCCAAACCCCAGCTTCGCTTTGAAAGGCACCGTCCACCCAAATGGGGTCGATGAGATTTTGATCCCTAACAGTAGCGAGTCTCCCAACTATCTTGCCCAACTTGCGCTGCCAAAAGTTATCCGAAGCGAAAAAATTGCTTCGAAAATATCCTCGGATGACGGAATCGCCAAGTTGGCTCCTCCCCTTTGAGTGAGCTTGAGTTCGTCCCGCCCATCCGTGCGCACCCAACCATCTTTCCGGAGAACTTGCCCTGCGCGTTTTGCGGAATGGGGAACGTTGGGAATTATCGCGGTTGCTCGACTTGATATTCGGAATCAGAGTCATGAGAAGGCTTCGAAACGACAAAAATGTGAAGATCGAGAATTTGGGTGGACGGAAACTCTACCGCATTTTTCGGACCCCTTGTATATGCTATGAGAGAGTACGTGTGAAGAGAATTGTCATCATAATCACCTGTACGGTCAGAAGAGATTGCCAGTACGAATCAGACTTTGTTCTTCTTAAGATTCATCAAGTGCACGCAGTATACAGGTTTGTGCATCATATTTACATGTCAACTCTGCAAGAGTACGTGATTGATAACGCCCTCTTCACGTGCTATTGCCATCGCCTATTGATCTCTTTCACAGCACTTCAACTATGCACTTTTGAGATTTTCCCCACTTAGAAGATGTAAACAGTATTATTTGCAATTTATTAGGCCTATAATACTTGCGCGAGCAAAGTACGCTTAAATTTTTGTAAGAACAAAAAACAGCGGCTGAGTATGTCTTTCGTCTGAAATCTATACTATCTACCCTTCACTCCCACGTTCGAATAGCGAACCTTATGTCCACTATCAGTTTGTCTATCTTTTATCAGACTCGGCCGACAACAAACCACTCTATCAATCGCGGCGGCTTGCAGCAAACTTCAAACCTATCTTGTCTATGACAAAAAATTTCTGACTTTGTTTCTGTTTCGACTTGAGCCCCTTCATATGTGTGCAGCTACCTAGCGAACGCCTCTCACTAAAACGATGTCGCGCCAAGTAAAACTCCATGAAATGTCTCTAACTAATTCGATTTTTAATTTTTTATTGAGAAAGGACTTCTGTTCTTTTTGCTCCAATTTTTGACTCTTTTAGTGACTACAGTCAAGAGGCAGTGGAGCTTGCACAATGTAGCCCCTAACTCGGAGTTGAAAAGACGGACTTCGGCGTATTAATCTCAAAAAACCGTCGGAACTCCGTAACTCGGTTCAAAATGATTTTCACGAGATCGAACTCTGTTTGGAAATGGGAATTACAAGGATTTGAAAAACTATCAAATCTGCTAAAATAACTTTTATAGAAAAAACTACCTTGGATCGCCGCGATGGAATAATCGCGACGAAATCGTCGCATCCCATAACTTTTGCTTCAAAAAATTCTTCTCATTTTTATTTAATATTTCATCAGTCTGTCCATTGTTGCTTCAAAAATATGGTCAAGAACGTACAAAATTCAATTTTTGTCGAATATTGAGCATGCAAATAATTATCGGATTTCCGACGCGGCGATACAATGAAAATCCTTTCAGTGAAAGTAAATTTGGAAAATCTAGTGATTATTCGAATCCTTTTCTCGCCGGCTTTCAAGAATTAGAGCCCGATCTCATGAAAATTATTCTGAAGTAACTCCATAAACTAACTATAGTTTACGGAGTTTCGAATTTTTATCAAGATTAACATGCCGAAATGTCCGTCTTTTGTCAGTTAAGGGCTGTATTGTAGCACCAGTGCGTCACCTCTGCTTCGCAGAGGTTCGCACTGGCTCTACTATCTATGTGTCTTACCCATTCTCGTAAAATCGTGGCACTGGAACTCACCGCGCTATACCGACTACCACAAATAAAATGTAAACAACCACTCATTCAGAAAGTCTTTTCGCGTGAGATCGGTGATTTCGCGTGGATGAAACTTTTCGCAGGAAGACAAACGCAAGTTTGAATAGTTTTTTGGATTTGTCATGATTTAGTAGTCGCCTTAAAGCTAATGATAACCGTCAGCTACATCTCTGTGCGAAAATCTTCTCAAACGCTTAGCTAGAACCTTGGCAAATTGACCAGTTACACAAACAATTCGTTTTGGCGCCGTTTTCGTTATGTAGTAAACTTTCGACCACTTTTCTGGCTAAACTCCATCGCTTGCACATTTGCTTACCAAACTCATCCACGACTCTGCAAAAAGTGGTGATACGGACCGAATTTTGCGGTACAGAAGCCAGGTGGACCCTTTTGGCGCGCAATTTCTGAGGGAACCACTCAACGAATCTACTCGTGCTTTTGCATGTTGGACTTTCATGAAGGTAGCATGCGCTATACAAAATTTGGGCCTAGAACGCTGGCTGGAACACGCTCCACGAATTTCGTAACACACACACACACACACACACACACACACACACACACACACACACACACACACACACACACACACACACACACACACACACACACACACACACACACACACACACACACACACACACACACACACACACACACACACACACACACACACACACACACACACACACACACACACACACACACACACACACACACACACACACACACACACACACACACACACACACACACACACACACACACACACACACACACACACACACACACACACACACACACACACACACACACACACACACACACACACACACACACACACACACACACACACACACACACACACACACACACACACACACACACACACACACACACACACACACACACACACACACACACACACACACACACACACACACACACACACACACACACACACACACACACACACACACACACACACACACACACACACACACACACACACACACACACACACACACACACACACACACACACACACACACACACACACACACACACACACACACAAGTCACGTAAACATCCTTAGCCCGTTATTATAAGTTATGATAGTACTAGTCAGTCACTCCTTGGTCAGATGGGTAGCTAACTATATATTTGCTGCGTTGAGTGTCTCGAGCTCTCGAAAGTGATAGGGTATGAGTATACAGACGCTCGGAGAGAACAAATCATCGTCGATCGACCAGTGTTCTCTGTCACGCACAAAAATTCTTTCGCAACTTTTTGTAGCGAATTTCCGAGAGAAAGTGTGAACAAGCGTTTAGCCATTTTGCCTGAAAAAGTGGTCATCATCTACTGTCCACTCACACGTTTCTTAATCTGAAGTGTTCTGAATTTTACTATTTGTTCATAATTGTTTCCTGTCACATCAGCCTGTCTTTTGAATAGCGTTTTTTGAGTTTCGATTAGATAAAACTGCATCTGATTCGACATTTGAATAGGGAGCAACATTTGAAAATGATGCTGACAAAATTTTGGCACTGTTAGTACATTTTTTTATCAGAGTCGGTTTATTTATAAAACCGTAGTTCATTTATAATTAATCTTTCCTGATATTGTACAATATATAGACATTGATCCGTCTGTGTCTCAACAGCCATGCATAACATACGGGAGAACTTCTTCTTTTGCTAACGATTTTGATTTGGATAATTCTAGAGATGATTTCTCTGATGTACTAACGTCGTATTTTAAGTAGTGCCGCACACATTAAGAATGGTAACAAAGGCTCAACCACTCGAATATGTGGATTCGCAAGGGACAATCTTCGAAGGAATACTCTATTTACCATATAACGTCAGCAAAAAGTGAGTCAAAGATTCTCTGAATGCTCTGTTGGTCTAACATTAGCAAAAGGGAAGAACTTCTCCAGGATAAAGCTTACGAGAAATTCCAAAATTTGGCAATCGATTGCAAAGCCTTTTAAGTTTCTTTTTAAAGTAACATACCTGTCGATAACGGAAAAAACATCCTAGCAATTAGGCGCCAAATTTCGAACTTCCTTTTATTTGTTCACACTGATCATATCAAAATCATTAATGGCGTATTCTAGAAGTTCCAATCATGACCATCCCGTTGTACTGGTCTTACATGCTTTTGGAGGACGAGGAGAGTTTGAATGCGAGAGAGCGGGAGAATTGGCAGAGGTTCGTTGAAATTCCTTTTTTGTAGGGAAGATAATCCTGCCTGAGCGGAAGTGGTGTTTGTTCTCTGCGGAGGCTTACGTCTTCCGAAATCTTGCGAAAGAGTAATAGGATATAGTGTCTACAGCTCGGATTCCGTTAAAAATGTCTGAGAAATAAATTCATTTTTACCTGAACAATTCGTTTTTCAGGAAGGGTTTGTTGCGCTCGCTGCTGACGTTTATGGCAAAGGTGTACGAGGATCCAGTTTTGAAGAAAACTTTGCGCTCATGAAACCTTTAATAGAGGACAGGCAAGGATTGTTGAAGAGCCGCCTTTTGGCTGCAGTCGAAGCAGTGCGAAAAGTCCCTCAAGTCAATCCATATAAGGTCAGTGTAAATAATGAAAAAATTTCATTGGTAATTTGCTTAGCTGTAATTGTCTGTCTTCGATCATAGAAGTATATCCGAGCAGTGCTTTTGAGTAGCATAGGTTAAGAAATTGCGCAAGTAACTTATTTTAACTTGTAAATAATCCAAATTTCTGGAATTTTTGGAACTTCGAAAACCATGTGAAAATCGCCGGCACAAGTAGGGAGGTATTCCACAAGATTTGCGAATGGCTAAGGCCAGCGGTTAACTCGAGAACAAGTTTTGCTGCCTCCTGCCCATTATATTATACTTTGGGCCCAATCAAATAAATATAAATTTATTCGAATTCGATTATTCGAAAATTACAAAATCTCGATTCACTACATGGAGTCCTTCATTATCCTAATTTGAACAAAATTTGTTTGAATATTCTACTTGGAATTTTTTTCGTTTTGAAAATATTCGATATTCGATCATACGACGACTTTCTTGTTTCGAAAATATTCGATTTTCGCATATTCGACATTTTTTGTTTCTGAGAATATTCGAAATTTCATTATTCGATATATTTGCTTTTCGAATGTATTCGATTATTCGATTATTCGAAAGAAAATTCGATTATTCCAAAGCATACTGCTCATCCCCCCGCCCCCTTCCCCCTGCCCGACGAAATTTCCCCGTCACTGCAACCGAATTAACATCACCAGCTGAAGACTTTGCAACTTATGTACTCCTCTAAGGTATATCTCAGGTGGGCGCGATTGGGTACTGCTTCGGAGGATTGTGTGCTCTAGATCTAGCTCGGCACAGTGTCGGCTTGAAAGCTGTTGTATCTTTTCATGGCACTCTTAGTCCGCTCCCAGACACTGAACTGACTCCCATATCAACTTCCGTCCAGGTGAATGAAAAAACTTATCCTTGCATTAGTGCTGCATATGTGATTTAGGTTCATCACGGTGACGCCGATATACATATAAAAACTCCGGTAAGCTTGCTCTAGTATGCCCAGTATCTGAACAATTCTTCACACTTATTAGATCCTCGAGTTTATGGAAGAGATGAGGCAAAGAGAGGCGGATTGGTCATTTACGTCTTATGGAAAAGCAGAGCATGGATTCACAGAACCACGTAAGTGCATTACAAGAAAACGGAAACGTTATTGATTTTTATCCCCCCCCCCCCCCGCCCATCCAATTTAGAAAATTATTTGGACTTTGCAAGATTCTCTCAGGTCAATTTGATACGGAAAATGGTATCGGGTACGTAGAATCCCAGACGTTTTTAGGTAAAAACGTTGCAGAGTCGTTGTATGTATTAGGTTGGTCCGAAAGTTCGTGCCGTTTTTTAGACCTAGACAAGCATTCTGCAAAGTGCTCTATGCAGAATTTCTTCCTCTTTCCAACATCTATGTTTACGTTGTGACTGTTTCAACGAGCGCTGAGGTAATTGCCGAAAACTAGAGCCCTTTATTTTACCATATCTAACTTTCGCTAATTTTTAGAATTTTTATTTTAGGCTTTTGAAAGTGCTTCAATTACCATCTGAAAGGGCAAACCTTTTGCAAATTACAATTTCTGCATCTGTGTGACATGCTTTCTAGAATTACTGAAGTATATTTTCTGAGGTGACCAAATTTTAGAGTTGGCTCATAACTTCGCAAAACATCAGACGTTGAACAGTTTAGGTACCATTCGATGTACCTTTTTCTCCTCTTTCTGACAGCTTTTCTTCGCGAAGCATGCGACTTTTGCAAATAAAATCGCTCTACTTCTCAATTTTAGGGATGCGCAAATTTGTAATCGAAATTCCAGAATCTATCCATTTTCACGCCGTAATCGCTAATTTACTTCGTAGTGCTAGTGATAGTAATAACGAGTTTTAGAACTTCAATATTCTGGAGATTTCGCTGTGTTTGTTGCATTATGCGTCACGCGATATTTTCAAAATTCAAGACTCTGGTAAAATCATCCAGCAAAAATTCTAAAGAGGAGGATGAAAAATGCAAAAGCATCGATTTGAAAAAGGTATGGCTTATCAAGTGGTTATTAGAGCACCCTCAAATTCTAAAATGAACATTTTGAAGATTAGCGAAACTTGGACATGGTAAAAATGAAGGATTCTAATTTTCGGCAATTATCTCAGCGCTGGCAAGGCAGTCATGCATAGCGCTGGAAAGAGGAAAAAATTCTGCATCGGATAGTGGTCTAAATTTGTCTATCATCATTAACGATTTCAGAATAGGTCCAAGAAAGGGCACGAACTTTCGGACCTACCTAATACCTACTCTTTCCGGCGTATACCAGCAAAAAGTAGATTAGCAAGTTAAGCAGGCGGTTTCGTGATTTTCAGAGCCGCAGCAAAACAATGAGAACGAGGTGTGCGATGGCTCATACTGGTTTAAACTTGGTATTGAGAAAAAGTTATGCAGAAAATTTAAGAAATTATGTAAGAGTAGATACCTCTGGTTTTTTGATGCCCCTCCGTAGCACCCAGATGGCATCGTTTGACCAACTCTTTGCCGACTCGCTCGCATTTTTATTCACGAGTGATACAGCTTGCACATGTGCTACAAGTGTTCTCTATGTTATATCATCATCTGCATGTTAAGTTGAACGACTTATCTCAGCAATATCATAACTTTGCGTTCCGAGATTTATTTGCGTTGTTAGAGAATCTATCCGAGCATGTTACAAATGTATTAGGTTGTCCCGAAAGTTCGTTCGCACCATTTTCAAAAAATCATAACTTCTTTGCATCATAACCGTTTTAAGCAATCTAAATTTTATTATAAAGCGTAAAACCTGCGGTTTCCAAAAACTCCCTGGTGAGCTTTCGACATGCTCATATGGCAGAGATAAAAATGAAAGAACGAAAACATCCGAAATTCCGAATTTTTGAGCAAAAATTCTAGAAATCTAGAAACTGCGCGATAAAATCCAGAAAAACCATTATCCTAATTTTTCTTATATTTGATTACTAACTGAGTTAAGTTTGGGCTGATCGAGCTCTTCTTTCAAAAGTTATGATTTTTCAAAATAGAATGCCGAAAAATCAATTTCTTAGGAATTCTTAGTAAAGTGATTTTTCGGAATTTTTTTCAAAAAATCATAACTTTTGAAAGAAGAGCTCGATCAGCCCAAACTTAACTCAGTTAGTAATCGAATATAAGAGAAATTAGGATAATGGCTTTTCTGGATTTAATCGCGCCGTTTCTAGATTTTTAGAATTTTTGCTCAAAAATTCGGAATTTCGGATGTTTTCGTTCTTTCATTTTTATCTCTGCCATACGAGCATGTCGAAAGCTCCTCAGGGAGCTTTTGGAAACCGCATGTTTTACGCTTTATAATAAAATTTAGATTGCTTAAAACGGTTATGATGCAAAGAAGTCATGATTTTTTGAAAATGGTGCGAACGAACTTTCGGGACAACCTAATATATACCCATTGTAGACGCACGAATGAATTTTTCATACTGCCAACAAACCAAAATTTGCTATAATTTCTTGTGGAGGTGTAATTAAGGGCAATAACAAAATCGCTTTCTTTGTTTACTATTTATAACTCCAAATTTTAGATATTGGTGAACTAGGTCACAAGGGTGTCTCATACAACAAGGAGGCAGACGTTAGATCATGGGCTGCTGCTATCGCTTTCCTCAAAGAACGACTGATGTGATGATGCGAGTGTCATTGTGCATTTCCTGTCCATGATATTTGTCCAGACATTTTATTTGTTTATATTTTATTGACGTACTAGCTGGGATGCCCGGCTTCGCTCGGCCCTGTCAACGTGACATGATGAAATTCACCATCCCTTTGGGTGCATAGCAAGTAGTACCCAGGCCACCGACTGCTACCGCAGCCAGCAGCCAGAGCTGGCGACAGCGCCACCGCATATAGTAAGATAATCACGCTAGCCGTCTGAAATCACCTACCAAGATTTTTCCTCGCACCACGCCGCGCAGAGATGCGATATCAGCCTCAGGGACAGCACTTTTATCGATATTTATAATACATCATTTTGAGCACTGATAGCCGAATGAACAAATTTACACAAAACAGAGTTTTCTTAAAGGAGAACGGTCATGCAACTCAATTCTTCAAATAACCGGAAGTTGAAATGATTCAAGATGCAAAATAATATCTAGTTATCGAAATTTTTTTCCGAGATTCAAAATCCGGGAGAACGTGCGAGACATAATGAAAAACAGTCTGTTAAAATTAGCATTTCAAGACTTGGTGATGTGAAGCAAGCTGAGTAATCCAAGGTATGTCAAATAAATGAGTAGTTCACTGGTAAAAGATGGAAATATTAGGTCGGCCCGAAAGTTTGCGCTGTTTTTCAGACCTTTCCTCTACTTCACAACACAGGGTATATATCATTTAGTCTCTGACTAAGAGACACGAGCACGCTTTGCGTACGTTTGATTAATTAGTTCTTGAGTGAGTTTCAACTAGGTTCTTGTAAGAACATGCTCGAGTTTATTGAATATCGCGACTTCGAACATATTCTTTATTAGTAACTTAGGAAAACGCGTTAGCGTGCTCATGAACATGTTAATCAAACTTAGGCAACGCGTCCTCGTGTCTCTTAGTCAGAGAATGGATGATAATGATTCCTCTTAATCGCATACCCTTAACGGCAGTGTCCGGGCAAAAAGTCGATTCTGAGAATTTGTGCTTACCCAGGCCTATTCGCCATGCTGAATCCGAAAAACCACACACACTGGAATGTGCGAAAACGGCGAAAAAGGGCTCTGGCGTAGAATTAAAAGGGGGCGGGGTCTTCCCCACGGTGAATTCACGGTCTCAGCTTCCGGAGCGATCTTTTTAATCCCGCTGACCGTCCTGACATCTCCACAGACCAAGTGCGTATGCATGTCTGAAATCGGAAGCGAGAGAATCGCTCCGAAAGCTGGGACCTTGAACTCATCGTGGGGAAGACCCCGCCTCCCTTTTAATTTTACTCCTAGCTAGAGCCCTTTTTCGCCGTTTTCGCGTTTTCCAATGTGATTTTCGGATTCAGCATAGCGAATAGGCCTCAGTAAGCACAAAATTTCAAAATCGACTTTTTGCCCGGACACTGTCTTTAATTACCGCTCTCAGTCATCATGAAATGGAAACGAGTTCTATCGCTAGTGTTCTCACGAAAGTTGGGGATGGTTTGATAGTAATTGATGAAATTCATTTTTCTTCAGAATCAGTAAATCAATAGAATGAGTGGGAATTCTGTCGCGGAAAATAGACGACGGATCAGACCGGCGTCGGAAACATATGTCTGCGAATTTTGTACTGTTTGATCCACACACAAAAATATAAAGAACACACTAACTAACAATTTACCAACACTCAGCTTCATGTCAAAGATTATTATAATAGTCAGAACCAAAGTTTGGCACGTTTTGATGCATTGGAATGTGACAAACGGTGGTTCAGACTTTTGTAGAGTTTATCAGATAATGACAATAACACCAAAGCGCTTTTTACTCGAACAGAATCCAAACAGATGTACAAAGGCTAGGGGAGCGAAAAGCCGCCAGTTTCGGCCGCGCGGACTAGTGGTCCTGGAACGACATGCAACAACACTGCAAAAGGTCCAGTTGGCCGCGAAAGGCGGCTCAGACTGGTGGCCTTCGCTCTCCTACCCGATGTACAAACAAGAACGCTATCACTCCCAGCCCCCTGCTTTCATAGCAGGGGAGTTAGGGCAAGTAGTGCATCTATATCGAGAGCGCGACAGGCATATTAACCATTTGGAATACATACATAAATGAAATTAGAAATAGCATAAATAAAATTCAAACACTGAGCATCTTAATACATAATGAATTGAGCTAATGAGAATTCAAAGACCGGATAAACATAGAAACATAACTACTTAAGCAACTATTTGAAAGTGTGCCGGAAGCCGCGTATCGGGCACAACAAAGTGTTGTCTTCCGGCGCTGCAGCTGTCGCATGGCTCCTTGTGGCCGATGCGGAGACACCGCTCACATAGACCCAGGCGGGAGGCCTGGACCGCCCGTGAGAGGGGTCCCTATGCCATTTTCCAAGCAATGGTGATGGACGTCCAGACCGACGAATAAATTTAGCATCGATGGCCAATAGGGCCTGAACGCTGGGAGACTGGAGCTGTTTAGCGTCCATCTCTTCCACCATCTTCGTAAAGACCGGCATAGTTACTACCGCCGCTACCAGTGGGAGGTTTTATATAAGGTAGCTTGACTTGATACACTATCTATGTACAAGTTGCTCAATTCTTCGCAGCAAAGATTATCCGTGTATCCTAGATCTTGTCGGATAGGGTAGCCAGCGGCAGTTTGCATTTTGAGGTTACATTAACAATCTAGTTTAAATGAATGTTCGACATTGATCAATACAGAGTCGACTCACCTGGCTCGGTCACGTTGGAACCCATTACAGGATGTTACGAGTGCCAAAACGGAGCTGAATTCATAAGCTACTGCAAGTCATACGCAGTATCTCGTCACAATGCTTTGCAACGACCATTCATTCACACTCAATTGCGACGAGTAATAGAACAGCTGTAGCAATGCTCTAATTTGACGCAGCAGCTATGGAGCAAAAATGCTTTGCGAGTTGCGCACAGAAAAGAATTGAGACATATATAGGTGGAACATTACACTATCACGCCAGGCATCTACAGAATAGAATACTCGAAGTTTAATCAGAAAGTAGAAGCTGGGTAAAAATAATCAGTGATGTCATATTCCAAACATGCAACCACTTCTCAAAATTTAAAAAAAAGAAAGGAAATTATCTGCAGCGGCCATAGCAGCGATATCAGTTGCACTAACAAGGAGAGGAAGGTTGGTCGAAGTGGCCTTTTGGAATGAGATGTGTCCTGCCTTGTAGAGCTTGGAACGCTGATTCCAAATCTACCTTTGCTATCTGCTGCGGACATCTGGGCGAGGTGTTAAGAAGATTTTTGGGAGTAAAAATCTGAATGCAAGAGTAGGCTAAAATCAGTCGTAACATTTTTTATAGGGCTTAATTGGTAGTCGGGTCACTCGGTGCAACAAATATTCTTGATTCAAATATACCAGTTCGGGGCTGCCTCATTTGAACATTGGGAAAAGGTTACAACTGATTTTACCCTATATTTGCATTCAGATTTTTACTCACAAAAACCTTCATAACTCCTCGCCCAAAAGCCCGCAGTAGATAGCGAAGGTAGATTTGGAATCAGCGTTTTAAGCTCTACAAGGCGGTATACACCTCATTTCAAAAGGCCACTTCGACCAACCTTCCTTCCCTTGTAAGAATAACATATTCATGCGGATCAGCAGCATCATTTATGCTAATCAAGATGGCCTGGGTCACGCTTGAAATTGCCTGGGTCGGTAGTAATCTGGTTGAAACTCCGAGTTTGAAGCTCCGCGTTAACTCAGGGATAACTCTGAGTTCCGTTTTTGAAACTCTGAGTTACGCTTATTGAAACTCTGAGTTCCGCTTTCGTAATTCCGAATTCCAACTCCCAAGCTCGGAGTTTTGCTTTGAGGAGCTGTTAAGCACTTTGCTGCAAAAGCGACGTTAAAGTAGGGACTCGAACCTGTACGGTCTGGCGTAAAGATCCTATCACTAAACCGCTAGACCATGGCACACCCATGAACCTTAAAATTGCTTTGCCATAATGTACTCACTCATTCCATTAACACTTAGCATGTCAAAACAAGTTATACCAAAGCCTCACTCATTTCCATTTCTATCGGGCAGTGATGGTTTATCACGAGGATTGGTCTTTTGCGCAGCTGAAAGCTTCAAACAATAGAGAAAGCGGATGGCATACGCAATGATAAGAATTGACTATTAGGATTTGCGCACAGAATATATCCTCCGGGCAAAGTTTGCCCTTCCATGATTTCGTCTTACTTACCGTATACCTACCGTAATTGTTCCATATGTCACCAGTGTATGTAGCAGATAGATTGTCCGTAATCTGCATCCCGACTAACTCCAGTGCACCAAATCTCGGCTAATTCCGCCGCTTTAATTCATCTACCGTAAACCTACCGTAACCTTATCAGATGACACTGCAGTATAATATACATGTCATATTCGTTATCGGCGCCCCGAATAACCCCAGTGTACCAAGTTTCGATCAGTTTCGTGATTTTCTCCCATCTACCGTAAACCTACCGTAACACATCTACATGACCCCATAGTGAAAAATGGGAACCATATGCGTGACCAGCGCGCCGAATAACCCCCTGGGCCAAGTTTTTCACCGTTTTTTCACCAAATCACTGCGCACCACGATACCCCTATCATGCCTGCTTAAACTACGAGCAAAATGTACCCCGGAGGACTTTTTAGCTGCCCCCCTTCTTTTGCGCGCTATTTCTCTTTCTCTGACCAAACTCAGAGTTATCTCTGAGTTACACGATAGACTGTAACGCGCATCAAACTCAGAGTTATCGCAGGCACTAGTTGCGCGTTTGGTGGCGCTGTTTCTTGTGCAGGACGATTTGGACAATGTTGCGCTACTAGGAATAAAGTACGTGTTAAGGAGAATCCTGCCATATCATCGCTTTCCGGATTTGATCTGTTCAAACACCTGTTAAAGGGGTCAAAAAGTTGCGCGTTAGCTTAGAGATAACTCAGAGTTAACTCTGAGTTATAACTCTGAGTTTCGATAGGTTTACTACCGACCCTGGAGTTTCGCCTCTGCGATTAGACATTTGTAATACTGAATCTATCAGATAATGACAATGACAACAAAGCGCTCTTTTTCTCGTCCTTTTCGCAGAGGACGAGCACGTCATAAATGTCGTAGTTGCTGGGCAGACAAAGATAAATAATGCGCCCAGCACGGAGACGCAAAAAGCGCACCCGACTGGGCGTCGAGTACGCCGAGTTCGTCCTTCGCGCACGGACCGTAGGCACACACCACAAGGTTCACGCCAATTGCAATCGATATCAGCAGCTGATAAGCGCCTCAAATGTCAAAACGCTGAGCTATTCTTTATATTTTTCCCATTTCTGCTGTACCTTTTCATTCTCCTACTGCTATACATTTGCTTTGCTCACCAAAAATTTCTTTTGCATGTCACGATCCCTTTATTAACACGGCGTAAATTCTATATGCTGCTCTTTAGCTGTACACCAATCGTCCCCCTTTTGTTTTTGAGAGGGGATACCCCTGGCGTCATGGTAAATGGAGCAGCTCGTACTTGCTTCAAACAAAACCATTGAATTTATTGCGCTTTCAATATTCTATGTTTTACACTATTATTTTCCCTCACTACCACTAAATTCAGAAATATCGTTCATTTGCGCACAAAAACAACTAGCGAGCAGCCTGTAAAACACGAAACCACGTGGGGCTCGTACTTCTCACCGTTAGCTCAGCAGTGTGCGGCATCGGCGCTGCGCTATCCGCAATGCTTCCGTAGGGAGCCATCAGTAATCGGCCTCGGTAATCATGGTGGGGCAATATACACTTTTACAATTGTTACACGACATTTCTTTGGAATTTCCACGCAGACTACTTACATACACTTGCCGCCATTGCTGAAAGCTTTTTCCATAGTTTCATATGATCTCTCTTAATAGAGGATCAGAAATATCCTGCAGCGATACGTCACTCATCAATCGTTGCAAGTACGAAACGTTGCCATAAACTATGCGTAGCTAAACTTTGCGTAAACTATCCTTTTCAAAATATTATATAATCTGCGGCTATCATTTTCTCCAAACCGTAAAAATTAATTATTTACTGTTAGCCATGTCGTAACAGACATAGACATAGGTGAGCCCCTTAGAAAAGCAGATCCCTGGTCAGAACAACGCCAGGGCCAGAAGCCACGATATACCGAATGGGGCACCCAAAAAATCAATAAGATCATAAGAAGATCATACTATAACGTACTATATCATACTATATACTATATCATACTATATACTATAACGAACACTGTTGGGGCCTGCATGATGGCGAAAGTCGGACGTGCGTACGGCCATTGCGCCGCGCCCGTCAGATGTGCGTCCGACGACTCAGGTAGGTGCCAGACTTATCCTGTTCACAGGTTCATTCGGTTCACCACCTTTGCTGTTGGACAGTGTAGTGCGAAGCGGATAAGTCTGGCACCTGCCTTAGTGACATCGGACGTACGCAGCGCAATGGCCGTACGCACGTCCGACTCTCGCAATCATGCAGGCTCCTATAACAAGTTAAGCGTTCGCACCGTCACATTATCGCGAAATCTAGCGACAACGGGAAAACATGAGACTAGGTTGAAGCAACTGAAGCTAAGGCCCTGGCCAGACTTCGCTCAAAAGTGCCCAAAAGCGCTCAAAAGCGCCCAGAAGCGCTCAAAAGCGCCCAAAAGCGCTCAAAAGCGCCCAAAAGCGCCCAAATTTCTCTGGTCTTCACTTTCTCATGTGAGGAGAGATGAGAGAGAGTGAGGAGAGGTTAGAGAAGTTTGGCGCTTTTGAGCGCTTTTGAGTGCTTTTGGGCGCTTTTGAGCGAAGTCTGGCCAGGGCCTAACAAGGCAGATTACCTAACGTAACAACAGACAATTGAGAATCGGCATGCAATACCAGCGAACTCATGAAGAAATGGACGCCAAAACCACCATAGCGTTTCCTACGACTACGACAAGGATTTCGAACTGCGGCGTTACCCGCCAAAATCAATTATGCCGAGATGGCATAATTGATTGACGCATAGCGCGTTACGCACCCTCCCTGCTTTAGAGCAACTGTGCCTCAAGTCACACCAATAACATTTTCAACACGTCAAGACTACTAGAACATAAGTTAGGAGCACAAAACACTTTCCGATCTCAACAACCGTGCCTCGCGTCGTCTCAAATGCAGGAAATTTCGCTCCTCGTCTTTTTCCAGCTCTCAAGGCTCAACACTCGCCGTTATCCAAACTCTTTCACACTTATTCATTCTCCTCTTCCCGCCTTTCATCTCCTATCTTCCTGTAGTCCTCACGTTGTTAAGAATGTAACGTCTACTAAAATTTCCTCCTCCGTAAAGCCAATCTGCAAAACTCCTGCTCAGCTTCATCCATCGAACTTAAGCAAAGATGTATGTAATAACAAAGAGAGGATACTTAGGAAAGCACCAATCCAGATGAGGCAATATCATCTTAAAGCGCTTGAAACGCTGATTCCAAATCTGTAGTTTTTAGCAGCGGAGCAGTTTTGTAGAAGGAGTTATGAGGGGTGTTTTTTTGGGGGTTGAGGCGCCCTTCAGCAGGTCTCCCCTTATCTATGAGCACTGTAGAGGAGTACCTGGTGGCAAGTGGCCTGGTGATAAGTGCCTTGCTTGATTAAGAGAGTGTCAAGTTTTTAATCTCCTTCGCATGCAACTTTATCGCAATTCTTGAGCTTTTGAATGGCTCTAGAGCCCTAAAGCCTGAAATTTCGGATGATATTGATGCTATTTGAAATTGGAAGTGTTAAAAATCAAAGTAATACGAGTATTATAATCCTTGATGTAATCTTCATTCAAATTACCACTAGCCAGTTGCTACCAGTTGGTACCAGTAGGATAAGGGGAGACCTGCTGGAGGGCGCCTCAACCCCAAAGGGAAACACCCCTCATAACTCCTTCTACAAAACCGCTCCGCTGCTATATACTACAGATTTGGAATCAGCGTTTTAAGCGCTTTAAGACGATGTGTGTCTCATCTGGATTGGTACTTTCCACTAAGTATCTGCTCCTTGTAAGTTTTCAGTGAAAAATCATCTGACGATTTTGTCATCTTCATAAAATCTGACTTGACTCTCTTCAGACGTACCATTAAGAAACACTAGAAAATTTTTTCTAAACATAGACTATAAGCACAAACCATCAAACATTCCGCAACCACGTGGAATCTCACATAACTAGTATCCTCCACCTAGAATACATTCCTCTGGCAGCCCTGGCAAGACTTAGACCCTCAGCCTTTGGTTACTCCAACGTCCTCTCCTAGGTCATTACTTTTTCGCATATAAGAAGACGCACGAATTTGCCAATACTGCCACGTCTATCCTTTGTCTTCTTTGTCGACAATCAACACATTTTAACAGTGTACTGTCGAAACACGCTATGCAGCTTAATGATGAACTATGCATACTCTTAGAGATATTGGCGATTGAAAAGTGTGTACTTACTTTTGGGACACCCTGTATAAAACTCAAACACTGTAACTCTGTTTGTTAAGATGTTTGTGGCTTATAGACTCTTTTGCGTGTGAACCGAAAAGGCTGAAATTCTCTCCCAATAAACAAGCCACGGCGCAAAAGGTAGGCTACTTTTCGCGACGACTCGCTGTGTCCTTCCATCAATTTATTGATTTGTTTACTTACATCTAGCAAAATGAGCGCTTATCAATCTGTTTATTTCCCCAAGTTAAATAGAAGGAGGGCGGTAACGACCAATTACGCGGCGAGAGCGGTGCGGTTTTAGAAGAAGCGAGCTCCAAGGAGGAAGACAATTACTGCGGGTACCACAAGCGCCGCAGTGCAAACCAGGAACAGAAGCAGGAAGGAAGAAGGAAAGAGATCACGAGAATCAAGAATGGAGAGAAAGGGAGGGAGTAAGTTATAAAACTCTTTGATAACCATGCTAGGCGGTTTATCACTGTCCGGGCTGGGCCGGGGATATTAGCGAGTACTTACTAAAGCTCTTATGTACAATATGCGCCGCACTATACCATCGCGTAAACACGTCCACATAAGAAATTGTGATTACTATACACACTACACATAACTGCTACGCCCTAACATCAATTGATTTCTTACAGGATGACGTCATAAAGAAATCACCTGTTCTTGCAGACATATCCGAGTATGACACTACATCTTTTTCCGACTGCACCCCGTGCACTGTGCCATCTGCAGCAAATGAATGTATCTTCTTCTCATTTGTAACTCAGTCTGCATACTGCACACCACTCCGCTACGACTTGTGAGACTAGAATCTATTGATTTCTTAGAATTTCTCCCTACAGCCTATCCTCCTTAAACTTGGTTGTATTGAATAATAGTACACACTTTTACAGTTTATTCCATCAGAAAAGGTATCGGCAAGTTTTTAGAAGGTGTCGTCGCTTGTGCCGCGCAGCGGGCTCACATATACAGTTCCAAATACCTTGCGCATGATTATTACAATCAATGCATCGAATAGCCACTTTGAGCAAATATTCAAACGGATTCTGCGAAGTGACTTTTTACTGTGCCTACACTATCCACACAAAGTGCCATCAACAGCAAATCAATGTAAATGTTATCAGCCCACTGAGTAATCCATCCAAACAAGAAATTTTTTATGACAACTAGCGTATACCTACCGTATCTTGTAAATTGTGACACATCTAACTACTGGAAGATGCGCCTCGCCGAGCTAAATCGAATACTACTCTTAGATATAGAATTCACAAAATTTAAATCAAGATAAGGGTATTTCGACGATCTCTGAAGAAGTTACGCGGCGGCTGCCTAGCCTTAGGCGCCCATCGGCTAACTTTGTCACCTAACTTCGGTGCCCGCCGCCTAACTTCGGTGGCCGCCGCCTGAGTCAAGCTGCCGCCGCCAATTTTTTCACAAATTACGAGCGGTATTGTATATATCTCTAAGGGCCGCATGCATTAGCATCCTTGCCGGGAGGGGAGGGGGGAGGTAGAGGGAATAGCAGCTCAAAAGAAAACAATACCGAAGCTCCAAATATCTGGATTTTACGTTATCTATCCAACCCTAGCAGGGCTCGCCATGAGGTGGCTTTTTCACTTTTCCAAAAACGAAGCCCCCGCAGACTCGCCACAATAATACGACATCACTTATGATGCGATTATGAATGAATCAGAACGAATAACGAAAAATATCGGAACAAAACATAAAAACAGCTTTGAACAAACGAAAAGAATTAAAAATGTTTGTATTGTCTGGATTAGCGACATGTTGTGTCCGGCGCACACCATTACTGGAGCAGTTGCCGTCACCATACAAAATATATAGAGGGCTGTAACTAGGCCAGGAAGAGGGGGTTCAGGGAGATTCAAAAAATCATTATAGGGTTTTTGATGTAGAACGAAGTCATGTTAAACATATGGATAACTTATGTGAAGGAAAGGAAATTTATGACTTTTCTTTTAAGAGCCACCTTAGGTGGCTGTCCAGGTGGCTGGAAAGCCACCTAAGTCCGAAAAGTTTGCTACGCTTTAAGTTCACATAATTTTTTCATAATTTTTCGTACATACTACTAACTCCCTATTGCCATCTACACACCAATTTTGGTGTCATTTCGTTTTCTCTTCGCTCTAAACAAGTCGTTTGTTTATTTCGGGGCAAATTTGAATTCACGCGCCGGCGAACCTGTTGAAACAGGAAGTTTTTGGTTTTTGCAATAATGGGATCGACAAGGCAGGAACGACAAATTTGTGTCTTCTATAAAAAATGAAAGGTAATATGCAGGGAGAGAGCGATTGTATGTGTGGGAAGTAGGGGGGGGGGGGGGGTCCGCTTAAACGATATATCTTATAACGATATATAACGATATAAGATAACGATATATTAACGATATATATTTGCTTTCAATCCAAAACAATATCCAGCTTGCCCCGTAAGCCACCTGTGCCAAGCCCTGGACCATAATGATTCTCCTACCCTTCACAATGAACTTATTAAACAGGGGAGAGAAGCTGTACAAGAAGCATTTCCCGATTTCTTATGATCCTGATGATCTCCGGCAGACGACCGTCTTTTTCAAAATTATTCTTTTCTTTTCAAAGTGGATGGCAACGTGCCAAACTTTTATCGGTCATCTAACCGGGCAGTGCTAACAAGAGAATGGTCAGAAATCGAAGTGACCAATCCAGACAAGCTGCATACCATTAGATGCATACCACGAAGCGCTGACTCTAAATTTGTGTTCCTTACCTGCTTATCGCTTTTCTAGACGAAGCTGTGAGCCATTAAAGACCATTAATTTGCTGAGAAATTATGCGTGAAACTGGAAATTTAGCCTTAGCCACGTTCGCCTTAATGCTAGGCCAAAACATGCAGATAGCTTACTAACTTTTACTTCAAATTTCTAAAGGCAGAAGCTGAGCTAAAAGGCAACAATGTGCTCAATTTTGCTGTTTTTATGTATGATTTTCTCAAAATAAACGGCTTGTCCACAGAAACGATAAGCAGATAAGGAAGACATATTCGAAGCCAGCGTTTTATACGCATCGAATGATATACAGCTTGTTTGGTTTGGTCACTTCGACCTCTGACCATTCCTTGTAAGCATTTCTGATGGGAAGAAATGATGTACTGATGTTTTGAAATTCGCTATGACACAAGTCAAAATTTGGGGGTTGTCGAAAATTTCGATGTTTCAATGACTCATTTATTATCAGGTTAGGTAATCGGGTTAGGTAATCGGTGCAACCACGGCTCGGCACAGGTGGCTTGTAAGCCAGCTGGTATCGTTTTTTGGGACGAAAAGCAAAGGGGGTTTCGTTTTTGTGACCGAAGAGACACGGAAAATTGGCGACGCGACCTTTTTTTTAGTCGACGTTTCGTTTTTTGGGGGATTTTGGGGAATTTTTCAGGTTTTTACGTTTTTTCCATTTTCATCTAGCCACCTCGTGCCGAGCCCTGGGTGCAACTTTGGAACGTTTTCCTTGACTTTGAAGAAAAAAAACGAGTTCGAAGAAAAGACGGTTGGCCGCTGTGGATCACAGAGATCAGACAAAAAGCTGGAAAGGCTGCGCCTTTCAGCTTCTCGATCCCGCTGAATATGTTTATAGTAGTGAAGGATAGTAAGAACACTTACCGTTGAATAGACGACGTGAAATCCAGACATGTGAAGCTTTATGATAAAACTTTCTTCAGCTGCAGTTTCCTCATTCAGAAGGGATGCTAATGCTTGCGGCCTTAACTCACGGCGGGATGTGGCATATATGGAACTACCTGTATTTGGGGAATCACTAGATTTAGCCATTTTATCGATTTGGATATGAACTGATAAACAGCAAAACAAAGGGTCAGTTCAAAGCAACTGACCTAAGAGAAAGCGAGCGCCGAGAAGTGAACTGGTATCACTACCGCATATGACCGGAATACCAGTTTTATCACTTGATGTTCATGAAATCTATCAGGTATCGAGTGATCAGCAACTTGCTATTTCGTTCGCTATGATATCGGCTGATTACCATCGCAACTCTAGCCTTTCAGCATCTACTTCTAAGCACCAGTTATCGTAACATTTTTTGATGATGAGGTCATGGAGCAGCAACTCTGCGTTTTGCCAAAATGATTGTTTTTGTTTGATGTAAGCAAAAACGAAACGTTATAAAGATTTTTGTTAAGCCAACATCTCCTTCGATGAAGTTTTTTCTATTTTCTGTAAAATCAAGTAAAAATAACTTTTCTCATATCCCTCTTTGCCAACTATTAGTGGTCTCGAAAGTATTTTCGCTTTCTTTAAATACGCGCCATTCGCGAAACAAAGGTTCATAGAAGATCTTGGCAGTATTCCATGCAATTTTACTCATTCAAAAGTTATCTTTATAATTACCAAACACCACGACATGGAAGTAACGGGCAAATAGAGCAAACCCTATAGGGTACGAAACAAATCTGTTTTCCTCTCCATATCTCGCCATTATTTTTTGACGGAGTTTCTAACAGCGTCAAATTTTAGCAGTCCTATATCAGACGCAGACTCGTCAAACACTAATAAATTCTTGATTTGTGATGCTTTTAAAAGTGGATTATAATTCAGCAGTGGTTTTACAAAGCAAAAAAGCGTTCAGGGATCCGAAATATCAAATCTTGAATTTTCCTGGTATAGTAGAGCGCCTCCAAAAGCGTTAATTTTGTTACCTCTCAAGACTCAACGAATCAGGAACAAAAAACATTCTTTTGAAAAAGTGGGACTTGTAGCATTGAATAACTCCCGGATGGCTCACCTGTTGATGCCTGTGAGGTCCATGTTGATCACTTATGAAATGGTAAAAAAAAATTTCTTAAACATTTTAGAAAGTAAGCTATGGAAGGGGAAAAATTGTTTTTTTTTATCCAATGGGGGTTGCTCTATTTATCCGCTTTCACTTTTCTTCGCGAAATCAGTACAAAAATTTAGAAGAGTAGTGGAACATGACCGTGGCAAACATGGTCGCAGTTTTTGACTATCTTCTGAATGCTTATATGCTGAACTGCAATACAAGAGTGTCTCTGAAAGAACATGAAAAACTGCATCAAGCGCTTCTAAAATCTTTCAAAATCTTTGTTCCGCGATTGTGGCTCTGGTTTAAGAAAGCAATAATAATTTTGGGTCGACCTAATATAACTCGTCAAAGAAGTGTTAGATAGCATAAAGTGAAACGAGGAAATGTACTCAAGAAAAATTGTTTGCTGTGCTACAACAAATAGCAAAACTGCCAATGCGCCAGCTTATGTAACCACTTTGGCTTAAGCAAAACTTCCTTTTCATATCTCGCGCAAGTGGCATCGCATACATTTTTTTGTTGTATGAGTTGTTTGAAGGAATCTGCACAGAAAACAGCTTGTTCGTCTAATCGCCTCCACTTATAAGGCAAACAAACTGTGGGCAAGAAGATGTTTCTCTTCAATATGATACGCTTGCTAATTCGACTTCTGGTCATTCTATCTTTCTTATTTCTCCTGGTATACTCACTTCTACAAAATAGTGGTACCCCGCAAAGAGTAAAGGATCGTACTACTAATACGACTATTATTGTTGTAACGCCTACGCATAAACGAACCGAGAGACTGGCTGACATGATCAGGTGAGCATAGTAAACGCATAATTCGCTTTTTGTTTCCGTTGCGAGGTAAATTATTTTTCACTCGCTCTTTATTCCTATATCCTCATTTATTCATGAAAAGAACAGATATTTGTTGTGGTACGCAGCAATGGCTCGTTTCATAAAGCTGGCTGAGTTTTTTGAAAAATTTAGGACTTCAATGACAAGTAGAAATACATTTTCCAGTATTTGGACTCATGACTCGCAACCCATTCACGTCGAATGGCGCCTTCCATCCATCCTTACCTTCCTCAACCCTTCCCTGGGTCCACTACTATTTAGTACATAGCTAATTCTTCGATCTTCTTCTGACACCCTGGATGTAGGTTAAAAAGTCAATAGGATTATTTTAACACGTTGACGACAACGCGCATTTTCATTTGTCTGCCCTGTGGAACAATGCCTTTCACGAAAAAAATGAAAATTTTCAGCAAAAATTAAGCAGATCGTCATCTACAGTAAATCTACGGTATTTCTAAGAAGCAGGAAAAAACGCCGAAGTAGTCGCTAGAATCAGAGCGTAAGAGAACTCGTGAGACGAATATACCTCAAGATTGTATTCATTTTGACAAAATTTAACCCATGACCCACCATGTGGGTCACGTTGTCGTCAAAGTGTTAAAAATACCAAGGCTCACACAAAGTCGTTCATAAAATCTCGATCATTCCAGAATAAGGCAGAGGGGGGGGGTCAGGTAGGTCAAGTGCTACTCTCGCTAATCGTTTGCTTTTGAGTAGTCTTATTTAGCCGTTTCTAAGGATATTTTGTGAATTTCAAAATTCATAGCAACAGTTTGACCATGTTTTATCCCAAGCGCATTTTGCAAGAAGAGTACCATCAAGCTTCGATTAATCCTGATTGGACAGTCTGCGAAAAGAACCTGAAAAAAAGTCGAAATGATCAGTTCTTGCTATTCACTTTCAAATGAGAAAAGTCTGTGCCAAACGTTTCTAAGAAAATCTACGATTTGCGCAGTACAAAATGAAATTAGTTTTCGTCTCCTCCCCTTTGAAAAATAATAAGCATTAGTGAAATTGTTTGATCAGCACCAGATTTCCTATTTAAAACTATAATTGACTGGACTTTTCTGCAACGTTTCAGATATTTCTTGACTTGAGCAAAAATGGGTAAAGTTTAGTGGTCCCTTCTTTCCATCTGTGTCCCTTAAAGTGCTCCGCAAAAGCACTACTTCAAATCTGTGCCCTAGCCTCCGATTAAATCAGAAATCGACTTTATATCTTCTTCCCCAATACATACATAATGAACGCCGAGGGCCTGTGAAGCGAGCAGCCAATAGTTCAAAAGGCGAATGGTGTTTGGTGCTTCATCGTTGATAGAGTCGATAGATTTAAGCATACTTAGGAGAAATGGTGGCGATAAAAAGCACAAAAGCTGCATTTTCGGTTATCACAGACGCTATCGCACGTGCCAAATCTACACTGGATCGTGATCGAGGACGGGACCGCAACAGTTCCGGCAGTGAGTTGGATTTTACATAGAAGTGGCGTGCCGCACATCTACCTGGCTACCACTACGGCGGATGGCTTGCCACGTAAGTAAAACAATAAAATATTCAAACTTGATGTGAAAGAAAAACATCATGAAAAGGGAAGTAAAAAGCAACTGGATCTACTCAGCCAGAGTCTGGCATAGAGTGGGAACAACTATTTCAACTTATTAGGATAGAACAGTCTAATGTTCATTCTCAGCTAAAGTAGTGCTTGGAAATATTTCTCAATCTGATGGAGTTTGGCTTAGATGAGAGAACATGTTGAAGGAAGGCAAACTCGCCTTAATTTTTTTTGTTTGTCATGAAGTGATGTGCAAATTGCAGTTGTTATCGGCAGTGGACTTGAGATTTTGCGAAATTCAAAGTTCGTTTGCACACCCGTGAAACTCTGAGATTCAAAATCCCGATGAAGCATTTACTACCCTAAGATCTTGTAGATAAGCCAACTTTTTTGTAAAACTAAGCTCAGAATTTTTCAGTTTGACTGAAGCTGGAACGAGATAGATTCTGTAAACTTTGAACGCTTTTGAAGAGCTCTTCTCAATGAAAATTCAAAATTTATTTTTAACGTTTTTTTGGTATTAATTCTTCGCTAGAATTCGAAAACTTAGCTCAACGATTTTCATTTGATCCAGTGCCAATGCCAGCGTCATTTGTTTTCGAGTACTCCTTCATTAATGCAGAAAAAGGTTTATAATAACTAGGAACTCTCGTCGATTAGCTTTTACATCTGAACGCAACAATCACGATTTAGGAAGAGGATGGACCCACAGAAATCTTGCATTGCGGTACATCAGAGAAAACTACGGTCGAAAACGAAATGCGGTGCTTTATTTCGCCGACGACGATAATAGTTATGACGTTCGGCTGTTCAACAACTATATTCGTAATGTGTCGAGAATAGGGGTGTGGGCCGTCGGTGAGCTTGATTTCTTAGGATTCAATAAAGTTCATAAAATCAGTTGAACGCAAAAAAAGCTTCTAGACTGTCATTTTTGAGGATTTGAGTTCGGGCCGGATGTAAGTGGTTTTGTGAATGCTTGCTGTTTTTCTTCCTTTAGGCCTCGTAGGAGGAGCATGGGTAGAAGCTCCACACGTCTCCAACGAGGGTAAGGTAATCGCATGGGATGTAATGTTCGCTCCCGGACGACCATTTGCCACCGATATGGCCGGATTTGCCATCCACATCAAGGAAATTTTCAGAGCAAGGCAGTGAGTAAAGCACCACTACAAGATCGAGCAAAAATAACAACAGAACTTTTTCAGTGCCGCCTTCAACACCAACTGTGCCAAGAATTACAAACAGGGACCTGAATCCTGTTTTCTCACTCAGTTCGGCTTCAACAAGGAGCACCTAGAACCCTTTGGTTATAAGGACTTTCCAAAGGAGGTTCTGGTTTGGCACACAAAAACCACCAAATCGAAGACGAGAGGACCTAAACATGGTTATACTATAGAATAAAAGATGCTTTGCAATGTTATGCACATTACATTTTATGAGAAGGCACAAATACAAATTTATCTAAGCACGTGTGGTACTGCCATTTTTATGCAAAAAAAAATCGTAAATATCCTGTTCAAAATTGCGCAGCTAAGCTGAAGAGCATTCCAAACATGAAAATACTGCATATGAATCACTTCCTGAAAGAGGACCAAATTTTTGGATATTTACCAATTCAAAAGACCAGAACTCTCTTATCCGTTGCAAATCTTACGAGAGTGTAATACCGCAGCTGATAGAGTCCATGTGTCTGAATGGTTTTGGCTACAAACCACAAACATCAACTAAATAAATATTCCGATTAAGAGTGAAGGTATAGTGCGAATGCGAACTTGGGTACCAAAATACCAAAACTGACTGAGACATCTTCAAACCAGCGAATGGTTAAGAGAAGTAAAGAAATCGGGTAGTCTCGGTCTGATCTCCATAGATCTATGGATTTGCCCTGCACCGCTCAAGTTTGCCTATAAATAGACGAAAGGCCACTTCTTGATAGTTTTTCTGTAACACTCTCTGTTGTCTTTTTCTTGTGATTATTTCCTATTTATCGATAGCTTTTTTAACTGAATGGCATAATAGTACACATCTTTTGCTTCAAGTTCTCGTGAGGAATACAGTAATGTAAATTTTTACTAACAGATGCTCCGCTTCGTCGCTTTGCTCACCATTCTGGCACTTGTTTGTGCACAGTGGCAGCAACCAGTGCAGACAAGAGAGAACAGCTTAGACTGTGGATACAGTAAGTTTACTTCACTTTTGCTGATAATTTCTTTCTTTTTCACGCAAATCGTGCGATATTGCAGTCACATTCATGCTAAATAAAGTCGCAACCAACATTAGATAACTTTTCGGCGCACACGCTTTTATGGTAAACAAAATCTTTCGACACCGCTACAATCGCCTCTTTTGCAAAAGTTTATGAATGTTTATAGTTTGGGGAAAGGCTCTCTTCAACCGCTAGCTATGGCGGCGCACCTTTGATTGGTCACCGAGTTGGCTGGGATTGGCCAGGCTTTGAGCATGACGGAGCAAAGGCATTGAAGCGGACGAGTCGTTCAACTCGCTCGTTCACTTTTGTTCATCTCTCTTGTGTGCTACGGATCCACACACGCTATAATAACCATAATGCCCCTTCACTACATAGAATATTCGTCCTTTTTTCCATTTCAACTGCGCCGCACGACGAAAAGCCTAGCGCGCGAATGATCGAAAGGGCTTATACCCACAATTGGTTTTTCTTACAGATCGAATTCAAATCGATCCAAGCGAATACTACTGAAGGGTCTTATGGAAAAATATTTCAGCTTGCACAAGAAAAGCGCAATTCCGAGTGAGCATCGACGGAGTGATGACGACCGCGACCTGCACCGCAAACGGAGCGGATCCGAAAGATCGCTGCGCGGGATGTTGCCAGGCCCGCGCGCTGGCTGCTGGACTAACAGCGGTATGAGAAATTTTAAATCCTTCCTTTCACCGCCCAGTTGCATAATGGTTGATTTAAGGTCGATGGAGCTGGATTTCCATCTACTAATGGACGGGAGTGCATTTGCTGCTTCTATAACGCATGCAGACTATAAGCTAGTTTTAACATAACATATAAGACTTTTAATTTGATTTGATAGAGATATGCATAAATTTACCTTATATGTGCGTAATTTTCTCACATCCGCAAAAAAGACGATAATAATTGAAAACCAGTATAAAAATGGACTAAATGAGCTCCTCACTTTCCTGAAACGTTAGGAAAAGCAGACTTCAATATATCTACCTGGTTTTGAAATGTGTCAGTTTGTTTAGAGACACTCTCATTTAAAGAACAAATTATTCTCATCATTTCACAGTGATGTTGAGAGTGTCAAGCTAGAACAAAATGATTTTACGAAAGTGATTTTTTTGAGAAACCTTGATTGTCTTTCGACGAGGTTGGTGGTCATTTCATTCCTATCATTTTACGAAAAGGATTCTGATTCGATACTACTTTAAACGACAGATTGTTAGTTAAGCGAGAGTTGGAGATAGTCAACAACGCCATATGTATGGACACTCATATGCGTCTAACAATAAGTCATTCATTATCAGTACCAAAGCAATGACACATTTTCAACATTTGTTTTGTTGCTAATCATCACAGTGAAAAAGCCTTGTAATGCTTCTCATCGTGACTCATGCCGTTTGATGTTCTTACGAGGGTATTCGAGCAGACCAGCTTTGTTCGTTTGCACGATATATAACAGTGAGGATCATGTTATTTTATTCATACGAATTTGTCTTGCATGACTGCAATCATTTTTGAAAAACTCGTCCATGAAAAGCATCACCACTTGCAAGCAGACGACATAAGCATGACAAAAAATTGTTTCCGATTATGGAAGAAAGCGAAGCATTAAGTATAAGTACCCAATTCTTAAAAACTCAAGTGATTTGTGCAGATCGGCATTACACGTGCTCCTCAAAATATAAGATTAGGTAGGTTTTGTCGAGAAAACTATTTGTACAAAAATGACTTGGTTTCTACATATATGACTTTACTTGCGATGTGGATATTATTGAAAAGGATGCTATAGAGCTTTAATCAGCTTAATAGTGCAAAATCAAAAATTTCGCCCTGAATTGTACATCGTGACCACATGTCCTGTCCTCTATTTATTTATTTGTTTATGTAAAATGTGCAAAGTTACAGCAAATTCTAAGTTCCTAACTATGCCTACCCTAACCTCAAAAAAGGCTCTACTACCAAATGAATTCGAGTGAACTAAATGAAACTTTACACTTGCGGGTCATTTGACATATTAGATACAAAAACGAATTCGTTTGGTAGTAGAGCCTTTTTCTGGGATTAAGGTAGGCATAGTTAAGGACTTAGAATTTGCTGTAACTTTGGACATTCTAAATAAACAAATAAATAAGTAGAGGACATGTGGTCACGAATATATCATTCAGGTAAAACAGAAATAATTAAATCGAAATAAATGATGCTAAAAAATGACAAGAAAATAAAAAAGAAAAATATAGGAAATGAGATAAATCAAGTGTGATTTAGCTGATAACACGTGTCAAAACGTTTTTAGACCAATCTGAAGATGGGTGATATTTAAGAAGATTACGGTAGTGTGGTATGAATCAGTTAATCTCCTGGAGTTGCCAGTTCGAGTGAATACGATGAACGTAAGCAGATATCAGATAACATTTGCATCGAGTTCTCGCTAAACGAGTTCTTGCACAAGTTGATTGTTAGTTGTGGAACAATCCTTTTTATCACAGGTAATAAAATATGAGACCCATACAGGCAGTTGACCGACATAATCGCATAAATTGCCCTAATTTCACGCGTATAAGGCGCGTATAATTTTCAAAATCGACAGCAAGACAAGCCAAAGGACTTCAAGCCAAAGGACCGTATAACGTGCTGTATATTGCTTGAGAGAATCGTGCGATGTAAGGATTTCTTCCCGGAATACAGTGAAGCGGCTGAGCGGCTTGACTGAGAATTCAAAAAAGTGCGCCTTATACGCGTGAAATTAGGGTACTCTCTAAAAAATATCTGTGCTGAGAAGTTCAAATGTCGAATAGAAAGGTGATTTGCGAACGACTGGTTCTAATGTAGAAAATCAAAGAAGAGGAAATGACGTGGCTTGTGTAAGCATGATCGAAAACTTTTATCAGTCTACAGCGTGTTTCGTTGTGTTTCCACACGTTCATTCTTCGCCCAAGTGCTATTCATTTGCTAGAACAGCACCCCACAAGGCAGTCGGCTCGTCTCTACGAACTTCGCGGCAACTTCTGAAGAACCCAAGTCGAGTTTGGGTGCGTCGAAAACTGCGATGGAATTCGTCCTTCGCTTGTCACACATAACAGCGCTATTCCAGAGTATGCGAACGCGGCATCGATCGACTGATGCCAGATGAGAGCCTTCCTCCAGCTGATTGCTATTACTCGTAAAAATTTCATCTCAAAACGCAGAAGATGGGTCAGTTTCGTTTTCAATACTTGTTATTTGGTTAGTCGTTCTTGTGACGAAATATTATCGTCGAAATTTGATCCTCGCCAGCTAGTTTTGAAGCTTAGTATCACTGTTTGCTTTTTACCGCTACTTGGCAAAACCGCTTGATCTTGACTTTGACAGTCTCTTCTATTCTGCCATGAGTTGGCACTCTACCGGTTGCAATTTTTGTCATATTTATCTCATTCATCTCAAAGAAATTCAAGCCATAACTCAAAAAATATCAATTTAAAACAGTTTTCATTGGCAGCCGTGATCTCTTTCCTAATTGGCTATGCTGTACGTGTTCAACTATGTTCAACTAACTTTATATCCACAGAGCTAATAATTACTTGCGTGATGAAGGCAAGCTGTCCATATCTTTTTCATTTCCCAAGCACCGCCAGTTTTGTTTTGAGACATTGGAATGAGAAGCTAGGATGTGATAACAATTCTTCACTTTGAATCATCCCATTTGAAAGTCAAATGCTGTGCGGTCTTGTGCTTGTGGCGAAAGCTATTAAAGCAACTTTTTTAAGTAATTTCCTCTCGTTGTTGATCTGCTAGCATATGTAAGCGACAATTTTCTATAGTCATTACCCTAGTGTAAAAAATTACTTTCCTAAGAAAGGATGGTGTTTTGTTGGCATAGGAACGGCAAATTGGGCAAGAAAAGTTGCAGGGAGGAGTAAAGCAAACTCTAGAAAATATACAAGAATCAGGGCAAAACATCTATAGGGCTTTGCATGATCAAGAGAGTCGGTGAGTTCGCGGCCATTGCACGCACATTGAGCTTTCTCAGTTATCTTTCTCCTTTCAAACGCTTTTCTGCTATCAGAGCTAGCTCCCAGTCACCTGATATGATTTAAAAAAGTACGAGATTATCTGACTGATCTGAGGCTTTCTGGCATCCTGCGTGTGCAATGGCCGCAAACTGAGCGACCCTCGCGATCACGCAGAGCCCTATACGCAAATTTTAAAAACAGAATTTGAAATTTTTTTAAATACCTGAAAAATCATCTCTGTGCATAAAATTCCTACATATCGCAATCTTGCTCACTTATGTACTCTCTTCATCAGACATTTACGTGAACAGATGATGAAATTTTTCCGTGGCTACAGCACGAGAAAAAATGGTCAAAAGTACCGACATGTCGCATATTCAGGGACTCTATGCTGATTCTGGTATATCTCGAACAGTAGCGCTTCTAGAAAGTTGGAATTTTTGGTTATTTTTTCAAATGTTATACCATGATATAAACTCTAGAAGAAGCTCAGAACTGCTTTAGCAAAAGCGTGCCAAATTTCATTTTCCCGATTTCTAACCACGAAAGATCGCGAAATTGTGCACATGCCAGATGAGAAAGTCTATGCGTAATTGGGGGTTTCTAGGATTTTTTCTACGGAGATATGAATTCTTCCGTTTTTTCAAACATTCGTAGCTTTTCAGAAAATGGCTCAATATTTAACGCGAATCAAACTTGGTATCGTCGAGTCAATTGTAAATCAATATGCGTAGTGCACACCATAGGCCTCGGGCAGACTTCACGCGATTTGATCGTCGCGACTGAATCGCGACGAGACAACTGTTACAACATCATGCCATGCTGATCAACTTGCATTCGGTTGTAATACTTTTCCAGAACGAAATTTTTGAATGTGAAATGAAAATGAATGGAAATCTTGGCGATTAGATCGCGAATTAAGTCGCATGAAGTCTTACCGGGGCCATACACGCTGACTGACGAACTGCGAAACTAGAGTCTGCTCATTTTCAGTCATTTTTCCTTGTTTCCTTGTTTCTTTTGTTTAGTTGGTTATATGTTAGTCAGTAGAACACATTTCTACATTTTTTTAGGCTAGAAAATGTTTTACTGGGAAGTTACTAGTGTGGGTGCCGTCGCTAATAGGGCTTGGTGCGCAGTTTCACATATTAAGTTACAAATGACTCCAGGTTAATTGATTTAGATCGTGTGGAGCTTGCTTTGCTCTAATGGTACCCCATTCAGGTGTGTAACCTGCCGCAATATTGCGGTAAGATGATACGACATTATTCTTGGCACAACTTGATAACACGAACTTGATAACACGGCGCTTGTACCAAATATCCACCCATCATGTTTCCTATCTTAAAATTAGAGGAAGGTCCGCTCAAATCCGAGTGGTGTTGACTGTTTAAGTGGTCTTTAACTAAGCCGTTGCTCGAGTAGCATCTCAAATAATTTTTCGTAAACGAGGAACATGTGGCTCTCACCCAGTGCTGTATCGAGTACTCTGATTGGTTCTCTCGCAAAGAGTACGGTACTGAGCAAGGGTTTAGATTTGATCTTCAGTCTAAAACAAATTTATGAGCTGCCGTTTGGGCAGTAGTAGAGGTCTCTCATTCAGTTTCGACACAAGTAACCCAGGCACGCACACTTGCCTGTTTTTTGCCTTCAAAGGCACTGCCCACCCTAAGTCAGAAGTCTTTGAGCTTTGGCAGCTTATGATAGTAGAACTACCTACCAAGACGATCCCCAAGTAGTGGCTCAATGTCGCTTCGGAAGCGAGAAAATCGTTTCGGAATAGTGAATAGACGTAAGGACTCCAAGTCGGCACCGCCCCTCTTCGGTAATGCCCGCCCATCCGTGCGCGCCCATCCAGTCACCATTCCGGAGAACGGGACTGCGGGTGCTTCGGGAAGGCATAGTGTTGGATGGAAAGGATCACCGATCTACAATATTGAGGCGGGAAAAGAAGAGGCCGATTTGACCTCGCAGCAGGGTTCAAAAGAGGTAGAAGAAGGGGAGCCGTGAGCGGAAGAGGCTCGCGGGAATTGAAACGAGCTGGTCAGAAGAGAGCTGAACCTCCCCTCAAGTATCGACCGAGTAGAACCTTAGTACTGACCGAGGCTTACCATCCTGGAGGGTCAAATTGGAGGATATCCCTCGTAGCCAAGTTAGAGTTCACCGTGTTTATTGTCGGCCTAAGAGCCTTGTTATTGCTTCTGTAACCAAAATAAACGCTGTTTCCTCCCTCTGTGCCATTCTTTCAGTCATGAGGTTGAAGCCAATCCATACCACTACAAAACTCCTCTGTTACAGTAGGAGTTTTCGCGGATTCTCGACTTCATATTCGGATTCAAAGAGAGAAGGCCCTGAAACGACCAAACATAAAAGTTCTGGGTAGACGGTGCCTTTAAGCGACCTGGATGGCAAAAACATTCCAAAACAGACTTATGAGACAATGCATACTTGAGCTAGATCAATTACTGCTGGCTATACTCAACTTCCTGCACACATTTTTTTGGTCTCTGGAATTGGAACTCGCTGGCTGCTCATTAGATTCATGCCATAGAATCATCTGCATTTCTTCCATTAGGTCATTCGAAAAGTTTTTTCGTTTTTGCACCTTCAAATTCAAACAAGCGCAATTTTTTTCCAGATTCAATCTTTTTCCATCAAAAAATTTGCATTGTGTTCAAAAAAATTCTGGTAACGCTCTTGTAGTGCCATTGTTCTTGCGAAATGACCTCAGAGGAATCAATAAAGTCTAAAAAGGTGTTTTTGACTAGCCGATCTTTATTGGGTCCTATAATTTTTCAATAGGCACCAAGGAATTAGAAATTTTGGTGGTTGTTAAAGGAAAGTCTAAAGAGTTCGAAAATTAAACGGGACAGCGCAGTCCCTTTTGTGAGGGCCACATTTCTTACATGCGGTCTGGCGGCGCCATGGGCGAGGATGGCATCTCTCATAGCTTATACGTGCAAGTCTCAGTTTTAAAATTTCGACAAACGGTCTTCAGAGCGATATCACCATATTCTGCCCTTACAGCACAATCACATCTTAGCAAGTTTTATAGCGTGCAAGACCTGCTGAATTACAATTTGAGTATATCAACCTTTTGGTATGACTGATTGTTGTGGCCATGCTTTCAATGCTCATTCCAAATGATTTACCACAATGTCTCTTCTTGTAGCCGTACTTGGCCAAACTTTTGCTATAATTATTAACCCAGGCTAAAAAAGGATTGCTCCATCAAATTATGAGCAACAAAACAGAGTCAACGCGCTCTCAATCTGCGAGTGCGACGATTTACGGGGTTTATGTCACTGACATTTTTTGGTGTTGCAGTTTAGCGAAGGCGGCTTTTAGCGGGACTAAGCGGCACTTCAAGACGCTGATAATTTTACGCAGCCATATTTACGATTTGCCATAAATGACCCTCTGAGATGCTCGTTTATGTAGCAGAAACACCTTCCAGAACACTGCAAAACGTTAGCTTTCACATCTCTAAATCGGATTTTTCAAAGTAAAACTGAACCTACCTCAAGAAAGACGTGACCTTGGCAAATGTATTGCGCATTATGTTGATTTCCTCAACTGTCCTACACTCAAGTTTGAGCTTAGAGAATGCAATTACTCGAAAATCGCGTTTTCATACGTCGAATTTAAACTTCCCTACAGAGCGCTTTCTGCAATTTAGTTGGGATCCTTAGAAACTAGAAGACTTCCTCTACAGATCTATATAGAGCAACCCCTATCAGCCTTCTGGTACTCTCGTAAAATATGCACCAACATCAAAGGCGCAAAAAGCGAAAGAATTTTTCTGAATGACCTAATATGACAGTTTTCCGGCACTGCAGGTTGAAAAGCTACCTATATTTGCATGGCTCAAATTTTTAGTAGGTAAGGTGCGTGTTGGTTCAAACATGTTCTAAACATAGAGAGAGAGTAAAATAACCTTGGAAAGGAAAAAGCTTCGGATCTATAAACTTCTGAGGGGTTGTGGCATCTAGAAATTGTTTGTATCGCTCTAAATTTTTCACAGAGCTCTCAAATATGCAGTGCAAGCAAAACAATCTAACATCTAAAGGGCCCAGGTATACTCCACGCGATTTCGTCACAACGCGACTTGGCAATTCGCCAGAAATCTTCAGATCCAACACCAGCGAACTGCACATGCACAGTGGGTATAACCTACGTGGATTGATAAAATGCCCTTCTTTCGTACATTCAGAAACCCTTTAGGCCTCGGACAGAGTTCACGCGATTTGATCGTCGCGATTTAATCGCCGCGATTTCATTCATTTTCATTTTACATTCAATAATCTCGAGCTGGAATAGTATCACAACCGAAATGCAAGCTGATCGGCATGCAATGAACTCGTAACAGTTGTCTTGTAGCGATTAAATCGCGACGATCAAATCGCGTGAACTCTGTCCGAGGCCTTACACTGATTTATGGACAATTGGATTATTACCAAGTCGCGTCGCGACTGAAATCGCATGAAGCCCTCAAGACCTCCTTGAAACTTTCTTCTATAACGAAGCTCCAATGTTACTTTTTGACAAGCTTTCATCCCCCATGCTATTATTTTCAGACTCTCTCGCTGTTTGAAGTATTTCTACCTACTATTCTAGTCGCTCTCCTCGTATCTTTGAAAAGATTTCAGCAACCATGGCTCGTAACTTTCAGTAAGTAGCACTGGCCTCATATTCACATCAAATATAGCCAGATATTTTTCAGCAAACGCTCCTGTCCGAGGTCTTCCATCCGCGGGCCTATTCAGTGTCTTCGCTTCATTTTGCCCACAAACCCAGAACCAACAGGACGTGAATGGCTTTGTCGTTATCAACGGATCAAAGTGAGTTTTTAGCATAAGACTATATCTTGACACCCTAACGAGACTCTTTTCAGAGAATACGAATTTCTAGAACTTTTAAACGAGATATGCGGAGCCATGGAGAAAGTTGACATCCATGCGAATTCGTCGTTTACGTTCAGTAAACTACTTGTACTTGCTGAAAGCTTCAAGAGAACGATAGGTAGGTTTTACTTTCTCTTCCCTTACGTCTACAGATGGGTCTTACGCGATGCTTTATTCGCCATTCCTGACAATAGGGTAGGATACAGTAGAATAATGAATGGGAACGATGAAACTCCCCTCTCTCTTCTTACAAGGACTGCGAACTTTCGAAAAGATGTACATGAGTTCAGTGCGCAACTAATTCCCCTTCAAATCCATGGACAAGTCTTGTCTGGAAAGGTCTGTTATGTACCAGTGCGGATCAGAGAAGTCATTATTCGAGAGAGCAAGCCACAAGACTGAGATTAACCATGACTGTCACATCTATATCTAGCTAACTTCATACATCAACAAGTGGCATTTCTTATTATAACATTTAGCCCATCATTCCTCAACTCTTTCGACTTTTTTTTTGTGGAAAGGCGTGGTTAACACGGCACTTTCTGGGAAAGATTGTGCTGCGCCTTCCCTTCCGCAGAGACTTGCAATTAATGTAAAAGTCGAGTAGACTCCTCTGCCCTAGATCTTTCCAGACTTATTCAGGAATCAAGATCAGCCGATGAAATTCTTTTATCTACTATTTCTTTACAACGAAGCTTGGGTTTGTAATCAAGGCATTTTGAAGTGAACTATGGAGCGAAAGGCGGAGAAAAAGGAGTGAAAACTCCGATAACGAATTTATGTTCAACAAAACAAACTCTCAGTTTTCTGCCTTCTGGATCGAAAAGACTGCGGGTCTGTATTATCTCCGGAACCCGTACCCCAAGAGTATGGATTCCTTGCTTCTTTCTTTCTATCAGTCAATTCATGTTTGTCCGTACAAATTCATGTTCGCTTTTCTCTTCACAGATGAAGTCTTGTCGGACATCTCACATCCTCTTGTTAGACAGTAGGAATATATTCACGATAAGAAATTGCTAAGCCACGCCTGATTGAATGCCTCTACTAAGCTGTCATTATATTCAGTTTTTTTTTAACAAACAGAGATGCGTTTTCACATTTGGGCTGTCAGCATTCGTTTATAAACCTTTCTCATCACCAACGTGATTCACAACTTTTTTCAGAGAATGAACATGTCTTCAGCAAGTGCAACATGTCTTTGCCATTGCCAGACTGGGTGAGTCACCATCCCTGAGAATATTTACTTCAAGAAATCTGCTTCAGAAAGAATGCATTTCAAAATATCCGAACTCGATGAAGAGAATCAACAACAGTTTGATCAAGCTCCAGCAACAAGTATGCGGGGAGAAAATTATTATTTAGGATGCGGTCATTCATCCTGTTCAGATCGTCGTTGTGAATGAAGAAACGATCTTAGTGAACGATCTTGTTGATATCGCCAACATTCTCAGAAAGCACTCGGTGCGTGACACTGTTTTCACTTATCATCTCATTGAAAACCCAACTAACCCACCCAACTAACCCACACAACAACCCAACAAACGGGTTTGTGCATTGAACGTTTTGAAAATGCATCTCCCAAGTTTTTCAGAGGTGTTCAAGCTTCTTTTCGTTGCTTTATCGACTTTTCGCAGATCTTTGCTCCTTAGCCAAACGTATAATCTAAAACGATGACAAGAAGGTAACCTCAAGTCATTTGCAAGTAATATGTGAGATTGCACACCAAGCCCTATTAGCGACGGCACCCACACTAGTAACTTCCCAGTAAAACATTTTCTAGCCTAGCAAAATGTAGAATTGCGTTCTACTGACTAGCGTATAACCAACTAAAACAAAAGAAACAAGGAAACAAGTAAATTGGAAATGAGCAGGTTCTAGTTCCGCAGTTCGTCAGTTAGTGTGTATAGTGTGCAGTACGCATATTGAGTTACAAATGACTCGACGATACTTCGAAGCCCAAAGAAGAACTTTGTTTTCGCATTATCCCACATAGCCCACGACCTCATCTTGATTCATATTTACTCGTATCAACATGCAGTGCTTTTTGTTCTGGAATACTTAGAATTTGCCATGCTATAAGCAGTAACAGCGATCTACCTTACTATGATGACGCGCTAACTGAATCGTCAGTAATGTCTAGAATTTCTTACCTGTACCACCTGTATCTCCGTTGATCGTTGCTTGACACGAGCGGGATCCAACGACGCCTCCATTCGTGCCTGTCGCAAGCGACCGTTGACCAATGTCTTCTCATCGCACCGAGTACATACACGAGAAACGCTCTCAAGCCCATCGAGCCGGTGGTCTTCCTGTTCCGCGTTTGACTTCCAACGCTGTCCAATCCGTTGCAACTCTGACCCACCAATTGTCGTGAAAACTCATCACGTGTCCGGCCCATCTAATTTTATTCTGTTTGGCGTATGCGGCAGCATCCTTAATCTTCGATAGTTGACATAGGGTGAAGCTTCGTACTCCTTCCCTCACTTGCGCGCGGGATACTCCTAACCATCTCTCAATGGCGCGTTCGATGACGCTCACCGCATGTTCGTCCTGCTTCCTTATGGTCCACGTTTCAGAAGCTTACGTCAAAGCAGGCAGAACCGTCTTGTGAAGAGATGGGCACAATTTGGGTGTTCTTGGTCTTCTTCACTACGTCTTCGACTGCCTTGTATGCTACTCATGCTGCTCGTTTCCTCCTGTTCAGTTCCGGGGTTAGATCGTTCATAATGTTGACTTCCCGACCTAGGTATACGTAGCTAGAGCATTAGGCAATCGCCGTTCCATTTAGCGTGAAAGGAGCATCAGAAACCCATCCGTTTCTCATAAACATCGTCTTCGTCAAATTTAGCTTCAGATTGATCTTTCCACACACGTCGTCAAACTGAGCCAACATTCGTTCCGCTTGCGTGATGTTCGGTGTGATTAGGAATATGAGATTAGCGAAGCGAAGGTGGTGTAATTGCCCGCCGTCGATTCTCACACTCATGTCATCCCACTCTAATTTCCACATGAAGTTTTCGAGAGCAGCGCTGAATAGTTTCGGCGATATGGTATCGCCCTGTTGTACTCCTCTCATCACGTCAATGGCGATGTCCTTGTAGAATGGTGTGGTCTTGGTTGTGAAGGCGTTTACAGCTCACGAATCATCGTACTAAGTTGGAATACTTTGACTGTTCAAGGCATCGATTACAGCCTCAGTCTCAACCGAATTAAATGCCTTCTTCAAGTCGATAAAGGTGTGACAGAGCAGCATCCTGTACTCGATACCTCGATGAGCTTTGTTATCGTGTGTATGTAGCCCATAGTGCTAAATCCTCCCGAAACCTATCTTGCTCGCATGGTTGTCTATCGTCTAATTTTCTTCCGATCCCTTTAAGAAATACTCGCGTGAAGAGTTTGTAGACAGCAGACAATAAGTAGGTAGGGCAATTATTTCTCGCGGGTCTCCCTTTCTGTACAGCAACACGCTTCTGCTGGTATTCCATTGATTTGGAATTGTGCCCTCCGTCAGGGACTGAAGACTCTCGCCAGAGTTATGGTAAGGTTTGGAGAGAGATTCTTCAGGTTTCTGGTGTGATTCTGTCGTGTCCGGCTGCTGTACGGCTATTCATTGACATGATAGCATGTCGAACTCTGAAGGAAGAACTGATAGCGCAACATATCCGTCCTCCTTGAGATGGCGTGGTGGTAGGCGGATGTGACTCGCAAAGAGATCCGAGTGAATTCGTGGATGACTTTCTCCTTCGACCTTTAGGAAGGGGTGAGGGAACATACATACCTTGAAAGATTTGCCGCCTTGTGGTTAGCAGAGTTCATGAGGGGTCATGAACTGGCAGCAACGATATTTTGCATGACGAGCTGATTCTGCACACGGTGACTCTGTCATCATTCTAAAGTTCATGAAAATGTGACTTTTTTCGAAATTTGAATTCAAAGTTCAGTAGTCATTTTGGTTCAGTTGGGATAAAAATTTCTATTTGGGGATACTCTCTCATGCTGTTCCCAATTATGATGATGATTTCGCTTAAAATCTTGGCATTTATCTCTTTTTGAATGTTAAGTGATTTCCCCAGATCTTCGGCGAACAACATTCCTATCAAAAATTTCAAATTTTCTTGGTCTGATTTGTGGGAGCCTGCATGATCGGGAGAGTCGGACGTGCGTACGGACTGCGCCGCGCAGGTCCATGTCCTCTCAAGACTAAGGTAGGTGCCAGATTCAACCTGTTCAACAGATTCATTGTTCACCGCTCTGCTATGATAATTTAGTGGGACTCGGAGTGAGATTTCTTCCCGTTTGCCAGGCTGACAAATTTGGAGTGTAATTTGTAAAAAAAAGTTTGAGATTCAAAAAAAGAATCAAGGTCATAAGTGAAACTACTAGCGTTTTCTTAAACGACATGTCAGACAAGCCCCAGTTTTACCAAAATTACAGTGGAATCATTATCTATTTATAAAATTAAATTTTTGAAAGAAAAAACTTAGGGTTTCAAGCAAAATCATTGGCGTAAAGCAGCAGCATCATCGAAAAACCCTTAAAGGCAGCGTCTTAACAAAATTTCGCCCCTCATGTTTTGTCGTTCTAGGGCCCTTCCGTGGCCCTGGTTACAGTCATAAAGTTCAAATTGTCCAAAACCAAAAACCCAATCCCTGGGGACCCTTTTTGAGGACGCGGACAAGTTTCGAATTGTTTATTAAAAATCGCGCCTCTTGACATACACCCAGCTTAGCCTATCAGGTTAGCATGAAAGTTTCCGCAACCATTTTCGAAAATTCCCAACTCCTAAATTTGCCATCCGATTCGCTTGTTCAAAAGAGCAATTCAAGCCACCTCAGCTTACAGTGGCTATGGTTAGTTCAATTACAAGAAGAATCACATTCACCAAAAACTTAGGTATTTTTGAAACGTATTTTGTGAAACATGCGCCACAGTGCACTTGACAAACCGCACATTTCAACGCTCATAACTCCTCCCACATAGTCGCTTGGCAGATAATACACAAATATTCGTGATCAGCGTTTTAAGACGAGTCCGATAATATAATATACAACAAGTTTGGTATGGTTGGGTTGATTTCCGACTATTCCCAGACCACGACCAGCATATATTGCATAGATAAAAACGGTAGCAGAAAATTGCTCGAATTTCAATCTTTTTATGTTTTGTTGTAAAAAATCTGAAACTAGAAATAGACTGTAGTACTTGCTCTTTCTAAGCAAAGTTTGTGCTGATTGAGTATTTTCATGAAAAATTTATTTTTCGAAAAAATGGCAAAAATTCAAATTTGTTGTATTGCACTGCTCGCTCAAAAATCATAACTTTGATATAGACGTTCAAGCACAAACTTTGCTCACTGAGAAAAAGAAGTTAATGGAACCTTTGATACCGACCGCTCCAATTTTATTTGCAAGTTTCAGATCTTTTACGACCAAACACGGAAAAATCAAACCTGATTATAGGTCATTTTTGAAATCGTGATGGCGGATTTGGCTGCGGACTTTGCGCCCACAGGAGCTTAAAGGCAGTGGCTCGGCAAAATTGAACGTCTCGAAATTTTTATATGGAAGGTTGCTTGCACCCCAAACACGAGAAAGGGGCAGGTCCGAGCGCATAGAATGCAACCCCTGCATAGAGAATTGCCCCTAAATCCGTGCGCGCAAGGCATTCTCACACGCGCTCGGACGAGCTTGCGATATCCCTCACGCCGTCAGGGGGGCATGCCGCAATGCTATATACATGAGGGTCCCACAACGACTCTGCGTCTCTAACCATGGCGGGAAGCGTGCCACTCGTTCAAATTAAAAATGAAGGGCTTGGGAAATACTGGTTTTCGCCAATTTCGTGCTTCAAAAAGTGGGTTCCCGGAATCAGCGCGTACTCCAGGTAAGCGAAAAACCTTAAGGTCGAAGATTTCCCTAGCCACTGCCTTTTAAACACTCGTACTCAGAGGCATCACCTCAACGCTCAGCCAGTGTCTGAATACTATTATACGTAAGCAGAAAAACCATAAAAATATGGATGAACCGAGAAAATGAGATTGCAGGACGTTGCATGCTTGTCGCGCGCAGTCCCGCCATCGTCACGATTTTTCGAGTGCCCTAATTTCCTTCTACAACTTCCATCTATGCAACCTATGCCAGTGAAAAACGTCTAAGATAATCTTATGAAGGTTGCTTTGCTTTTTCAAACAATCTAATAGCAGTCAGGTCGATTGGAAAAAATAAGAAATTTTGAATGAAAATGATGCGAACGACTTTTGGGCCAACCGAGTAGATCAGGTTTAGCCTTGTAACCCGTACTAAATGCGTGGTACAAGAACATTCAATTCCGTTGCATATATCGTATTCGTAGAATTCTGTCATTTTGCACCGATTTTGGTAGAGGCTGCCTGCTCCAACAACGCTTGCGAACCTGAAATTTTCACAGTGGCAGCCCCGACGTTTTTTGCACAAGTATCAGCATCGCCGTTAAAAATGCCTAACTTGACGTTTCCAGAGGAAAAAATCTGGTACTGCATTTTTGTACGAAGTTCTCAACGAGATAATATGTGCAGGAGCGCTATCCAATGGTACTGCAGCAGAGGGAGGTGGAAGTAAGAGATACGATAATGTTGTTCTTAATCTGACACAATTCTATAGGTATAAACGATAATCAGCTTAATCGTTTGGAAATATTGGTGGCTATGCTACAAAGAAATGCAAAAATTCTTTATGCTCCCAATGTTACTGTAGTCAACGAGGTTATTATGAAGGTATTCAAATCTTTATTCTGAGTACATCATCTGCAATTAGTCACGAACTTCAGGCAAACGAATCGCTGTCATTCATTCATGAGTTCAGTCAATTTGCGGAATTGGCCGCTGAGGTGCTAAATATCAGTGAAACTCGATATGATCCAATTGTTGAAAACCGAACGATGGTAAGAAAATACCTGAGCATTTTTAATTTGGAAAACCAATTTTTTAAACTGACTGATTAAGCTTATCTTGTCGGATGTTGAAGAGCTTGTCAAGAAATTCAGTGGCATTCCTCTGGCAAGGATGCTTCCACGAATCTCTGTTGACAGTCAGACATTAGGTATCGCGGAATGGATTCTTGCGGCAAACCGAACGCATACTGCGGAGAATTTCCCCTCGTTTGTTGGTGGGATAGAGAAGCTGTTGAATGTCGCTTTGAAAGTTCTTCTTCATTTTCCAGGCTTTACCAATGAGTCAATGTTGGAATCATTTGCGAAGGCAGCAGATCAAAGTGAAGTCACCGTCATAGCAGGTTTACATTGCTTCTTCTCTTCTCGCTTCTTTTCTTCTCAGTGCACATATACGTGCGTTGAATCTGCTATCTATCCAGGTATCGTATTCGAAGACGTTGATGCACATACAGAAAGCCTCGGTCCGATTGTCAATTACAAAATACGTCAAAAATCAGCATTTACACCTTCTACAACGGCCGCTCGCGACTTGCTAGCTGTATACACAGGACCAAGAGACTGGGACGACTCCTACTACACATACGGCTTCCTCTGGTTACAAGTAAGCCCCGAGAAGCTGATTTCATCTTCTTACGCCCACAGATCAGTGCAGATGAAAGGCAAAAGAGGAGAAATGCTTTCAGGATGTGATAGAGCGTTCAATTATATCGGTTATGTTCAATATTCCTATAGTAGAACCTGGAGCAGGCATGCAGGAGATGGCCTTCCCTTGCTTCCGATACGATCGGTTTGTCTTTAAAAAAGAAATTTTGTAGCACTTCTTACAAGAGTTACATTCATTTCTTTCGATGTCGAATTGAAAATTCTTGACTACAGGTTTCTTATCAACATGAAGACAGTAATTGTAATCATCCTGGCCTTATCGTCCCTCTTTACTGTTGCTTTTCTAGTGGAGAACATTGTCTTTGAAAAGGAGCATGGGCTTACAGAAGTTTGTACAAGTGGGATGTTTATCGGAGATTCACTAATTTCATATTTTTAGATGATGCGTTGCATGGGAGCTAGCACAAGCATAATCTGGCTGTCATGGGTGATATCGACGTTGCCTCAGGTGAAATCTGTATTATTATTTATATGAAAACCAGATAATCATTTCAAATTCAGGCAGTAGTGGCAAACCTCATCAATACCCTACTTCTTTTTTACGATGATGCTGTCTTTCGTCTAACGAGCATCTTTGTGGTCGTCTTACTCTTCCTCCTCTATACATTCGCCGTTCTTGCAATGGCCTTCCTTTTATCTTCGTTGTAAGTTCAAATTGTTGATTAAAAAATTGATTACTTATGCGGAGAGCTGAGTAGGGAAGGTCGATCTCGATGTAAGCGATGGGGACTAAATCCCTTTGCTGTTGTGGGTTCTAGCATTTTACGCTCGCCACCCACAAGCGTTAGTCACAAAAATGCGCGAGACAATGCGCAAATTATTGAAGGGTCGGGCATACCTCAAGCGATGAAAACGTCCTAGTTCCAGTCGTCGCGATCCACTACCAACTAACAACCAAGACGCGCGATTCATCGCTAATCGTTCGAACTTGGGCATACCTCTGCGATTGCACTATTACAGTGTGCACATTCTACGAATCACAAGTCTCATCTGTTGGTCTTTTCTTCGCGCTTGCAGAGGACTTGAAGTAATAAGGGAGAAGCATGCAGTTATCACCTTCAGTATGTCCTACAAATAAAATCATCTTACACGCATTTTAAATGCTGCCAGTATGCAATCTTGATCAGAAATTACCTTCCCAGACAGTCGAAAGGATACCGTTGGAGGCAAAGAAGCTGAGGAAGAATCTCGGCAGCATTTTATTTGGCTACATTGCTCGATTTTTCCTAGCGAGTGGCTGTTTATCGGAGCAGATCTCAACGGTCTTGTTCTACGTAAGTGTCACGGAAGCCATACGGAACAGCAGCAGCGGAGAGAAGCATATCCGTAGTCCGTTAGGTAGGTGCCAGAGTAAGCGAATATTTTGTTCAAGTTGGGGTCCCGCGCAGAACTGGCATCACTAATCATTGTGGCATAATGCCAACTTGGCGTTGTGCCACAATGATTAGTAACGCCAGTTCTGCGCGGGACCCCAACTTGAACAAAATATTCGCTTACTCTGGCACCTACCTTACGGCTCACGGTTTTTTATTGGCTAATATTCACTCTAAAAAGATCACCTTCACGTATACCGACGGCGACAGTATATCAGAGACATACATCTAGACACTACGGCAAAGCGACATCAAGTGCGTGAAAGGGAGCAAAATCATCCAGGCAAAGACTGTATGCCGTAACAGCCACGCTACTGGGCTAAACATTCTGTTCGACAGGAAAATGAGGGTGAACTGACAGAACATGGAGCACGCTTTTGATGTACAAGCTCGAGAATGAAACCAGTTTCAAAGCAGTAGTAGAATCTGCACCAAAACTGGACTCATTCTTGGACCTTCTCAAAAAGCAGCGTGCATTAGCTGGCCTATACTGGCAAAGTCCGTAAGAGAAATCTCGACAAGGAACCTTAGCAGCGGAACGATGCAGTGCAGGAGATGCGGGAAAGAGGATTAAAGGCAGGGACTTGCAAATTGAAGCCCGTGGCACAACGTCACAAAGCAGAAACCCGCATAATGGAACCTATGAGCCAAGTTCGATCTCTCTGCCACTTTTAAAGGCAGCGTCCGGGCAAAATCTCGCCCATGTTTCTGCCATTCTGGGGCCTTTCCGTAGTCCTGATTACAGTTGTAGAGTCGTAATTGTTTAAAACCCCCAAAAAACCCGATTCTTGGGGCCCCCTCTTCAAGGATCGGACAAGTTTCGAATTGCTCGTCCCCAACGTCATGCTAGCGAGAGGAGCTGCAACTGCACGGATGCAGTTGCATTGCAATTTGCAGTGCAGCCGCAATGCAACTGCAATGCAACTGCATGCAATTGCAATGCAACTGCAATACAACTGTGCACCTGCGTGAGCACTCGTCCTCGGGGGTGGTTTGTGATGCGTATCACAGGCCCGTATCTCCTTTCAGAGGCCACGTCAAAGGATCGGACCAACGCAGATCGGATACTTATGAGCCCCTCTTTACAACTATGTGCTAATCTGGGTGGATGGATCTTGCTCGGATGCTGCCTTTAACTCCAAAAATTCAACGTGAAAGGCAGCGCTTCCATCTGCCCTTACAGCTCCGATTTCTGAACCCGCCAACCTTTCGATTTTCCTTCCACTGTCATAGCGCGCATGCTGCACGCTATAAACATAGGTATCCGCAACGACTCTGCGTCTTCGCCATGGCGGTCTCTGCGTCCACTCGTCCAAGTTTGAAATTGATGGCTTTGGAAAATGCTTGCTCTAACCAATTTCGTGCTTTCCAAGGTTGTTATTCAAAATCAGCGGATCACCCCATGTAAGCAAAAAACAGATTCTTTGAAAATTTGCCGAGCCACTGCCATCAAGGCTAGAAGATAATCACCGGAAGAAAGTGGATGCAAGAGTGTCGGAAGAGCAAAAAACATATGTGACCGAGCTGTACAAGAAACTACATGTTTTTGAGTGCTAACGAGAGGTGTAGCACATTTCTAAAAGACGAATAAGTACCACAAAGGGTTCGGAGCACTTCTGTTATATCAAGGACGAACACAAAGGAATGCTGAGGAAGTTTCAGGACATTATTTATGTACTAGATGGCTTACTCGGCTCCGCCCGGCCCTGTCATTATTTTATTCGTAATCAGCATGCTCGATTACCCCCCTGTACCAACTCCCAGCCCCGTAGCTCAAATTTTGCAAAAAATCGATAAAATCGATATCGATCGATGACGAAAAGTAGCCTATGACACTCGCCGGGGCCCGAAGTGTATGTGTGCCAAGTTTGATTCGGATCGGTTCAGAAATGGAATTTTCTATTCGGAACATACGTACACACAGCAGTGGCGTACCGAGGGGGTGGGGGGGGGGCGGGGGGGGGGGGGCGCCCCCCCCCCGAGAACGGGTCGCGAAATTTTTGAAAGTTACTTACATGGGTTATAAAAATGTGCAAGTGACTTGTTTTTACTTGTAAATAATTAAAATAATTTTTAAAATTTTTCAAAAATTTATTTTAGCCTTATAAAAAACTAGTTGGCTTTCCCGGTCCAGCCCGGGCCATTAGTCACCTGCACTGCAAGTCCCCCCCCTTCTTATATGTTGTGGATGACTTACCCTGGAACCCGCTTCGAAACCGCATCCTCGTGATCCTGAGATGAAAATGAGCTTCACCGCCCTTCTTTACAGACTATGGTAAAATGCTTGATTGAACATGATAAACCCTCAATTCCTTAGAAAAGCGTAAACAAATCAATAAATCGATAGAAGGACCCAATGAACCGCTGCGAAAAGTAGCCTATCATCAGCGCAGGGGTCGAAAACATATGTGTGCAAAGTTTCGGCTGAAACGGTTGAGCGGTGCGCGTTTCTATAACGCACATACCCTCCAAACTGACAATTTTTGAGTTTTATATATATATAGATTTTTTTCGGGGGCGTGGCTGACGCCACTTTAGGGGTCGGGGACCCGGAACAATTTTGAGAAGCACCCCAAAAATTTTTACGGAGTGCGTGGCTAAGGCCACGCACCTTCTTTAGAAAAAATTTTTGTCGCGCCCCCCCCCCCCGAGCCGAAATCCTGGGTACGCCACTGACACACAGACATACATACATACAGACAGACAAACAGACATTCAGCTTTATATATAAGATGCATCTACCACAATGGCAAAAATCCTGCTAACGAACCATGGCTATCACGAAGGATGTTCTTTTTTTCATCTCAAAAGTCAAGAACAGGGAGTCGGATCCACATGAAATCCACAGCGAGCTCTGAAAGAAGAATTCTTGTCACATGTTTTGAATCAGATATTGGTATTCGAAGACATGACAAATGACTGGTACAAAATACCGATTTGTAAGAGCAGAGGCGACGCTTATATTGTGAAGTTGTTACCACGCAAAGTCACTTGTACAGTTTTTTTCACTCATCCAAAGATTCTGATTTCGCGACTCATGTTCAGGGAGGGGAAGTGACTTTCGTCATTTCAAGGTTGCCATTGATATACTAATAAAATCCAAGTTAAAATGTTTTTGAGTTTGATATGAAAATTTTTGCGTGTGTAATGATAGGCGCCAAACTTCCATGAGTTTGCTTCTGGCACCAGCCGACATCAAAGAATAGTTATTGCTGCAATTGAAAGGACGTCAAGATTTATGTTTTACTCATTTTATCAAACCACTTTAGTTTCATGTAAAATATCTTGAAACAATGCGGTGATTGAGGCAGTTCGGTGAGCATAAAACGCTTTGGACGCTGTATACCAAGCTGACATATGTTTGAGGAGTATAAGCCAAAGCAGCTAATGTGCAGCGCTTGTTTCTGTGTACCCTGGTAAATTGATTAGCCACATAGTTGGAGGAACAAAATGATTCAAAGCGTTTGAGAAACCTTTGTCAATGTCTACCCTCGTTTTGGAAATGATAAATGTGCAAAACTGAACGAGCATGCTTGCTTGCACAGATCGGTTGATTCTCTGCCCTTGCTCCACAGAACAACTTTGCCGTTCACACCTCATGTGATCAATCAGGGCGCGGCCAGAGCGATACAATGCGCTTCCCTTATAGATACAACAGCGAGACATCAGACACATCTCAAAATCAGTAAATAGAAAAAATGCATCTGTATGTTTTGCAGATTCACACATGCTCGAATGGCAACTGCGTGCTCTGCCATCATCTTCTTCGTAAGCACCATGCCGTGCACTTATCTGGCAATTCGAGAACAGTCTACTTTTCGAAAGTCTTCGGATTGGATGATTGGGGTACGCTATATCCTGAATCTTCTCAAAAGCGGTTCACGATTACAGATTGCTTGTATCTTTCCTCCATCAGCATTTGGATTAGCGGTGAAGGGTCTCATTGATGCAGAGCTGTCAGGTAGGGCTTCACTTACTCTATTTTACCATTCGAAAGATAGTTCGTAGGTGATGCTGGTAGATGGTCGGCGCTAAGTCATTCAATTGGAGACAAAGGCAGTGTGTTTCGCATAGATACTCTTATGATTATTCTGATAGCGGAAACTATCTTCTACTTCCTACTCGCACTGTATATCGTCAAAGTATGGCCGTAATCTAGCCATTCATGATGATATTATCAGCATTATTCTTTGTCCAGGTATATCCTGGTGAACACGGAATCCCGTCAAATTGGTACTTCCCGGTGGAATCATTCAAAAAGACGACCTCCAGTGAGCTTTTGCAGGAAAGCGATGCCAACAGCTCCTCTCCAGCGGAAGATATTGTGTACGTTTGGCTATTGTAAACTGTTGTTTGTAATCTTCATAGGAGCACTCATTTTGTGGTCCAACAAACTTCACCACAGAATAGACAGACATGAGTTTACGCTGAAATTGTTCTTAAAAAGTGCAGTATTTAGCAAAAACTGGCTGGCATACACAGTTCTGCTCGTTCCCTGTATGTGACCCTAAAACTTACTCATATCTTGTCTCATGCCTGCTCGCATGCTTACTGCTGTGTTGCTTACACGTAGTGCCCTAATTCCATACATCGCGGTTCTGACCTGCAGCGCCCTTATTCGAGATTTGAGGAAATCCACAACATCAATGAACGATAGTAAAAGTGGTTTCGTTATTAGCATTCTCACATACCCTCCTGTGCCATTTCTCAGCTCTCCATCTCAAAGTTAGCAGAAAAACTGATAAAGCCATTAAAGGCAGCGGCTCGGCAGAATTTCATTTTCCAGTTCTTCACGTTTTTGGAGCTTCTCGCCATGAGAAACCCATATCTGGGCTTTTCAGCGCATGAATATGGCAAAAATGCGCTTTTTTCAAAGCTTTCCAGGTCAGCTTTTTGTGCAGAAGTGGGCAAGGCTTGGAACGAAGAAGGGGGGCCGCGGCTTTTTCCGGCGTATCTTCACTGAGTGTGGACCTATAAAGCTTCGGAAAAAGCGCTTTTTTGCCATTTTCGTGGGCTGAAAAGCCCAGATATGGGTCATGGCAGAAGGATCTGAAAAGGTGAAGAACTGGAAAACGAAGTTCTGCCGGGCCGCTGCCGCTGCCTTTAAGGGCGATCTATACAGGGTGTCCCGAAAAAAGGACCTATTATTTGATTGTAAATAACTCTCGTGTAATAAAGTGTTTCGAGAAGCTTCAGGTACCATTTCATAGAGCGAGGTTGAACTTAGATTAACATTATGGAGCGAATCATCGATCGCTCTTCATTACTGTAGGATTACGGTAAGAACTTCCAGCATATGGAAGTTACCGTAGCATTGTGAAATATACCACCTAACAAAAGTTTTCAAAAAATCTGAAAAATCGTGTACTAGGGTTTTTGCGCATGCTGATTCAACTAGCAACATTTTACAAGTGTTTTTAGCTTTTCTGACGGTGTGATCACATTTCTGACAAGACTAAAAATTTATTACGATTTACCTGGGATAACCTTGAAAAGAAGCATCACAGGAGTGGAAATTTCCAATTCGAAATCAGCGCCTCCCATTACCGTAGAATAAGAGTTTTTGGCTTTTTTGGTTTTGTTCAGGCAGAATACGGCTTCTTAGGCGGAATACGCTTTTAATGGCCTAAAATCCTTGTCAAAGTTTCTAGTGTAATCCTACAATAATAAAGAGCGATCGGTGATTCGCTTGAGTGTAAAATTTGGTCCGGATAGGGGTCGGATCAGGTTTCGCAGGTCCGAATCCTTCCACACAAGCAGGGTTCTGTATTTTTGGCCCTAACTCCATTTCAAAAACCGTTGCGCGGATAAAGATTGCGGTTTTGAGACCAGCATTCGTCACTCAATTCAGCAACATACACCTTTCTTGAATAGTCTCTTCGATTGAAGAGGAAATCTTCAATCGAAGTGACTATTCAAGAAAGGTGTATGTTGCTGTAAGTCCATATTTTGTTAATGAAAGAGTGGACAGAGACCGGTGTGTAATTTGATTTGGTTCAATATGGCATGAACAGAGACCGAGCAGGACCGCGTTTGTCAGCACATACAAATAAAGTACCCTACTTACGAGTATAGGACACAGGGGATTTTTTTTTAAATCGAACAGCACAAACACGTCGAAGGAATTCGCGACCAAAGAACTATATGAAGTGCTGCATACTGCTTAGAGTATTGTGCAGCATAAGTGTTTTTCGAAATACAGCGAGGCGACTGAGCGGCTTGCTTAAAAGGTCGAAAAAGGTGCGTCCTTACTGGTGAAATTAGAGTATTTTCCGAGCCGTGTTTGACTTGTCCTAAAAGAAACTTCTTCAAACTGCATTGGCTCAAGCTGCAGCCCAAAGTAAGCGTATGAGACTAATATCAAATGTGAAAGAAAGTACGCGTAACCGACTTTGTTAGGGTTTATCAAATCACATTTTCACTAAAGATGTTTTCTCCAAAATCCAGTTTGAAACTCGCTTTTCTAGAACCAACGATACTGGTAGAGTTGGATGCACTGTTCACTTGAGCAATGTTACAAAAAAGTACTGTTCACGAGGAGCACGAGAGTTTGCTGTGAACGATCTGACTATGAGGTTCTACAAGGTCAGTTTTTTGGTTACTCAAAGTGCAAATGAAAGAAGGTTAGTAGAATCTACTTTATTTGAAACTGAGAGACTCGGTTGAATGTCCGTACTCGCTGATATTGACAAATGACATTCAACCTTATCACAAAGCACACTTTCACACTACGGAACTCTATTCCTGACCCCCGAAGATTTGTGCTGCATGGGCACATCGACTGCACAGCGATAACTGGAACGAACAGTTGAAAGTATCGCAGCGTTGATAACCATCATGGCCGTGAACCATTAACACAAAAAAATCCGCATTAGAAAGCACAAAAACGGCGAAAACAACCATTTGGCAAAGTCTTACAATTTGAAATTGGACGGTTCGCCAAAGCTGAGACGCAGAGTCGCTGCAGGACTCTGCGACTTTGACTGTGGCGGCATGCGTTCTGTTCTCCACCTATTTAGATTCCTGCCGCAGAGCAGGAATCTAAATAGGTGGAGAACCCCGTCTTCGATACCGCTCAAAACCCCACCTAGTCTGGACACTGATTTTGAGCGGCATTTCGCGACGCTTATAAAGTAGGACTTGGGTGTTGTCCTACTAAAGGGGCCGTTTATGAAATCCTTTAGCATCCCACTTCAGATGGAACTGCCCTCAAAGGACAAGTGGTGAAGTTTAGGGTTATGTCCGTGGTCAAACAAGAGTGGAACAAAAGATACGAACACCCCCCCCCCCCTGCATTATTGTTGGCCTACTGTCGGCTTAGAAGCTCTACCAAGCATAGTAATATGTTCGTAATCATCATGTTAAGTAACCCCTGTGGGCCAAGTTTTCGCGAACTCGAAGATTGCCCGATAGGGCCACCCAAGTAAAGTGGACATTTCCAAACATGATTGAAGGCAGCGTCCAGGCAAGTCTGGACAGATGGGGTCTCACGTGGATAGTAATTTTGGGGCCCTAACTAAGCCACCGCCCAACCGGCAGCTCAGGTAGTGCTCTAACGGCTGAGATATTCCCCTCGAAATTGGACCCCCGATCGTATTCGCATGGATTCATGGCGCAAAGCGTGGATCCTGGCGCGAAACTGCCATGAATCCATGCAAATACGATCGCGGGGTCCAGTTTCGAAGGGAATATCTCAGCCATTAGAGCACTACCTGAGCTGCCGGTTGGGCATAGGCTTAGTTAGGACCCCAAAAGTACTTTTCACATAAAACCCCCGAGGTCCAGATCTGCTTGGACGCTGCCTTTAACTATATCTCGAAAGTGAAGCTACCTCTTTCTATAATCAATACAAAGTACTACTCCCTGTTGACCCAAACCATGAATCCTGCTTCAAATAATCATCAAATCATGGAATTAGGAGCAACCAGGGCCCAGCTCGAGGGTGACAAATGGACATCGGTGAAACCACTTCACTTCTGCCACTATCGATTTTTACGATTTCCCCTTGAAACCGCCTTCTGCGTGGGATTTTCAATTGGAGCGCGCTTTCTTCCCCGGAAGGACCGGCGTCGTTGCTATTCCGGATCCTAACAAGGAGGAGAGGAGATGTTTTGCGACCGAAATGTTACTATATACGAAAATTTAGGTGTAGAACAGACTTAGGTAAAAATTTCAAAAAAATGTGAATTGGAAGTTTTGCCAACCCCAGGTAAGCATCAGGTTGGCAATTGCCAACCGAATTTGGAAAGAAAGTTGGGCACGCTTTTCATTCACATAAGTTTTTCCTAATTTTTCATACTTTGTTCCTTAGTCCTACTGCGCGTGTACAGACCAAATCTCGCGCGATTTCGTGCCCTCTGCGTTGCAAATGAGCCATTTTTCCATTTTTTGGAGGAGGAGATTTTCAGAAAAAAAGCTTGCCACAATCTCCAGTCTCATAATTTTTTTTGAAACTTCTCAATCAGCAAAAGCGGGCTTGTGTTCATGCACGCACCAGGTTTCATACCGTAATGTCATCTGTGCGTTGCAGTAAGTCTTTGAATTCACATCTTCACTCACCAATTATGCAAGATTTTTGAAAAAAAAAAACGCTTATCACGTCTTCCATTCGCATAAGTTTTTCTTAGTTTAGTCTCATGGTTTTTTCATAGTTTTTCATGCTTTGTTTCCACTAGCCTGTCTTCGTTTGCTTAAGAAATTTGGTGCCATTCGCTACGCATACATTGGGATAGTCATGCATGCTGTTACAAAGATCATCAGTAGCGACGTTGCGCGTGCGGCAGTTGGCGATGCGCTTGACGCGCGCGAACTCCAGTGTTCGCCTGCTGCGGCACATAACAGTTAAGATAAGCAAAGAGCATGAACTACCAAATTTGTCCCCGGACCCCGCAAAAACGATAGCCCCTTTGCGTTTTCATCCAAAAGATCTCCAACTTGTCATTTGCCCACCTCGTGCCGGGCCCTGGGAGCAACTAAAATCTCATTCGTCCCATTTTCTAGCTTACAGTGGTTGTGCTTCCAGCAACTTTGCGCAAAAGAAAGAAGATCAGCTCTAATCGGTTTTGCAAATACTGCGAGATTTTGGCGGTCGAACTGTATCTATCTAATATATAAAGGATTCTTACGAAGCGAACGCCCTTCTAAATAGCACCATTAGATTGCAGGTTCACTAGTATATTAATAAAACTCAAACTTTGTAAGTGTATTCGTTTAGTTGTTCGTTCGTTATAGAAACGCGCGCCATTGAACCGAACAGCTGATACTTTGCATATATATGTTCTCGAGTCGGCGGTGGTCAAGGCTACTTTTTTCTTTTATTTTTCCTGCGATTCGCTGGGTGTTTCCATCGACTTATTGATTTTTGACATAAAAATGAGTTCTCACAAGGGAAGGATGATCGGTCGAAGTGGCCATTTGGAATGAGCTGTATATTAGGAAACCGTTCTAGGTATGGCAAACTCAAAACTACTTTTGCTAGGTGCCGAGCGGTTTTGTGGGGGGGGGGAGTTACAAGGCTATTTTCCTCCGGCGCAGCCGGTGCACCCAGTGATGAGTGAGGCGCTAGAACAACGCCGCAGTGTGCGGTGGCGCAGTGGCAAGAAAGCGGACTACAAGGCAGATGGTCGAGGGTTCCAGTCTTGTTGCTGCTATCTTGTTTTGCAGTTCTGTAAAGAGTCTATTGGGTGACAGTAAACGATAAGTATCATTTCTAGGCAATTGAAACAAGCTATTTACTGCAAAAAAGTCACTATTTCTATAATAAGCTATAATCTTCTACAATATGTATCTGTTATGATGTCACAACAATGGATTCAAATGATATATTAACATGTATGGAACACGACCACAAAATGCTCAAAGCAGAAGAGCTTCTCGCAGCGCGCAATCAGATAAAATATAAACGATGACAATCAGCAGCTTCACAATTGCTCATCAAAGTCGGTGAAAAAAGTACTGAATAGGAGACTCGAGTTCGCCGGGGTGGTTATCAATGTATCCGGCTGCATGCCATGGGTATGAAAGGAAATTTTTGACTCGCGGCGAGCAAAACTGTGTGTAAATGAGCGATAAGATCTTAAGGATGGAATCCCTATGATGTAAGGCAAAGTTCAGATCGAGAGCCAATACATACGATGTGAATCGATTGCAATTTTGCAAGTGCGCGCGCTGCGAGAAGCTCATCTGCTTTGAACATTTTGTGGTTGTATTCCATACATGTTAATATATCATTTGAATCCATTGTTGTGACATCATAACCTCCACAGATTTACATATTGTAGAAGTTTATAGCTTATTGTGAAATAGTGACTTTTTTCCAGTAAATAGCATGTTTTAGCTGCCTAGAAATGAGTATTTTTCGTTTACTGTCACCCAATAGACTATTTACAGAACTGCAAAACAAGGTAGCAGCAACAGGACTCGAACCCTCGACCATCTGCTTCGTAGTCCGCTGTCTTGCCACTGCGCCACCGCTTCCTCTTTCTAACGCCTCGCTCATCACCGGCTGCGCGGGAGGAAAATGGCCTTGTAACTTCCCCCACAAAACCGCTCGGCACCTACTCAGATAATCGTCGGGGGCAGGCGGCCATGCGATTTATGAGCGGGCGGGCACCGGAAAAATAGTTCGCTGATTTCTTGCGGTGCGCTTGCAGAAAGTTGGAATAATTTTGGCCATTTTTTAGAAGAACGCTCGGAGAACTATTGCGGTCTTGCTATAGATAAGCTGCGGCGCAGTGGCCGCATTCTCGCGGACTTTCCGCGAGAATATGCAGAATTTTCGGGGGCCGCACGGTCCTTTGTGAAGGATCGCGCAGCCCCCGGGTATTTTCCGCTGAGAGAAAGTACCTCAAACTTGAGTAATTAAACCAACGGTGACGCCTCGCCACACAGAGTCCTACCTGTGCTCGGCGTATGCCTAAAACTGCTTAAAAAGAGTCCGAGCGCTTGTTGAATGTTTGGCCAGCGCTCGCTGAAAAAAGTTATTTGCCGAGCGCTTGCAGAAAATGCTGTATTACTGCCCGCTGGCAGAATATGCGACCGTAAAGGAAGTGCCGCAGCTGAAGATTTGGCCACGCCCCAGCTGCTGACCGCTTGCGGAAAAGCGCGAGTTTGCGGACCGCCTGCCCCCGCGATTATCTCAGTAGCGAAAGCAGTTTTGAGTTTGCCTTACCTAGAACGGTTTTCTAATATACAGCTCATTCCAAATGGAGCATTCGCTAACATTCGCTAACGCTCAGCATTCGCTAACAAGTCGTTTCCATGATTTCGTGTGAACAATAGCAGTGAAGTTCATGCTATCTTCGCGGGAAGGATGTGGTGATTCAAGACGAGCCTATAGCGGACGAGCCACTGTATCACAGAAACCTCTTGCAGGGGGGGGGTGAAGTTAGCATGTCGGAGGAGGAAAGAAAGTCGTAGTCGCCAATGTCTAAGGTGCGCAAAGGATTCCGTGCAGGATCAGCTGAAGCCGTGACCCGGGCAGACTGGGAAAACTAGCTAGTATAATTTTCGCTAAAATCTTCGGAGGTATGTCAGTGGGGTGTGGCACAACCCTTAAAAAGCTGTGGCTGTCATACCTTTTAGGGGTTGTGCCACGCCAGCTCCTTCAAAGCATTCAAATATCTGTTTTTTTATATCATTGCACTGCTTAACTTCTTCTCTTTAGAGCAGGGATTTCGTTCAACTCGTTCTTCCTAGAATAAGATATACTCGTTTTTCCTTAGCTAGGCGAAGGGGAAATACTGCGAAAATTTCGGGTAACGTGCCAAGTCTGCACTACTACGTGAATCGCGAGGGAAGGCGGCGAGAATAATCAAATTCGACAATCTGAACCTCGTAACCTTAACAGAAGTGATTTGAGCCTGATTGGTCTTTTCCAGTTTGAGATAGTGAAAGCGAAAAATGGTAAAAAGAAGACAGCTTGCTATTAATTCATTTGGAGTGGAATTCCTAATGTGAGCAAAATAGTAGTTCTTTGTGTTGATGAAAAGTAGTAGTTAACTCACCTTTGAACAAAGTTAACATGATCGATATGGCAGCTCTTTTGGGTGGCCCAATATTTGGAGACTTCAGAATTAGCTGGAATAAGGCCCAAAGGGGTATTTGATATGCTAATTGCGAAATGATGATTTTATGCTTTTAGGACTTTTTTAATATGCTTACTATACGTATGTGATAGTAGGCCAAAACATAATGTGCTAGTAATTTGCATAATGCCTATCTGATATTGCTAACGAGTATCATGTTATCCCTAACGCACCGTATCATCTCTATAAAGACCTCCCCCCCCCTTTCATCCCTGACCCCTCAACACGACCCCAGGTGTGGTATGCCTCGCACTAGACTCTGGTCAGTCACATCTACTGCTGCGCAGCTAATTTTCACGAAAAAAATATTTGAATCCAGAGCTACCTAAGTAGCTACATAGTAGAATCTTTTGCAAAATTTGCACCATCATATAGGTAATGTGATAAATCAAGTTCAAACCATCCTGAGCTCAAAAAATTGAGTTTTGTGGTATAAAAGCGGGCTTTTATGGTAAGGTTGAAACCGGCTTGCCGATATATTACGCATAGTTTATTCAAGCGCTCCTCACCTCAAGCTCGGTGAATCCATGACTTCAATTCTTCAGTTTGAGAGAACTGTTGCTTGAATTTCTCAAAGCGGTTTGACTTTGACGCATTCGAAAAGAGCAGTTTTCTTTGCCTGGATGGATGTATAGATGAGAATGCTTGTTGAAGGAATAACTTGAAACTTTGCATTGTTGCCGTCCTTTCATTGCAGAAATTTTTCTGGAACCTTAGAAATTTTGATGCATTTTTTTCAGGGTGAGATTACTGCACTATTGGGCGAAAATGGGGCTGGAAAGTCAACGCTTATAAGAATGATCAGCGGTCATATGGCTCCAACCAAAGGGTATTAATATGAAAACGCTTACATTTACCATTTTTTGAAAGTTTCAGAAAAATTTTCGTAAACGGCAAATGCACATCTGGAAATGAGCGCGTGTGTGTTGGCATCTGCCCTCAACATAATGTGCTCTTTCCCTACTTGACAGTCAGAGAGCACTTGGAGTTTTATGCTGCACTCAAAAAACCGACCCTCGAAAAGGTTCGGGTTACTTTGAATTCGCATAACTGATTTTGAGTCCCTCATCTATAGAAAGAAACAACCCAAGCCGTGAATGAAATGGTTGACGATTTGCGACTGGAGAACAAGATAGAAGATTTGGCATCTACCCTTTCAGGTGGTATGCAACGTCGGCTGTGTATTGGAATCGCATTCATTGCTGGTTTGTTTTGTCAATTAGCAAAGAGTGCAAAACGGTCGAGGGCACATCCGCTTCGGAACATTTTAGACTCAGAAACCGTTATTCTCGATGAGCCGACAGCCGGAGTTGACCCTTTCGCTAGACGAGCTATATGGAATCTGCTGCTCAAATATAAGGAAAATCACACAATCATCGTAGCCACTCACTACATGGACGAAGCTGACATTCTTAGCGACCGTGTAGCTGTCATTTGCGAGGTGTTCATAGCTAGATACTGGCTCTTCTTTATGCATACATAGTTTTATTTTTTAGGGCGCACTGAAAGCAGTTGGCACGCCATTGTCACTAAAGAATGAGTATGGTGATGGGTACAAACTTTCAGCCTCACTTAGAAATGATAGGTTGGGTGAAATCAGCAATGAATAAGATCAACACTATTTTCCGTGCTTTAGTGCTGCAATGAAAGACTGTAAGAAGTGGCTGGAGAGCTTTGGTGGTGAAGTGAGAATTCTTGACTATTACAACACACAAGCAGTAGTTGGTCTTCGTGGTTGGACCAATAATCAGGTAGTTTTCAAAGCTCCTCTCTCACACTAGAGAGAAGGATGATTAGTGGAAGTGGTTGTATACTGTCCTGTAGGGCCTGAAACGCTGATGCCAAATCCGCTAGCCCATCGCTTTATCCGCTGCACCACCCAACACACAAGTATGTGCGTCTCTTGATCGTAGTAAAGGCTACTGCAGGACGAAGGCGCAGAAGCAGTATTAGTTGAGCGGGCGCGAATTCAGCGCGCGCGTATCTTCACCGTTGTAAACTCTGCGCCTCATGCGCTCTGCGGCCAACAAAGCCGCGTTCGCGCCCAAAGGTAATGCGCCTTCGTCATGCAGTAGCCTACATATACTTGTGTGCGACTGCCCAGCTTTGGTCCACAAAACTTTCATGACTCCACGTTAGAAACGCAGTTAAGAAAGGCAGATTGAAAATTAGCGTATTCCCTACAAGGCAGTGCCCACTTTGAAAGTCACTTCGTCTAATCATCCTTCCCTTGTGAGTCTCCTGATCTCTGAAGTTTAAAGGATTCGGAATGTGAAATCGAGCACCTTAAGTAGAACTTTTGAAATTATCTTCATGGCTTAACTTAATTATGAATATACTTTCAAAAACGTTATCTAGCTTTACTCAGATGAATTGACTTTTGCAGATGGTATCGATGCTTGCGGCAATGGAAACCTCTTCGTCTGATTTGCACTTTCCTATCATCGCATACTCTGTGAATGATTCAACTCTAGAAGAAGTAAGCGTTTGTTGTTGAGTATATTTCTTCAACTTTGTCCTTTAGGTCTTCGTTAAATTAATTGGTAGGCCAAACAAAAGAACTCTGAAAGCTAGCTTCGACGACACGCGTACGAGCTCAGTTTCAGAAGCCTCAGAGTATGCATTTTTGGATTCCCTCTGCTTTAACAAGCAAGGTTCTTGTCTATTTTAGGCCTTATTTCAATTTCACATCTTACGAGAGATATCCGCCAAGGGGTGTTGCGAGGATCTGGCAGCACGTCATTGCACAGTTGCAAAAACGCCTAAATTATGCCTCACGTAGCTGGAAAACCCTGTTTTCACAGTTGTTGGTTCCAGGTAGCCTCATTGCCCTGACCGAAATGTCGTAGAGTTGCTGCGTACTGAGCTGTCAAATTTCAGTGATTTTTGTGATACTGGGCATGGGCGTGGCTCTTCCTGCCATATCACCTTCATCAGCTCCTCCGATAGAAATCTCGACCGCTCAGCTCAACAACGTAACTACGTCTCGAATTCTGATGCCTTACCAAAATTTCGTCGTCATGCCAGATTACCCCTATTCCAACTTCACTTCTAACGATAGTGTGAGTGGGCAAGGGATGACCTACAGGAGTAGATTTTCCGCTTCATTTAGTTGCTTGCGGTGCCGAATTTGCAATATATTTGCACGTGATCAAACAGCTAAATACAGTTTTAATGCTAGCCATTTGCCCCTGCAAAATGCCGGCATTATTGGGCTAGATATTTGATCACGTGTAAACCTTACCGCGAGATCTAGGCACCGCAAGCACACTACATTGAAGGCAGTGGCTCGGCAGAATGACAACTTTGGAATATTCATCGTTCTCGGTTCTCCTGGGTAAGCTAAGTCCAAGACTGTGCTTTGCAGCTTTGAAGGATATCAATAACCCGCTTTTCCAGACGTGAAAAGCGCTATTGGAGGGCGGACCGCGTAACTGACCTCTAGAGCGCGATTGGCTCCTGAGATACTGTACCCGTACCTACGAGCCAGTCGCGCTCTAGAGGTCAGTTACGCGGTCCGCCCTCAAATAGGGCTTTTAACGTCTGGAAAAGCGGGTTATTGATATCTTTTGAAGCTGCAAAGCACAGTCTTGGATTTAGGCTCATCCAGGGGACCGAGAATGATGAATATCCCATGTCCTATCCCAACCTATTGTCATTCTGCCGAGCCGCTGCCGTTGAACTGTAGCTTACAGCTTGAAGAGCCTTTTGCTAATAAAAATTCATTTTTTAGTTTTTGGTAAGTCCTGAGGCTGCAATTTATCAGCTTTATAACCCGGCCGGTCCTGGATCGATGTGTGCTATAGCAGATAGTTCCCTCACATCGCTCGACGCCAATCAACCAAATATGACGGAGGAGTCACTAAGAGAACGAGTTAATCTTGTAAGTTAATCCATCCATTCATCCTGCTAACGGGGTCAGAAAAGCGTACATTTCCCATTACTCATTGAGCGGACCTTATTTCATGGAAAACTATATCTGCAAAGCATCAAATAAGCTCTGTAAACGTTCCGAACGAATCAAAAGTTTCCAATTTTTTTTCGCCTGCGATGCGAAAAAAGTCGGAAACTGATAACTCTCTTTTGAGATAGAAACAAGATCACCTAAAATATTAGTCAAATTGACCTTGTTGCACACCATGAACAACCAATATGTCTTCCTAAAATTCAAGTTAGAAAGTTGCGACGTGGTGTTCGCATCACCCTCACTGTTTTCTGCTGTTTGATTTGCGATAGTATATTCTAATGGGCGAGAAATGTAGATTATTTTCTAATATGGATTATTCCAAAGTTTGCTATCGTTAGTTCGCTTTCGCTAGAGTGGACGGACCACTGCAGACATGACATGACATGTGAACGATCGATGAACCTCCACCCTAGAGCATTGTTTTTTTGTACTCTTTCGGCCATCAAAAGCCGCCGCGCGTGTACGTAGACAGTGCTCCGCCCACTCTAGCGAAAGCGAACTAACGATAGCCATTATCGCCTTCATAGCAGAGAATTATTTTATGTAGGGTTTTTGTAAAACTCGGTAAGCTGCACTATCGAATAATGCATAGGAGACCTTTTTATCACAGGAGGCATTGAGTTGCGCCCTTGCAAAAACTCGCCCTCAGTACGCAATTGAAGACCTCACAATCAGAAATCAGATCAAAGTGATTGAGTCAATCACTCAGAACGTTCCGATACCAGTCAAAGTGTCTATGCCTTAGCTTTCAAAGCTGCTGCTATAGAAATGTGGTAAAAAAAATTGTTTGTGGACCTTGCAAATCTCCATAATACACCAGTATTTCCTCTGATTTCCAGAAGTGCTCTCGTTAATATTCTGCCGAGTGTGTTATATTGGCACAGCTCTAACAACAGATACTTACAAGGAGAGGATATCTTAGTCGAAAGCACCAATCCAGATGAGAGACATATCATTTTAAAGCACTTGAAACGCTGATTCCAAATCTATAATCTAGCTGCGGAGCGGTTTTGTGGAAGGAGTTATGAGGGTGTATCCCTTTGGGGTTGAGGCACCCTTCAGATGTCGGCTCTTGTCTACGAGCACTATAGAAACACAAAAAGGTGTCGACTGGCATAGTGGTAAGTAACGTGAAGGAAAACTACAAAAAGGATTACCATACTCATTACTTGGTTCTTTAACACTTCTAATTTCGATTGGGATCAATATCACTAGGGCTCCAAAGCCATTCGGAAGGTCAATTTTGTGAAAATCGCGATAAAGTTGCATGCGAAGGGATTGAAACTTTGACACTATCCACATCATTTTAAAAGGCAAAAATTTCATATCTCACTCTTAGTGAACAAATTTACAGTGTTTTTCCAAAAAAAACGGTCATGAAATTCAATTTCTCAGAATAACCAGAAACTGAAATAATCCAAGATGCAAAAAAATGTTTGCGTTTCGCCGTTGTGCCGTTCTTGAAAATTTGTCCCTTATATAGCTTTATAAATTTTTACATGGTTCGCAATTAAGAGTTTTTTGCTGTTTGAAATGATATAGATATATCGATAATATCACGCTGTCCCTGAGGCCGATATCGCACCTCAGCACGACGAGGGATTTCGGACGGCTAGCGTAATTAATTAACCTATCATATGCTGCGGCGCTGACGCCAGCTCTGGCGGCTGGCTGCGGCAGCAGTCGACTGCCTGGATACCATTTGCTACGCACCCGTCATAGATGAAGGAGATCTGCTGGAGGGCGCCTCAACCCCGGATGGAAAAACCCCTCATAACTCCTTCCACAAAACGGAATCAGCGTTCCAAGCGCTTTGAGATGATATATGTCTCATTTGGATTGGTACTTTCGACTAACAAGGTAAGGATACTAGCTTAATTCGACTTTTGAGATGAAGCACATACATTTGGAATCAGCTTGGAACGCCGATTCCAAATATGCTCTTCCCAGCTGCTTGACATTATTCTGAAGAGAGTTATTGTCTTTTTGCTATGCAAAGTTTGCGTGCTTCTCGACCTGCTGATGCTACGGTGACGACGTCTAGGTGGTTTTGCAATTGTATAATGCTTCCTTTCAAGATCGGAAGAATCACTCTGATGCTAGTTTAAAACCTAGCCATTTTTTGAGCAGATTCTTATCTACATGCCGTCTTACGACGTTCAGAAGTTTGTTAGTTACTCACAAATGCAAGCCCATAACTCGCTTCGGAATAACGCTAAGCAGCTAGGAATAGCATGATTGGAATCAGCGTTCAAAGCTGATTCCAAATGTACGTGCCACATCTCAAGACGCATCTAAATTAGTATCCTTCCCTTGTAGGGTATCCTTTCCTTGTTAGTAAAGCTATTTATATAGACCGCACCATATCATCACGAAAACACATCCATACATAAAATTGCGTTGACAAACAACTGAATCACTTGAGTGCTGCGTGTCTACATCAAATGATCTATTACAGGATGATGTCATTCTAAAAGGACTGTTATACTTTGAATGAGCGCAAAAACAACTTTTTAGATATATCCGAGATAACTAACATGACTGTGCCATCAGCGGCAAAGATAAGCATCGTTGACTTAATTGCATCTCAATATGCATACTGCACATTGCTCTCCCTAGTTTACGATTTGTAAGATTGAAAGCTATTGCTTTTTGCTCCATAGTTTCTAATCTTTTTCGATTTATTTGAACTTGTATTAGGTAGTAGTAAACGTTTCCATAGTTTATTCCGTTAGAAAAGGGTTTATTGGCGAATTGTTGAGAAGGTATCGTCGCTTGCCGCGCGCAGTGTGCGAACTCGCATTTACACTTGCATATAATTCATAATGACTGCACTGAATGCATTAAAAAACCACCCCGAGCAGGGTTTCAAACGGATGAGTGCAAAATGAATTCCCAGAGCTCCTACAGTATCCATACAAAGTGCCACCAATGGTAGATCACTGTAAATGTTATCAAGCCATCAAGTAATCCATGTAGAAAATTCTAATTTGTGACAACTAACTATCTACCGTACACCTACCGCATCATTATAGACTATGGCACATCTATATAGATGCACCTTACCGAGCTAAATCAAATAGTGCTCCTGAATTAGACTCATAGACTCTGAAATGATGTAGGGCAAATTTTGACGAATTTCAATGAAATTTTGAGCGGTGGCCGCCTAACTTCTGGGGCTACTGCCTAAGGTCTAAGGCATACTTCCCGCGATCGCGAAATCGCTACATCCACGCGACTTGGCGATTTGTCAGATGCCTACAGATTGACTATGCGCTGGTCTCAAATGCATGGGCTCGTGGATTTCGCAAGTTGTAGCAAACGCAGCAAGTCTGGCCCGAGCAAAGTGCATTTACGACCATTCATGAAGAGTCGTTGCAGTGTCAGATTGCGGCGAGTTTTTTCTTTACGAGTTACCTCTGGTATTGTATTTCATGAAGTAAATGGATGCAATCGCTCTCTTAGCAGGCCTAAGGTCCATTCTTCTTTACACTTCCATCTAACAAGGGTCAGAAGTCGAAGTGGCCAATCCATACAAGCTGCATACCAGCAGCGTTGCTCTCCGTGCGCAGTGCGGACGGCGTATACATTCCAAAATTTGCGAGCTCACAACCCGAAACTTCAGCCATGCCCCGAAAAAAATTTTATACGGCTAACTTGATTTTTTTTAGAGTTCTAAGTTTATTGCAATTATTTACAAGTTTGAACAAGTCACTTGCACTTTTTGTGACTCTTGTAAGTAACACTCAAAAACTTTGCGACCCACTCTCGGCGGGGGGGGGGGGGGAGCCGCCCCTGCCCCGATCGGTACGCGACTGGATTTCAGCCATGTCAAAGTGATGTCCGTTAATTCATTTATACGAAGGAATTTATTTATCAAATGTTCCGAGAATTATCAATCACTTTTATACAAAAAAGATGCTTGCTTTCAGGAGCTTTTCGACCAACATTGCCTGCAGCTGGACTGTCGTTTTTGCCATCGATCAGGAGTATTGAAGCAATTTTTGATTCCAAAAACTTTCGGTTAGAGTGAAGTGCGCTTTTTTTCTCTGTTCTCTTATCTGCACCTTTTCAGAAACATCTGATGCTTCCTGCACTTGTGAAACGAGAAAATTTGGCACAGAATGCGGCAATTTTCCTTTTGCAGTCACGGAAGCTTTTGAACTCAACGGTGCTGTCCCGTACGAAGTTTCCGGATTTCATTTCTCTGATTGGACCGTCGCTTTCTCGGACAATAGCGAATTCGGGTAATTCATTCCAAGCATACTTGCTAAATATGCATACCAAGATTACACGTACAAAGTTCAAAAAAGACTATGTTCAGATTTGGCGGAATTGCATTTGGGTTTCAAAATCCTAATGTTCCACAGGACTACGGAGTGGGAAAATACAAATTCCTGCGTAAGCTCGCAGTGAGACACGTGACCAAGGTGAGCCGACTTGTGATGGCAAGTTGCAGGGTCGAGCAAGAGTTGTGGCACACAACCACCGTAGACGACCCCCCCCCTGAATTTTGTCTCAATATCCCCCTCCACCGTATCATCGTTTACCTATCGTACGCATAACATAAAGGCTCTACCAAGCATAATTCGGGACATATTCGTCATTATCATGTCAAATAGCCCCTGTGGGCCAAGTTTCAGCGAATTCTGAGCTTTGCCATTTATTGAAACAACCAAGTGAAGGGGTTGTTCTCAAACATGGTCAACTATGTCTTAAAACTGAATTAGCTACCTCTTTTTGTACTCAGCACAAAGCACTCCATACTCGCCTTCATCATGAATCCTGCATTGCTTCAAATAACCATCAAACTATGGGATTAGGAACCAGCCAAAATCTCAATTGTCCCATTTTACCTGCAGCAGTTGTGCTTCCAGCAACTATTGCGTAGGGAGAAAAGACGAATTCAGCTGTAATCATTTTTACGAAAACTGAGATTTTGGTTAGAGAACTGTATATAACACTTGTTCGCTAAGATTCTCCATGGAGTTGAGTTAATGGGGTGTGGTACAACCTCAGAAAAGCTGTGGTTGCCACACCTTTGTAAGAATTGTATCACACCCCATTAACTTACTTCAATGCATTCAAATATCTGCGTTTTTTATATTGTTGCAACAGCTGGACCTCCGTCTCTACACAACAAAAGCTCAAAATCGATTTCCTAGGGAAAAATATAGTTGTTTTTCCATATCTATGCAAGGAAAATAGTGCAAAAACATGGGACGGTAAGATGCTATGTCTGCGCTATAACGTTAATTGCGAGAAGAGGCGGCGAGAATAGATATATTTGATAGCTCGAACTTTCAACTTTCACAAAAGTAATCTGTACTCAGACAGTCGACGGCATACCTCCGGAGCAGAAATGGCCGAGCCGCGGGGTTTCTCCAGCTGGGGATTGCCACTCGTGCTCACGAGCCCCCCCCCCCCCATTTGTGCTCCGAAGACCTCCCATTTATGCTCCGGAGCCCTGACATTTTGTGCTCCGGAGGTGCCCCAAATCTGGCGCACTCGCGGCGGGCAAATCTCTGCTCCGGGGCTCTCCCAAATCTGGCGTACCTCCGGAGCAGAGATTCGCGCGTCCCGGAGAAGGGTCCCACTCGCCTGCCGGTGACGTCACCATTACCTACAAAAAGGGACCGCCCCCTCGCCCCGCTCTCATGGTCAATCGGGTCCGCCGCGGCTCTGCCAGATCTCGACTGTCCGCCGCGACTACGGCACCGATTGTCTGAGTACCTGAGTGGTTTTCTCTAGAAGAGATGTTGAAAGTGAACAAACTAGGTTTCGGCTTGTTTTCGATTCCACATTTTGGAGGTTTCAAAGTGGAATTACTGAGTGCAAAATGAAGTGATTGACTTATCTTTGAAACAAAGTTAACATTTCGAAAAGACCACCTCACTTAGGTGGCCCAATATTTAAAAACCCAGAATTCGCTGAGGCTTGGCCCACAGGGGTATCTCACATGCTACATACAGAGGTGGCTCTTATGCTTTTAGGGCTTTTTTATTATGCTTATTTTATGTAAGTTATAGTAGGCCAAAACACAATGTGTTAGTATTTTGCATAATGTCGAAACGACGTTAACAAATATCATGTATCGCTAACATTAGTTTTACCTCGATAGCGACCCCTGCCCCTCCCCATCTTTAACCCCTCAACACGACCCCCCAGGTGTGGCATGCCACATCCCACGCTTGACCCTGATGGCAACCTTCAATCTGCAAAAAATGACTTTTCAGGTGTTTTTCGACAATCGTGCCTTTCATGCTCAACCGATCTACCTTAATCTTTGGCATAACACCCTTCTGAGAGCTGCAGTTCGACGCAGTGGGCTGAATGTTAATCCAGGAGCGTATGCGATAAGACTGAAGAATCATCCTCTCCCAGCAAAGAAGATTATGTTCAGTCTACAACGAATGTGAGCAAAAAAGATGTGTGTAGAGCATCCAAGATTCACTAATTGATCATTGCAAAAGTAGTGTCCGGCAGAACTAGCTCAACAAATTGTCGGCTTTTCTTACGTCTTAGGCATACTGGACAATTCCACCAGTCACTATCTTCCAAGATTTTAAATAGTCATTGACCCTGTATAAAATTTCGAGATTGTTTCTGATGCGTTTCCCTTTGCAAAAACTCAGAATGACCTCACTAAAACTCGGAATGCATCACTAGGGTTTCCTAAAGAGCAAAATTTTGCGAAAAGCTCGGCTTACATTACAATCCTTTATTCAGAATAAAATCTTATCTATTTTCCCCGTCCCCCCTCTCCCCAGAACAATTTTTGGGAATGCCACTGCTAACCAGGATTGCGAATACGCTTTCATTTATGCTGTTTGAAGGATAAGACGCAGGAATATTTACAAAACAAAATCAGACAGTCACGTTCAGATTGCAAAATAATGACGTGCTCATAGCCGTATTTATCGTAATAGCCTTACTATTCGTTCCTTGCTCATTTGTCTTTTTGCTGGTATCAGAGCGTTCATCTTCCGCCTTACATCTTCAGGTAATATGTTCACTTTTGGCTACAAGACGTAACGTAGAAGAATTTTTTTTGCAGGAAATGGCTAGCTTGTCTCCTCTTCTGTACTGGTCTGTAAACTACATTTTTGATATTTTTATGTATATGATCACTGCAACATTTACACTCTCTGTGATATAGTATGTCAATTTTTCTGAGAGGAACGAACGCCTCAATGAGGCATCGCCTCTGCGGGCTGCTGGTCCTTTCGTCCTACTGTTGTACATCGTGTTGGGACCAGTGGTCCGCGGAGGCGGTGCTTAATTGAGGTGTCCGTTCCTCCACCCAATTTTTCTCAATATCATCATTATAAAAAATCTGATACTTATAGTCTACTCGGGACCTCAATCTACTCGTCCGCAGCGACTATGGCTGCATTTGCCGTACTAATGGTTCTTTTTGGGATCTCGTCTATTCCTCAAGTTTACGTGGTGAGTACAAAGCTAGAAGCTAGTCACAAGCTAATCAGAGGTTAGATATCCTCTACCGGGAAGATACTGGGAGCTACCTCGTCCGGGTAGATGAACAATACCGCATATGGGCACCACATCCACAGATTGCTGGTCCTTACCTATGCAATGGCTAGCGGTGAATTGAGCATTCTTTTCCTTCCCCTCCCCCAATGAGTACAAAATGCCCTAATCAGGATATTGTTTAGCATCTCTTTGAAAGTCAAGCTAGCCTCGTAAATGAAATACTTTCGGACGCGCGGCTGCCTCCACACCTCTTTTTCTAGAAATTTCGCGGCTATGAGCCCAACGGATGGGAAGCACCTCAGTAAAATTTTCGTAAGGCGTGGCCGAGGCCGTCCTCTTCATTTGGGAGAAAATTGTGTGCATCTCCCCTTCCCCCCTCTCTCTTCCCCCCTCTCCCTCTCCCTCCTAAGGACATTTTTTGAGCCGCCACTGGTTATAGCATATCAACAAAACCAACAGTTTATGAAAGCAGTGTCTATTGCCTGTATGCTTCCTCTACCACAGCAGATGCCGGTGCAGCAGTGACAATTGTGAATCTTACAGTTTTCATTCTTCTTCTCAAACGCATCTACTGCATACATAGTTCTAATCATGGGCTCATTAATTCTTACAATGCTTTTGCTGTTCTCCTCGTTTTTCTTGCAGGTAAATCAACCATCTTTCTGTACTTTAGTTGAGTACCGCATGTTTTCAGTTATTTGGTATAGATTCCCCTACTTTGGCTTCAGCTGACAAAGTTACTCGATATATTTTCTCCGTTTTTCCGCCATTTGCCTTCGGCCGTGGAATGTTTGATGCTGCGCTGCACGTGTACTACAACAAGTAAGTGACAGCTCAAATCTTTTTAACTCATTTTGTTATCGACGAATTTGTATAAGGAAAACTTCCAGTTTCTACGAATTTGCCGGCCAATGGGAGAATGTCAGCACCGCTTTGGAAAACGGAATGTTGGTCAAGTACATCTGTGCTATGTCAATCATGGCAGCGGTCTCATGTGTTCTCACGTTGATTCTCGCCTACAGCAACAAGAAAATGTGTGTTTTTTAGTTGAATTTCAGAAATTCAGAGAATAAACTTTCTAACAAGGGGAGGGGAAGCAAGAAAGAATGATGTGTGGTTTAGGCAGAGCCTTGTAAAGGATATTCGTCGACGAGTGCCCCGACTCGTGCAATTACACCACCTTGGGCTTGCCTGGGCCTTTACAGCTGGACAGTACGCTGCAGCGCGCGGGGACTTGGTAGCTCGCAGCATCCCTGTCCTTTTCCTGGCCTGTCCTGTCCTGTCCTACTGTCAAGCTGGAAAAGCTCCAAAAAAAGCACGTCCACGGTGGTGTAATTGCACTAGTTGGGGCAGTCGTCGACGAATATCCTTTAGACGAATACTCGAAATTGGTTTATATACTATCTCTTTGTCGAAAAAGTGAATTTCTAGCAAAGAGTGCTTCTCATAGTGACATCGTTAAACTACATGACGTAAAGCCATCTACGGTGTACTACCGAAGCTAAGCCTCAAAGGCAGTTCGAACAAAGTAAAGCTGCGATCTACGAGTTTACTCCTTTACTGGGCTTTATTGTGGAACAGAGTCAGGATTCGGGCTTTGCAACTATCGGAGCTATCAAAAACTGTTTATCTTCAGACTTAGGAAGAGAGCTCGGAAATTGTTTAAAAAGAGACGGTGTGGCGAAAGAAATGTTGGACACTTACTAGAAAAATATGGGTCTTTGTCTTCCTTATTCATCGTGATAGGGCGGCTAAGGTTCAGATTCGGGCGGAGACGCTCTTCTCACGCAATTTTCTCGCTTTCCTAATGGAATCATGTATTCGAGCCTGGGTTTGTTTCAGTTGCCTTTTAGCGGACACGCCCTGTGAGCCCAATACATCCAAAGCGAAGCATTCCATGATAGTATATAAATTGCGATTGTTGGTAAATGCCCAAAATGTTCCTTCAGCCCAACTTGCCGGCGGCAACCTGATGAGCTACCGTGTAGCAACGCTGGAGAAGACAGTGTCCAAGAAGAGAAGAGAAGAATCCGCTTTGTGAATGCGCTGGAGCAAAACGTGTTAGTTGTGGATGCACTCGAAGTGGTGAGTAAATCACTTTCGCATGAAAGCGACCTGCGAATTCTGGCGCTCACGATAAATAAGTTTCTTGCATTGCTCTTGGAATAAATACGTAATCAAAGATTATGCAAAACTTTATTCACATTTTTATGGTCAATGACGATGATTGAACATATGACATGAAGACCAATTGCTAAGAATGATAGGCTTTGATTTGCTTCACCAATCACCTAAATTCTAGATTCACAATACATATAGATGATTATACCAAATCCGTTGGACTCTATTTCGAAGTGCTGGTTTTTGAGTACTTTCATAAGCTTTAGTGTGAAAGATTCACTCAGAAGTAGCATACCGTAATTTAAAGTCTACGAACGCCTCACTTATTTGAGAAAATATTCTCTGCAAGAAACATTATTACTATCCTATTTATATACAACTTCAAATATGTTATCATGCTTTTACTTGGCAGATTTTTAGTGTCATCGACGAACATTCCTTTCTAAACCTACACATGCTGTTCGAAATGTATCTTGGGGAGTTCTACCAGGAGAATGTTTTGGTTTGATAGGTAAATTTACTGTATCGGACGCCTGAGCGTTTTCCTTTCAAAATTGTTAGACTTATTTTTTTCTGCATTTTGTTCTAGGCGTAAACGGAGCGGGCAAAACCAGTACATTTCGAGTCTTATGCGGGCAGCAGCCGCCTGATCGAGGTGCAGTTTTTCTTGGAAGCAGTGTGGTCACCCCTGGGTATGCTATACATTCGCCATTAATGTACAAAATCTAACTCTTATGATTTCAGTGCAAGTGTTTTTTCACGTATCGGCTACTGTCCGCAGTTTGACGCATTGTATGGTGAACTAACCACAAGAGAACACCTAGAACTGCTTGCCAAAATTCACGGTTACAATTCGCAAAGTGTACCTGAAGTAAGTTTCACTTGTTCTTTGTCAACTTTGTTTCGAAAAACTTTCCAGGTGGTTGACTATTTTCTGGAAGTATTTGGTATATCTCGGTACGCCGATACGAAATCGCAGGCATTGAGTGGTGGTACAAAGGTTCGTATAAGGGAAGGGAGATTCCAGTAGAATAGGTTTAATTTGTAAAATCTCTACCACAAGTCAATTTTTAGCGGAAATTGTCGTTGGCTCAAGCACTCATTGGTAATCCTGATCTCCTTCTTCTTGACGAACCTACGACAGGCATGGATCCCACAAGTCGCCTTCTGATATGGGAGGTTGGCAGATATTAAATAACACTCCTTTTATAGAACAAAAAGGCATTACCAATTTTTTGTTCCCTTGCTGAGTACGTCTTTAAAGGCAGTGACTCGGGAAAATTGTAATCAATTAAATTGTAATTAAAATTGTAAATTGCGATCTTTCCATTCCTCCTTGGCCCATCGGATGCGCCGAGTCCAGTGCGTTCCTGGTAGGTCAAAAAAGTGCTTCCCATGGCGCTTTCTGATCATGGAGATTGTTGGAGGGGATGGGCGAGCGATAGCCAACTGAGTCGCGATTGGCTGCTTGAGCTGATCAGCCAGTTGTTGCCAACATGGGTGGAGTTACAGTCTCCTGCAGTCAGTCGCTGTTCTTGGCGGGAATCGCTTGCCCATCCCCTTCAGCGATCTCCAAGGCGGAAATCGCCAAGAAAGCACTTTTGACTGTAAATATCTTGGATATCCTAACCAGTTTCAAACAATAGCCAGATTCAAAGACAAAAGAGAATTTGACTTTTTTGAATTTTTAAGTCCCGGACGCGGATCCAGAAGGTCTTGTAGGTGTGAAAAGCTCGCATTCGCAATTTACCCGAGCCACTGCCTTCACATTGTCATCCAAAAACATGTTTTTCAAATGAAAACTTCTACTACTTAGGCCGTAGATCGATTCGTACGAGGAGGAAAAAGCGTTGTGCTGACAACTCATTCAATGCCCGAAAGTGAAGCTTTGTGTGGTAGAATTGGAATAATGGTCAATGGGTCGATTAGATGTGTTGGTAAGTTTGCCAGTCACCTTGCCTAGTCAAAATGCATTGGCTACAATTTGAGGAACACCGCTGTATATAAAGAACAAATACGGTACGGGTTACAATGTTCGCCTTCGTCTGCTCAGTTATAGTGACGAGGATATACTGCTTGCTATAAAGGAATTCAAGAAAGGATTCCCTACTTCTGCACTATTGGTGAGTACCACTTTTGATAGATTTGTGCTTTATGGATCTTGCAGGATTATTAGGAAGTTGAAATGCTCCAGCCCAAAATCAGAATCAGACACTTTCACGTCTTCCTCTGTTCAGGAATCACATGCTGCTGTATTACACTTCGATCTACCGCCACCTTGCGTGCTCTCCCAAGTCTTCAACTACCTTTCCACAGCCATGCGGGATCTCATAAAAGAATTTTCGGTGGGTTATCAACGCTGTACTCAAATCTATGACAAAAATATTTTAGGTCTCTCAAAATAGCCTCGACCAAGCGTTTGTGAGTTTCGTAAAGGAGCAAACAGATCCTGGAGGAGACCGACCTCCCGCACATGCGCCATCAGTTGGCGACATTTGTGCTGTAGCCAACCCGCCCACACTACCCATAGACCCTCCTCGATTAGCGGATTCCTCATCGGCATCTATTCCATCTGATAGTCGAGCAACCCTGATGTATTAAAACAGCTCACCCATAGGTTTATTACAAGTTAGAACAGCAAAAACTATCAAATTTATTTTATTATTATTAACGCCTGGCCCAGCTTAAGTTGTTGATTGCTCACTGTACATATCATTCCTTCTACTCAATTGTGTTCTATGTATGCAGCATTTCAAAAAACTTATTGAGGAGATTAAAGATTTAAATGACTTCTTTCGAGTAATAAGCAAATATGTGTTTGGAATCGCTCTCACTCGAGATTTCAATCGCTGATATACAGGGTAAACAAAGGCGGACGAGCTTTACAGCATCGGTGTCTAAAGCAACTGAATTTTTCCCAAATAGTTTATGATGTTTGCGTTCGTCGTCTCCTACACCTGCATATTTTGCGTACGGTCAAACACATCTCATGGTAATTAGTGCACACAAAACGTATTTGCAAGTGGAGTTGTAAAATGAGTGATGTAAACAGTCACTACACTTCCCTCAAGAAAAGTCATAAATAAGGAACAATAAAGACAATAAGGAACAATAAAGACAGAGTGTCGTCTTGATAAATGGTACCTTCAGACGTTGTCTAGACACACCTTTAGTCGTGGCTAACAGGAATGAGAGAGCGGCTCCATGCAATTTGTTCCGTGAAGGTATATCTCTAGCGACGCACACTGGTGCCATGCGAGCAAACCTTGCAACTTACTTGTGAAAATAATATTGCTGAGGATGTTAGATTAGTCACCGCTACCGTTTACTATTTACCGTTACCGTCTATTTATCGTTATTTATGAACTATTCTCCTCTTCAAGCAGCCAAAAGAAAAGATGTACTATTTATGTGCTCTCATTACAGGACTGCATTGCACAGAGATGCAGTTGAAACTCCATTTGCAAAACTGTTTTCCTTGTTTGCCGAATTCTTCAGCCAAAAATTATAAAATTAAAGTGAAGAGATCTTCGAAGTTGTAGACTTGTTCCGCACAAATAAAACATAACTAAAATTCTCCATATTATCTGAGAGATAGGGAGGAATTAGCTGAGAACACCTGAAAATCCATGGGGACTCTAATCACAAACAGAATAGGAAGTCCCTAGATGGAAAAACCAGCAAGTTTGGAGGAACATGAAACCCAAAGACATTTAGGAGAATTGTGAAGATGTTAGAATATATTTCGCTTCTCCGACCATTCAAACCGCGTTTACATGCGCATCTGCATTATTTAGGGCAAAATGTTTTTTGTCAATCCTTATGGTCAATGATTACACTATATCACACAAATATTCAGAAAAAAGTCCGCAAATATGCAATGTGACAATGATGATGCAAAAGTTTGAAAGTCACTTCTTTAGCACATTCACGAAAAGGCCAATTTATCGACTTCTGCCTTCCAGACATACGACCCCATCTCTGCCAACTTTCTTGTGTTTTTATTTTTATCACCGATGGGACGTATGGACTTCTGATCAAAGCTTCCCCTAGATGTCTCCAACATGTGCCGACATCTCGTGTACTTTCATCGTGAATTTGCAATTTTTAGGAAGGCAACTCACCCGTGGATCGCGTTGTCCGAAATGGCAGTACGCGAACGACTCACCCGTGGGCAGTTTTGTCGTGAATGTTTTAATCGGCATTCCTCCTTTATGGCTATGTCAGCCCAATAATCATTACATCTTGGTTCAGACTACAAATGAATTAGCACATACCAGGAATGATGCAATAGTATGGTGGAGCTGCATGTTAAAGGCATCGTACACCCAGAATTTACGCTACCCAGTTCTCTATATGGTGTATATGTAGACCCAGAAGAAGACCAACTGCGTTGGTCCGGTCTCTCAGTGTTGCTGCTAAGGGGAGAAAAGCCTGATTCTTTTTGCGGTCCACCTCCTTCGGATGAATCCACGACAGCATTGCAACAGTTGACAGTTGCAACTGCAGGCTGTCAAGCAGTTGCTCTTTGTGGTCCGCCTGGTAGTTGTAAGCGTATGCTGCAGTTGTTGCAACTGCAGCATGTCGTGCGGTTGCAGCTGCTCCTCGCTGGCATGCCGGTCGAGCAATTCGAAACTCGTCCGCCCTCTGGAAAGAGGGTCCCCGGGAATCGGGATTTTTTGGGGGTTTGGGGAATTCGAATTTCATAGTTGTGATGAGGGTCACGGAAAAGCCCCAGGATGACAAAAATATGGGAGGCGAAATTTTGGGTGTACACTGCCTCTAAGGGTGGAGGGGAGGTCTGTTTTGGATGAACGACGGCGTATCGACGAGGTATCGCTGTAGCCAATGCTAGGTTCGGCTTTGTTGATGTGCATGATGCTTTGCGCTCTTATGCCGATTGAAGTGCTGGGTTTGGTAGTGATGGCAGTGCGGCTATCCTAGTGGTGTGAATTGGAATGGATTTTTGTGGATGGTGGTGCCACGAGCCTAGTGGGCTGGTGTGGATTGGTGTGGATTGGTGGTGTTGCGATCAGGGCTCGGCACGAGCTGGCACCAGGGAATTTTGAAAACGAAGTCCCCTTTGAAATTTGCCAATTTTTACGAAGTCCCCCTTGACTTTTGGGAAATTTTACGAAGTCCCCTTTGATCCTCAACGATATCCCCCCTAAAATCCTAAAAAAATCCCCAAAATCCCCCAAAAAACGAAACGTCGACTAAAAAAAAAAAAAAAAAAAAAAAAAAAGGTCGCCGCCGCCAATTTTCCGTATGTCTTCGCCCACAAAAACGAAACCCCCTTTGCTTTTTGCCCCAAAAACGATATCCAGCTTGCCCCGTTCCAGCTGGTGCCAGGCCCTGGTTGCGATCCTAGTCAGGTGGTTTAAAATGGTGTGGATGGTGTTGCTGCGATCCTACTGGGTGGTGTGGATGGTGTGGATCAGCATGGATGGGTGCTGCCGCTAGCTAATTAACACTTTGAAGGCAGTGTCTCACCAAAGTTGAGGTAATGCAGATCTCCACAAATTTCATTAGAGCACCCCCTGGATAGGCGACCGCCCCAAGTCCGACTCGATCGAGGCCGTTCTACGCCGAGAGATTTGCCTTTAAAGTGGTCCGCAAAGCGCATTTCCTCCTTACGCGTCTTAACATGTTTCTCCACTTGGTGTCCACCTCCATAGTATTGCTGCCAATGTGGCGAAGGCTAGGCTGAAAAGGCATATCGTCCCCTCCACGGTTGCTGCTACCCTTGGTCTGCGTGCTTTGGCTTGGGTTGTTTCATTTGGGGCGCTGCTAGCATATCGCATGGAAATTCCAGGTATGTCCCACTTCTCCCCGGAAACTGCTCCCTAGTTCTTCGCATGTTGACGCTAACAGACATGACGCCTTCCTTGATCTCATAGTGCGTAACAGGCACGCACCATGAGCTCAAGATAGAAAATGGGCAAATAATAATGCGGAATAGCAATATAGTGAAATGCGTGTCAGTTTACATTTACAATTCAGTTATTTTCAGTTCAATTTGTCGGCGACAACCAAATGAGCTATCGAGTAGCTCACTATTTTCCTTTTCTCTACAAGTTTTTTAGCCAAACTTCCATCAAACAAAAAAAATGATGTGGCAGTGTAGAAACCACTACAAAGAAGGATAAGTGCGGCTTTATGTGTCGGCTACCTGAGTTCTCCGTACACCCGAATGGTGCTAGCCTGTTGCGCGCGGCCACTACGCAATAGACAGTCACAAGTGATGGGATACACCCCGTTTTCAAGCATTTCAATGATGATGATTTTGGATACAAGGTGCAAAGCATGAAAAACTGGAGATTCCTTGCTTCGAGACTGACTTCGGCGGTGTTGGCGAGTGCTTCGGTGCAGTCCTATATGTGTCTCGACTGTGCTTTTATGTCAGAATGCTACAAAGGGCCCAATTGTCATTTAGACGATCGGACCAGCGCAAATTTTTCACTTTTGGGGCCCGTTTATAGAGAAAAGAGGATGTGACGGAAGCGATGGAACGATTCTTTCAAAAAGTTGAGTCTGCTATCAATGGTGGTGCTGGTTTAGGAGTGGTGTGGACTGGTTTGGATTTCCTGCAGTTATGACAAATGCTTTGAGTTCGTTTGATTGGTATGGTTTACAGTAAACACCAAGTCGAATACTTATTCAAGAAATGTGATAAAATTTGCTAATTTTTGTCCCTTGATGTCCTAAAAATCCGTTCTGAATATATTCGACTTTCGATTGTGCAGAAACACATTTATGATTACCAAATGTGACACCTATTATGATTCAGTGAGAGGTGGTGGTCTGACACCAGTCAACTTCTCCGCCTATTTGCTCCTTCTCAATACAATACGCCCCTTATCTGATAAGTAAAAGATACACGAGTGATAATGATTTGACACTTTCAGTTTTTGCGCAGTTGTGCTAGCTACTCGATGTTGGTCTTCAAAGCAACATGTTTGCGAGTCCTACAAACAAAGCAATCAAAGTTAGCGATCAAGTTCTTGCAGCTTGGGGCATGCAGACGCAGATTGAAACCGACAACGTAATACTTCCTGAGTGCTGTACTACGCACCATCGCTCGTGTGGAAGCGTCGTATTTGACAGTTTTTTGCTTTGTTTCCAGTTTGTTTGCGTGCATATTCAAGCGTAGTGTTCATCCAACCGTGTTTAAGAATTTATGAGATTTCGAGAATTGACATGTGACGAGTGTAAGGTTATTGAGCTAGATCGAATTTAGTTAAGGCAATCAGTACTCTGGCCAGAGAATGCTCCAGCAAGATTGAGTTCTCCGATGTCAAACACTTTGTCTGGTGTTTCACCTTCCGTGACGTAGTTCTTGGGAATCTTGACGGATATTTTCTTGAAACAAAGCTGAAAATAAATACGTCAAATAAGAATACAACTTTTGGAGGCAGTGGAACTTACCCCATCGTAATTGCACTTGTGATAGATGTTCACTTTTGGATCGATAGTGGTGAGCTCCTTCTTGTTACCAGAAAGTTTAAATTCACCCTTGGAGTCTGAGAATTTCTCATCGAGAAGTTTGTCCAGCACTGAAATTGTTCTTCGGCAGAGCTGACTCATTGTTGTTTTTACGAAAGGAACTTGTTGGGTAGTTTAACGTGACATTGACGCTATAAATTTGATCAAAAGAAGTGTAAAAGCGCCGGGGTTCGTTATGTTTGCGAAACAATTCTCCGTTTATGTAATAAATTGAGGCGAACACGTAATCGACACTTAATTTGTTTATTGTAAAAATGCTGATTTTTCGTAGCATAACTACACCTAAAACATCGAATCGGGAGGGGGAAGGGGGCACCCGCTACATTCGAAAGACTTTGATTTTCTTCAAACGCGTTCCGAATTTTCCGCGAGATGACATCTAAATTTCTTTTAAAAAAATAAGGAAGGAAGGAGCGGTGTTGGCGGTGGTATATTCATAGATGAGAAAATTTCTTGCACGTCTACTCCATTCTAAACCACAAAATGACTTCTTCTTGAAAGCAACTTGCACATCAATCGCATGAAAAGTTCTAGAAAATATTTACCTCTCTGTCTTGCAAAGACCAAGTTTGAATTAGCTGCCAAAAGTGATTTGCAATGTACGTTGCTTAACGTATGCGACTGCACAAATAGACATTACTATACGCCTTGCAAATTTTCCCCAAAGATAATTCCATAATTTGTCTTGATCTATCACCCTTTCTAAGCATAATAATCTAATCTGTGTCTGCTTTGCCCACTTCCATAGTTTAGCCGTACTCATTTCAGTGAACACTTGGAAACTTTAGATCTAAACTGGAGCATGTAGGTTTGCTTTGGAGCACATCGCTACCTCGTTAATTAGCTTGATTGTGCGTGCTCTACCGCAGCCGCCCTACCACATTTTGATTTCAAATTGCCTACCAAGTGTCTACTGAAATAAGGAGCACTTTGAGACATACCTAATCTTGGGTCTTAATTCCTTTTGTACTCTTGTTCCACCAGTGACCCTACTCTACAAGAGTTTGAAATTCAATTGAAGGGATACTCGCAGATACCTAAGGACGGCAATACCAACATTACACTGGCAGTCCGAATTTCTCGAGGGATGGGAGGGGCAACTGCGCCCTTTGGAAGAGTATGGGGAACGGTCTTCGAGTTTTCGACTACTCTATGACCAGGGTCAAGCAAGGGGTGTGGCACACGATCGCTGGTTACGACCCCTCCCCCCTGATTGCTGTCTTAATAAGACCCCCCCCCCCTGAACTATATACCTAAGATAGCATACCAGAGTTGAGAAAGAGGTCGGGCACAAGTCTTTCGAAAACAACCCCCCCCCCTCCCATGAAAGCCCTCAAACGACCCCTTCTTCCTCCTCTCAACCTCTGGACCTCAAAGTGTGACATTCTGGAGGACACCAGCTTTTTCTAGAAAGTTTTCAGATTTCTGAGAGCTGTACGCCCGATTTTCTGTGACTGCACTTTACAATCACACGTATTTGACGGCTGATTTTGAATGGGCATATTGAAAGGGCCATAATTTTCTTATAGGTGGGGCGTTCGGCTCCAAATTTCCAGTGTAGCAAGAAGAAGCTATGTGCTCAATATTCATACCAGCAATAGAGCGCTTTCTGGATTTTGAAGGCAAGGGGGTGTGCCGCACCCCATTAACTATATCAAAAAAACATTTTTAGCGGACAGTATTTATACGAATCGATAGCCTAAACCTTGTAGATTCCATAGGACTGTTTGGAGCCTGATTCGTCTTCTTAGCTCTGAGTAATATTTGGTGAAAGCACAGCGATCAAAAGCGAAAAATGGGAAAAACGAGATTTTGGTTGGCTTCTAATTCCACAGTTTGCAGGTCTTCTGAAGCAGGATTCCTGAGATGGACAAAGAAGGAGTAGTGCTTTGTCTTGAGTGCAAAAACGGATAGCTAATTCACCTTTGAAACAAAGTTAACCATGTTGGAATTTGACCATTTCATTTAGGTAGCCTAGTATCTTGAATCTTCAGAATTCGCTCACGCTTTGTCTACAGGGGTTAATTGACATGCTAATTATGGAAATGATACAAATATCATGTTATCACTATTATCAGATTACCCAAATACGACCTCCTCCCCTTTTGACCCCTCAATACGACCCCCCAGGTGTGGCGTGCCGCACCCCACGCTTGACCCTGTCTATGACGTCGACTTGCTGGAAAAAGAGGGTGTGGCGGCAGCCGTGTTTCTGAAGGAAATTTCTGGTTTTTTTTTTCGAAAAAGAAAATTCCGAATTTTAGTAACGCAAGCTTGAACGATTGATTTTATCGCTCTACTTGAGCTATTCTGCAAGTCCTTTGCGTTTGCGGAAGCTATAATCACATGGAATCGAGACTGAGAAATTGTTGCATGATTTATAAATACAGCAGAACTTTCACAATAAATAAGGATTACTTCGAAAGTGTAAATCTGCTTGTTCCATTACTGGGTATGAATGCATGATTTTTGAAAAAAAAAGAGATTCAATGGCTGGCAATCGAACTGGTTTCGCTAGAAATTGCAGCGTACAATTCTCCAACATTTCAAACTACAGATTGACCATATTTTCAATGCAATAAAGCGCGCTGCCCAACAAACACGATATGATTGCTGCCGAAAGCTGCGTTAAATTATAGCCTTGATCTCTGCGCTTTTCCCAAAAAGAGCACTAATTTGATAGTTTAATGAAAACTCACAGACTTCTCTTTCGTAGAGCTTAACCTTGACGTTCTCTGCCGGTCTTCCATTACAAGTGAGTTTGCCCGTGACTGCTACTGATTGCACGGTACCGACGAAAGGCAAAGCGGCTGTAGCTGAGACTAGACACAAGAACACCAGAACCTTCATTCTGCAAAGATATAAGCTGCATAGCGACTATACAACTCTTTATCACGATAAAAAAGAAATTTCAGGAGTAGGCAGAACTGGAATATTCGAGAGCAATGAGAATGATCAATGGAATGAGTTGAGCAGACTCTGTGTCAATATCCGCGTGACATTTTTTGAAAAATCAAGAAGTGACAGCTTTTGAGAAAACAAACGTAAGCAGCGAAAATGGTGCGTTCTCTAGATTCGAATACGTTTCCGTTTTATACGTTTCGACCGGTTACCGCGAGAGCGGTTGTAATAGCATCATTCGCCGAGGCCATCACCAATCAAAATCGAAACGAACAATGGCCATGCATGACTAAACAAACCATCTTCATGTTACTGATTCATACATGATCGGATTTGAAGTATGCATGTTATTTTGGAGAAAAAAACTAACACCGTTTTGATGAGACTGCAGAGGAACGAGTGTTGCCCATGCACAGTAACCACAAATTTCGACTGTCTATTGATATATTACTTCCACTTAGCGCTTAGTGCATGAATACTATTCTATGTTGTCTCTTCTGGAGACAATGTATACTTGAGCGTAAGTGCAAGACAATAGACAGAAACAGGAACTTTGCACTAGTTCATCGCCTTGCTGCCAATCTACGAATAAGATCCATTTCAAAGATTTGCGGAACAAATATTAGATGCAAAATAAGGTTCCTTGGATGAATTACAATTTATCTCATTGTCTTTTACCGTAATAAGAGCATTGAGTACCTCCAGAACACTGCATTCACTGCAGTGAGAGCTATTTAGAAACCTAGAGGGATTCAGAATAGGCATAGAATAGTAACAAGCTCACAAAAGAATACAAATCCAAATCTTACAGTAGATCAACTCCACGTATATTTTCTGGAAGGCTTAGCAGAATGCTCGCAATGAACCTTGTCGCCATAAATCGAGCTCATCCAGTGCTCAGTATCCCTTCATCGTGTTTTGCTCCTGCAGCTGACGTAAGCTCACTCTATATTTAGTTTTCATTTATTTCCAGCTCTAAGCACACTCCTCATCTTACTGACATTTCATTCTCTTAAAGTAATATTTACAATTTGTTAACGGATTTCCTATCTACTTTCTGTACGATGAAATAATCATCATTTTGAGGGTCTGCCACTATCAAAGCTAAATATTCTGTCGTTTTTGCCAATGAACACAATAGCATCGGTTTGCAATTTGGTGGTTCAAAAGCCCTAATCAAATCTGATTGAGCTCTACACAAGCCAGCCATGAAAATTCGTTCTTTTTACGGGTTTTATCATATTCCAGGAGCGTTTACACCAGCGAACTTCGTCATCAAGGAAACTACTATGGCATATATGAGAGCCGAGCAATGCTGAATCTTTTAGATTTCATTGATGTCGCGTTCAAACCATAAAAAACATTCTGTGCGTAATACTGAACTTTAGACCTCGTAGGAGTTCGGATCTATAGCAAAAGCTGAATTTCTATAAAAAACCTGCGCTAAATCTATTGGAATTGCATCTATATCTGTGTCACCTTTGATGTATTTCGATTGAGGAACCAATGTCGATGAAGAGGATTATCAATCATTGCGATACAAAAGGAACAAAAAAGGACAAGATAGCAGATTTTATATGTTCTTACTGAATGATAAAGGACAATGTCGAGGTAGAATATACAAAATGATAAAAAAACAGCTCTACAGTCAAACTCTACGCGCGATATAGTACGTACATCTACGTTAAGAAAGGACGAGCACGGCAACAAAGTGCTTTACACCAACAAAGGAGAAAGAGGTCATGGTAGTGTAAAAAGGCAGCCATGACGACAGGTTATTGTGAACGTGGGCTTTTGTACAAACGCCGCAGGAAACGGAGAAGGTGGCTGTCGAAGAAGGGGGTTTTGATCACTACTACAGGGTCCGGCACAGAAGTTATGGGTTGGGCCAAATTTTGTTTTTCGGGAAGTCGTTCAAATGTGCGCGCTAGATTCGAGCGTGATGCTATGATTCACAAAAATAGCTTGTTTACAGCACCAGGGATCATATAACTTCAAATTCGGACTGTCTGATCGCACCATCTTCAACAATGACACAACTATATTATTATACAGATTTTGGAAAATGCAAGTTGTACGCCGGATTAGTCGCCACAAAAGAAATAACCGTTGTTTTTTGAAGCTCCATGGACACAGAGTCGTCGTGGAGCTTAAAAAACAGAGACTGCACATATTTTTGGAGATATTTTATCATGGTAACGATTCGGCCTTCTAGCAAGGAACTCATGGAAGCATCGCCTTTCTTTCTCTGCTTTAATTGAAAAATCATTCGATTGATATTGCGCCCCAGTTCAACGATAGCTGCTGGGATTGACTGTTTTTCTGTTTGCGTAACCATTCATCAGTTCTTGTTTCTGTTATATAAAACTTTATACAGCATGTTCCCAGCAGCTTTTGCCTATCATTAGGCTATTGTAGCACTTTACGTTGTTATTTAGTGTTTTATGGATTGTTTCTGTTTGAAACTATGACAACTGAGAAAGGGATGAAAAGTTGAAACAAATTCTCAAAAAAAAAGACTGCGAAAAACTCCAGGAAGCTGCTAGTTTGTACTGAAAAGAAACAGAGGACAACTCGCGGCCGGCTCTCTACCATACTTTGAAAGTTACCAAAGCCTAATAGGAAATTTGTAAGTGGCAAAATGTAGCGCCCAGAGAGGAATTCTGATGAATGAAGGCACAAATGCAGCCAGCCGATCAAATCCAAAGTGTTGCATGGCCGTAGCGACGCGTCGAATATCCATGGGCATCTTCCCTAAAAAAGAAGAACCGGTGGAACGGTCACAGTTGAATGGGAGACCCACTTACCATCGATGTCCTTAAATCCGTAATCGCGAGCGATATCATAGGTCATCCACACTTTTCCTGACTTATTGATGACTTTCTTATCCGAAGCCAGCGCCACTACTGCTTTACCAACGAATTCTGGAGATTCACTTTGCTTGAATGACCGATCGATGACCTCCTAAACAGAATTCTACTTCTCTCCGAAAAATTAGGCTCTTAGCACACATGAGAGAAAAGTCTAGTTTGTGTTCGATGTGTGAAAAAGAAAAAAACTGGATTCGGCTTGGAGCTTCCCGAAAATATTTGTTGCGGCATAAGCGGGGATGAAGATAAAATCGGTAGTTTGAAACTGTAAATGGGGGAAAAACGTTGAAAGATACCATTCATTTGTCCTAACCTTCTATACTTAAATAGATTTGAATTTAAAAGGCTTCAGATCCGTTTGCTCCGTGATGATTCTTTTTATTGCAATATTTGTACGAGCGCCAGCTTGATGATACATTTGCTTCTTACAAGGGAAAGATGGTCAGTCGAAGTGACCTATTGCGATGACTTGTACATCATTATGTAGGGCATAAAACACTGATTCCAAGTCTCTTCCTTATCTGCGGCGCGCTCCTGCACAAGAAGCTATGAGCGTTTATTGGAGAAAAAATTGAATGTGCAAATAATATAAAAACAATAGTAACATTATTCCTAGCGCTTAAATGGACCAGTGGTAATCTTTCCAACACTCTATAAAATAAATACTCTAAGGTGAGATAGATCCACACTTCGGCTGTCTCATTTAAGCGCTGGGAAAATTTTAGCCAATGTTTTTATCCCAGAAAAACACTCATTTTTTGCTCCTTCAAACGCTCATAACTCCTCCTCCAGGAATGCGCCGCAGATAAGGAAGACAGATTTGGAATCAGCGTTTTATGCCCTCCAACATGGTATACAATTCATCTCAAAAGGCCACTTCAATCAACCATCCTTCCCTTGTTAGAACTAGCTTCCAAACTGCGCCACGGCAAAAAATGAACACACCTCTGACATTTGCACCATTTTTGACAATTTGTGCTCGTCCCGTAATAGTAGTGAGTATTCCGTTCGTACCATACCAGGCCATAATGAGATTATCGCGATCTCGTACGGCCTCAGTTCGACAGCCATATCTGCGGACATTCGATCCAGCTGCAATACATCAAAACTTTTCCAAAGTTGTGCTCAATGACAAGTGAATATGAAGTATGGGTGTGGAAACAGTGATTTCAGGAGGATGAATATGAATTTTTGTGCACCATTCAAGTAGCACTTTTTTGTTATTGTGTACTTAAAACAGCTCTTCCAGTATTTGGGTTTACAGGGTGGATGTTAAAAGAATATTTCACCATTCTATACGCGATGACACATCGTATAGATTGTTAAAATAACCAGATCTTCCAAAAACAGTTGTAGACGTTTCGTTTGAAGAAACATGGTGTATCGATTTTCTCACTAACAATGACTTAATTTTTGTGGTGAATAGGTGTGAATCAGTGAATCTAGTTCGAAGTTTGTCAGCATTTGTCACTATTATAAGGAATTTAGAATGCGTTGAAAATTTGTTCGATGCTGTGACTGTCTCTGATGTATTCCTTAATTCAATAATTTATACGACTAAAGTGTGAAAACAAGTATTTTCTGTACATGCAAAAAAGATTACAGAAAAGTGGATCAAACTTACAGCTGCTTTTCCGACACCGTATGGAACATTGAATGTGTACTGTAAGCCGCCAGCAGATGAGATGTTGACGATCATACCAGATCTAAAGATAAATATCAAGTCTGTTCTCCTAATGGACAAGAACATCTATGTTACTTCCTCTTGGCCATCATTTTGGCTGCATGGCAGCAGCAGATGTAGTTGTTCCTTAATCCCACGTTATTGACTGAATCCCATAGCAACGGATCAGCCTCGAAAAAAGGGACAGAAACCTTCTCTGCCATGTCCTAGAAATCTTGATTGACCTGACAAGCAGAGACTGGAGAGAAAGGCTGAAAATCTACCTTGGCTCCCGAAAATGCAGCATTTACTAATATGTTGAGTTTTCCGTCGTTTTCTTTGTGAATTCGCTCGAAAAGCTTGGAAATGTCCTTATGATCAGTGTGGTCGCAGTAAACCGGCACGGCATTGCCACCTCTTTGGCGAATATCTGTAATCTCATCTTGGCGCAGAATTCGATAGCTTATGCATCCCAAACCTTCTGCAGTCTGCTGCAGCGTAGGAAGGCTGCTACTCTGACTCTGTAAACTGGCTTCAGGTTTTCTACCCGTGATGTACACAGTAGCACCAGACTGTCCTAATTGCAAGGCTACTCCTCGTCCTAAAAATAACGCGACTTTACACTGAAACAACAAAGGGTTTTGAGCATAAAAATTTAATTCTCAAGTAGATTTACACATGTACCCCATTTCTATGAATGGTAATCTGCGAAAATGGAAATAGCTTGTTTTCTATGCGTGAGAATATTGACGTAACCGGGCAAGAAAGATAAGTTTTGCGCCGACAACTCTAGAAAAATTCAATCAGAAATCGTTATGTAGCCATTTCAATCTGCATGATATTTTTATTGTATATGATGTATGTATATAGATTTTTATAATACAAAAGGTGTCCCAAAAGTGAGTGCACTTTTTTAGTGCTATAGTCCGAGTTAACCATGTGTTCCCTTTCCCATCACCCAAAACGCAGCCCCAGAGCCTCGCGTCGCGTTCGCGCGCCTATAGTTGGACATTCAAAACTCGTCTCATCGATCGGCGCCGCCGTGCTAGGCCTTTGCGGTGCGGACGCGAGCTGCTGCAGAAAAGGGAGCACATGGTTGACATCGATTGTAATTACTCTTTTTTTCATAAAGTCTTTTGCTTAGCTTTCAGCATCGCTTAATAGAGCAGGCTCTAACTTACAATACCGCTCACAGAATGTGCAAAATTTCCTTGAATGTCGCGGAATTCCGGGAATTTCACAGAATTCGAAAATGTCGCGGACTTCCGCGGAATTCCTGAATTTCGCGACATTTACGGAAATTTTGCACATTCTGCAAGCGGTATTGTAGATTTAAGTTATGGAGCGACTCACGCACAGCTCTTTCTGTAGGATCGGGATAGAATTTTTGAAGACGATTTTGCGCAATCAATAGCTGCGTAGTGCCTCAGTATAGACACACAACAAGCCGAAAACCTTGTCATTAGGCAAAATTGGGTCACTGATTCATGAACAAGTGAACATGAAATTCTCACTTTACTGTAAGCTCTTTTCATCATGAAATTTCCACTTTACTGTAAGCTTTTTTCATAAGTTATGCCAGGTAACCTCAACGAGTTTTTTTTTCGGTGTTTTTTGAAAGTGTGGTTGAACCCCTTGCAACGTTTCAGAAAATTAAAAGTTGTCTATTGGAATTAGCATGTCCGAAAACGCTGCTACACATCTTTTCGATTTTTTGGAAATTTCTCCTCAAAAGGCCTGTTCACAATGGCGCTGTATGCTGCAAGTTTCTACCATAATCCTACAATAATGAAAAGCAATGGGTGACTCGCTTTATACTGTATCTAAGTTGAAGTCTGCTCTACTGCATGATGCTTGAATTTGGGCAAAAAGACTTTATGGTAAGATAGTTATTGACGATTAAATTGTGGGTTACTTTTGAACACCTTGTATATTTATAATTTTCTTCCAATTAAAATCGAAGTTCTGAAAGGAATTCTTTACCAAGAAGTCTTTTGCCTAACTCTAAGCATCATTTTGTAGAGCTGGCTTCAACTTAAATTTACAGTATGGAGCAAATTGCCGTGCGCTCTCCATTACTGTAGGATTACGGTAGAAATTTCAAGAAGGGTTGTGACTCATTAAAGGACCTATTTCGCCTCAGAAAGCAAATTGAACGACCAGAAAAATTTTGCACTAGGTCAACTCAAGCCGCTAAAACCAAAAATAGTGTTTGCACTTTACTGCTTCGTTCATAAGTTATGCCAGGTAAACATAATAGCTGTTCCTACAAGACTCCAAAAAGTCGTAATTACACCATTTTAAAAGCTTTGCAAACTCTTAAAAAGTTGAATAATAAAGTCAGCGAGCTTGGAAACCCTAGCACACCCCGTTTCAGATTTTTTGGAAACTTTTTTTGAAACACGGTAAATGTGTAATGTAGCTGTAAGCCGAAAGTTCCTACCGTGATCTTACAGTAATGGAGAGCATACTGTAAATCTAAGTTGAAGTCAGGTCTATAAAATGGTGCTTAGAAGAAGGCAAAGACTACTTGGGAGAGGAGATATTAACGATCAAACAGTTTATACATACTTTACGGACACCCTGTATATGCAGGAGCAGGACAAATATTATGGACCAGTAAAGAAGGTCGTACCCAACCCAAAAGTAAAAACGGAAGTTATTTGACCTTTTATTTTAGCGACCGAAATTCAAGAAATATAATTTGAGTGTTTGTTTATACATTATATTAATCAAGTTCAGTGAAGATGAAGTATCAAATCTGAAAATCGATAATCTCCGAGAGTTGTGGTGTCTGTACAGTATAAAAGTGATGTACCTATTCCTCTGCTTGCTCCAGTTACCAGAGCGATTTGCCCTTCCAGAACTCGTGCCATTCTCGTGGACAGATGCTAAAACTAAACTTATTTCCTGTGTAAGATTAAATGCTTCTAAGAAAGGTTTAGAAGTGATTTGAAGCCACAAAAGTAACTAGTGACGTACTAGGGCATTCATTCAAACAAATCCACATGACATCTACTGAAGGAGAATTTGGAATGTCGCCAATGAAAATTGGAGTACTATACATTAACATAGACAGAAAATGTGAGGAACAAAGATGTGAGAAAGACCTTAAAACGGATTATTCGGGAAAATCGCATAGTAGGAAAAATAAGTCAACTTGTCCAAAGATTTTTCACAGGTAAGACTAAGACCTGTGTACAGATCTTGAAAATTTGCAGCGTTTATTTTGATTAAATGGACAAAAATGCTCGCAGTAATACAAACAACACGAAAAAAGCTATGAGCTTTTCACGTTTATACAAACATTTATAAATCTTCATTGCTTAAGAGCATTGGCCCACCAAATTTTAGCTGCGCTGGAGTTTCATGAGTTTCGTTACAGGATCCTATATTAGATCAGTGGCCAAGTCCGACCTACCGTCACCTTTCCCCCTACCAGAGAAACCAAGGTGGGCCGCACGTGCCTTGCGCTGGACGACTCGCCGGTACCTGTTCCACCCCCCCCCCTTCTTCTGCGTTTTAACAAGTTTTTCCAAGCCAACACAACCTCTTTAACGTGACTGATTTTGCAGTGAAGGAGCATGACTCGTAGAACTTGTCTGCGATATTTTTAAATAGTTTTGTTTTCTAAATGGTTTTCATAAAAGTTGCGAATTTGGACTCGTGTGATCTGAACATCGGGAACGCTCGCATTCTGCAAAAATTTCGAGACTCAAACTTGGGCGAGACGTAAGTGTCGATTTTGCTGACGCATTATAATGATGTACTGTTCTGAATGTACGCGCCATTTTATTCTTCCTCTCTAAAATTATTGTGAACGGTCAAAGTCAGCCGACATTCAGAGTCTAAACTGATTTATGCCACCTATGGCAGTGGCGCATACAGAAATTCTGTTCGGGAGAAGCGGGGGAGGGGGGGGGGGAAGGGACACCGACAAGAATTTTTTTGATGGAAGATGTGTGGCGTTAATCACTCATTCCGAAAAATTTTGGGATAGTTTTAAAAAATACTGCCTGCTTATAACCTTAACATCAAAAAAGGCCTTCAAAAGTTCTACAATGCTAAGGGGAATTTCCCAAAAATTTTGAGAGTTACTCAAATCATTTAAACTGCAAGCAAGTCACTTGCACATTCAACTCATGTGAAAAAATTTCAAAAATTTGCGACCTATTTCTCGAGGCCATCGGTACGCCACTCCAGTGAGGCCATTGATTTGCGACCCTTTAGTGATTCCCATCACTTGTAGAGTGGAGGGGGGGGATACTTCAGGCGTAATCGATGCAGAATTTATTTCTTTCCAACAGTCATGTTCCATATACAATTATTCTGATGAGCGCTGAGGTAATCGTTGGAGCTTGCACTTCATTTTTAACTTCTAATTCTCGCTATTTTCAAAATTATTATTTGCGACTTCTAGGGGACTAACGTTAGAGAGGACAAACCTTTTTCCATTCAATCCATTTTTTGCTTTCTTCTGACATCAATTTCAAATTTTCGTGAACAATTCCCAAAAACTATCGAATTCTCGAGGAATTGCATAGTGCCTAGTTGCATCAAACAGTGCAAAATCTCTAGAATATTGATGTCCCAGAACTTGATTATAACTACCACTAACTTTACAATGTAGATGAGCGATCGTTTTGAAATACGGAAATCTGCGAAAGTGCGCAACCGTAATTTGAAAAATACTGCAATTTTCCCTGCAACTTTCTCGCGCTTCGCGAAGCAAAGACAAACTGCCATGAAGTGGTGAAAAAGTTTCATTGAATGGTACCTAAACTGATTACATCTCCAGGTTGAGTTTGATCGAACTGAAATTTAATACTCCTTGAAGAAGATATATTTCAGAGACTCCAAAAGACAAGTCAGAGAGCTAAAAGGATTGCATCGATTTGCAAAGGACCAGCTAACCATCGAAGCATCTTCAAAGGTCTTAAATAGAAATTTCGAAAATTAGCAAATTCAGATACGGTGAAAACGAAGTGTTAGTCTCCGGCGATTATCTCAGCAAAAAAGTCACTTTGGGAACATGGCGGCCGGAAAGAGCAGTTCCATCGAATACTTCTTGAGTGTTCGTTTATCTTTACGGTACCATACGGGTCACTTCCATAAACAAATGAAACTCTCATTAGACCTTAGACCTAATACAGATGGATGATGTACACTTTTCTATTTATTTTCCAGATTATGACAAGAGTAACATCTCAGAAAGTGAAATGTAGACTGAAGCTACGCAGGTTATATGCAAAAACCACAATATACGTAGGTGACGGGCTCGGCACAGGTGACTTATGAGCAAGCTGGATATCATTTTTGGGAGAAAAAGTATAAATATCGTTTCTGTGGTCGAAAACAACACAATTTAATTACGTTCTTTTAGTCAAAGTTTCGCTTTTATAGGGTATTTTACGTTTCAGAGTTTAGGGTTGAGAGGTACTTCGTAAAATTTTGCGACAGTCACGGAGAACTGCGTTTTTTGCATTTTCGGAAAGACACCTCCTGCCGAATCATGGTAGGTGATCACACATTTTACCAAATCCTTGTTCTTATCATGGAGCAGAATGCCAGCAAGAATAGGAAAAGAGGTAAAGCCATCGATATTCCTAATCAAATGGGATCTGTACAATTCTGATAGCAACATCAACAAAACAGAACAAAGCACTGTCAACAAAGGACTATTGATGCAAGAAAATTGTTTGGAGTCATACTTCACGATATGATGAATTGCAGATTTTACTCAGCTTTGACAAAGGATCGCTTCTCTTTTGTTATGTACTATTCAACCAACGTATAAGATGAAGAAGTGATTAACTTTGGTGTAACGAAAGTTTGCAAACGTATACTGTAGTGAAAGGTGCGTTGTGTCATCAACTTTATCTCTCACATAAAAAAATGCACCAATTCTACTCTACTGGAAGGAATTAGCGTAATACACAGACGCTCAGAAAATAAGCATACGTTTGTAGATTGCGTTTTACTGCCATATAAGTTTTGTGAATTTTTTAGCGGTCGACATTTGCGCTGCTGGACTATTACAATAATAGCTCGTTCTGAAGTTTCTGTTTCGTGATAATAACAGCTGCATTGAACACATCGAAAGCATTTTAGCGATAATTGATCCAAAACTTTTTAGCAGCTATGGTAAAATCACTCTATTTATGGAGTTCAAAACATATCAAAGTATTTTATCGTCGGTGGTTCCCCAAAAATAGACGGTTTTTTGAAAGGAACAACGGCTTACATATTAACGCTTTCTGAAAAAATTTTGGGCAAAGCAATGAAGTTTGTTCCAAAATCGAGAAAGAAGTACCCCAACAAATGTGAAAAATACCGCAAAGTATGATGCATTTTTGCTTCCCTTTTCTCCCAATTTGATATATTTTGCCTAAGAAGCTGCTTTGAGTAGGTAAACTTCCCCGCCCCCCAAGCAAAACCAAGAACTGTTCGAATTTCAAAGTGGAACTAGATTGAACAAAGGTTAAAAGTAACAATTTGATATACATATTTTGCCTAAGAAGCTGCTTTGAGTAGCTTTTTTCAAAAAAAAAAGAGCATCAGCGACTTGATGCTAGAACTGCTTCTACAAAATTCAGTCTATGTCTGCAGAAACTTTGTAAAGGCATCATGAAGAGAAAAAAATGGCAGCAGATACGAGGCAGTTACGGGACGGTTTGATGATTTATTCTAAAATCAAGGATAAGAGTACTTTGTGAAAATGCAAAGTTGTATTTGATTTGCACTTTTTGCTAGGAGAGTAGAACTTGCACTTCTTGCGATTGCCAATTCTTCGAAGCATAAAAACATTGGTCCCGATGATCTTTCTCGAAAGAACGAGGGTATAATTGATACAATGATTATAGAGTTTTGCAAAGAATAGGACTGTACCCATTAATAAAAATGAAGAAGAAATGGCACTAAAAAGTTGCGATAATCAATCACAGTAGCTCAAGTCGATAATTCCAGCAATGACATGAAGAAGCAATAAATAGAAAAGAGTTTTTAAAATGATGCAGTCTTCTGTCAGGGTCTGATTTTTCACCATGTTCACTTCAAGGCTTTGAAATGGGAATGAATTACGTATCACAAATTGTCTAGATTGCAAAACCTTAATCTTCAGCCCTTACTTCAACAATTTGTGAGCGAACTATAACAAGCAAAATAAGATTGGATTTTCGCACTGGAAATGAGATTTATGTGGTTCTCAAGTGCCGGATGTGCTACCCGAAAATAACTGTAGTTAGCTAAATATGGATGAGATGTAGGGATAGGGTACTACGCTGTAAAAAGAGGGAGAAAAAAATGAAAATAATAGCATTTCCATCGCAGTAAGTTAGATGGGCATGAGAGCAATCCGTGAGCTCTCTTATACAGGGTAAGGATATGGGCATGGTTTTAGTGCATAAACTCAACATAATCTCGAAACAGAACAAAGTGTACATGACAGCAAAGGCAGTTTCAGTCGCACTATATTTCTCTCCTACATATTTCACGAGGAATGGTGAAAAGCAAAGATTTCTGGTAAACAAGTGTTTGTGCCGTAATGGCGCGTACTCGGTGCAGCGGCAGTCTACATTTTATAATTGCCATGACACACAAGCTGAGGATTTTTCGCAAATGGGAGCATTCACCTGAATTGCGAAGGGGTTTTGACTGAACAGAACTCGGATCTTGAAAACAGTATGCCAAAAACGAAATCGTCAAGGCAAATTTTCCAAGATTAGATCAAATTTTTGCCATATGGACTGACAAATGAGCTTGCAGGTTTGTAAGAGTACGTACTTTCCAAAATCAACAGTGAGTGTTTTTAACTTCAGAAACTAGCCAACCATTACGATTTTACAACCAGGGATTTCCAACAGCAATGTTTTTTTTACAATGATTTCCCATCCCTTTAGCATCCTGATTGTTAGCAATCTTATCAGCAAGACAAACCCACTTTGTTATGGATTTGCAAAGGAACTGCATTCGCAGCAGTAGAAAGCCAGACGCGATTCATCGATTACAGCTAGCAAATACACGCTCTGCAAGTGATAAACAACTGTGTTCTTTGCTCTAGCTGCGAATTCTCTGCACGGATTTCGCAGAACGGGATTCCCGTCAAAAAAATTTTACTACAAAAAGTTAGGGTAGTTTAGTTGAAAAGGCCCATCGAAATTCAGTGCGATCTTCGCTTCTAGCGCAATAAAACGCGGAAAATAAAGTTTTTCATTATTTTGCTTTTCCCATTATTAACTTAGTACAATTTGACTAATTTTAATTTGGTCGATATAATACCCCTGTGATGTCGACAACAACTAGTACCTTTATATTCAGAGAGAAGCCTGGATCGCATTTCCAGATTATGTACCCCGTATATGTTTATGCGCAAGTATAATCCAGCAAAAGGTACACCTTGAAATCTACTAGACTATGATCAAAGTACTGAAAAAGACGATGTTCATACTCTGTTCACGAAATCTGACGGCAAATCAATGTTGCTAAGAACTGAGGAACTGTAGCTGTTTTTTTTTCACTTAACAACGTCAAAAAAAAAAGAAGAAAAGAATCATGTAACATCATTGCAGCTCAGTTTCGATGGTCGTCATCTTTGTTTTGGTAGACTTGTATAATTGATTTTTTGAATTTGCCAGTAGCATTCGCAAACTTCAAGATTAGGAGACCCTTCTTCTATCTCATGCGATGTCTTTGTGTTACTTTTGATATTACATTTAGCAATACCCCCACTGACTATACCACCACCATCCTGCTCTAATAAGACTGCAGAAATGGTGCGATTACACAAAGCAGCCTGAGGACAATTGCTGTGAGTTCTGTGATTTGGAAGAGAAGAGCGATTTATAAGGCAAATCTAAGATTGAAGCTAAAAAGCGACATTAGAACTCGCTAACTATAAGACTTGGTGTAGGTGGCCAATTTGACATGCCGAACGCGACCCTCATTGATCCGCCTTTGCGGAAAGTAAACCAAACCAGCTCTCTGGCACATTTCCTGCTCTTGGCATTTTTTCTGTCAGAATAGAGAGCTCTCAAACACTTACAATCAAAATATAACAAGAGCATTGTAGCCCACTTTGCGATAAAAGAAAAAAAGGCGGTGTTCGAAAATACTCAATCCAAAAATGAAAAAATCTCGGGTTGCGTTGAAACTTTACATGCTGATCACAAAAATGATATTTATTTCGCATGACAGGGCCTTTTTGAGGAGTTAGGTAGGCATATATACGGTGAGCCAAAATTTCATATCTCAAACTATGCACAAGGTTTATTCGATACACTGATCACGGACTGATTATGTAGGTGTACGGTAGAGGATCAAAGCCTTACAAGGGAACGATAATCGTGTCGTGGCCTTTTGAGATGAGTTGTATACCATTACACTCGTCTTGGAATGCTGATTCCGAATCTGGCTTCTGTTTTTGCTAATCGTTTCTCGAAAAAAGTTATGAGGGATTTTCTCGCCAATATAAATATGGTCGGAATGCCTAAACTGCCGCTACGATATGGTATAGTGGCTAGTGCGGTAGCCTCACAAGTTAATTCAGCTTTAGGTTCGAGTCCTTTTGTTTTTTTCAATTTTTTACTGCCTCGATCAAACTTCTTTTTGAAAGTTGGGCATCTTCGACCGTATTTCTCTTGGGCGACCACTGACGCGGAAATCCTTTATAGCATCTTTCAGAGAAACGATTAGCAGAAGCGGAAGTCAGATTCGGGATCAGCGTTCAAAGACGAGTGTAATGGTGTACGTCTGTACGTTTCATCTCAAACGGCCACGGATACCAAGTATCGTTCCCTTGTTAGATAGCTGGGATCCGGTCTAAAGGATTACACGACATGCTGATCGTGGTTTTCTTGCTTTTTGAGACCTTTTCGTAAATTTACGGCAGGTATACGGTAGGGGTCAGAGTAGTAAATCTGTCGGAAACTTTGTGCAGAGTGATCATCTCATTTGCCGATCACAAATATCGCGCTCCTTTTGATGGATTTTTTGGAGCTCAATCCTGGAAAACGGGAATGCTGTTAATTTGAATACCAGTGCGTCACCTCTGCTTCGCAGAGGTTCGCACTGACTCTACTATCCGTACACCTTCCTTATGATTGCATAATAATGACTCTGAAACTCACCGCGCAATGCTGAACATCACAAATGAATTGAAAACAATTGCTCATTCTCAAAAATTTTCCATGTAAGATCGGTGATTTTGAAGAAAAACACCTTTCCGCGAATTAACAAATGCGGATTTGAATGAATTACTTTATTTATTTCAACATCATTGTTCCCATAAGGATAAACCCATGGGCTACATCTCTATGCAAGAATCTTTTCAATTTATCGGGTAAAACCTTGACTAATCGATTAGTTACGCAGTCATTTTTCTTCGGCGCTGCTTTAGCAGGAAAACAGACTTATTGTTAGAGCATTTTTGGGATAAAATTCATGGATCACAAATTTATTTGTCAGACAATACCCGACATTGCAAAAAGTTGAATCGGCGACCCGGTTTTGCGTGCCAGATGCGAGTGGATCCTCTCTAAGGTGCCATTTTCAAAGGATTTATCTATCGGATCCATTCGCCACTATGCAGGGTGAGCCTAGACGCTGCCAGAGTACACTGTGCAAAATTTTTGCTTGAGACGTTGCCTGCAACTCGCTCTATGAATTTCGAGACAGACAGATATACACACACATGGACAGACAGACGCTTAGCGCGTTATTACAAGTCGTGATTGTAAACCACCATAACTTAACAATAAGGCATTATTACAGCGAGGAAGCATGATAATCAAAACCAGCATGTTTGAAAACTTCTCTAAGCCAAGTTGTGGAATGGGACTTCGACCCGCCTAACGTATATTCGTCGTACTTCAAAAAAAAATAGCGCTTATATGCGTCGTACTTCAAGAAAATAGCACTACCTTGCGAACTTGATATGATATACACCTTCAGCTACTGAATAACCCCTCTAGACCGGATTCCAGCCAGATCTAAAACTTTGACATCCCCCCCCCCGTCCCCGTACACCTGCCGCAACCATACAGAGAGACTTTTCGAGCGCAAAAGGTGTGATAGATATTCGTGATCAGCCTATCGAATAACCCCTCTGTGCAGAGCATCAGCGAGATCTGAAATTTTGACCTCATACCGCATGCCTACCTTACCCCTCATATGAGGGCCCTACCATACAAAATGGATCTCATTTCGGTGATGAGCATGTCAAACAACCCCTACAAAGTCCCAGCAAAATGCGGTATTTTTCATTTTTGGGTTGTGTCGCTCGCTCTCGCATTTTTGCACAATGTCTGCAAGAATGCGTGACACGTCACGACCGATCACAGCTCAAAAATCGCGTGAACAAATTTCAGTATTTTCCGCGCTATATATAAATTTTGGTACTATTTCCTTATCGCTTTTGATTCTAGGTTGCTTTTGTACAGCAGTCTATTTCTTAAAGAGGTTGGGGAGTTGCTGATTTGGTCAGTGTTTCCGCTTCATCTTCAAAATGATGAATTTTGAAGTGAGCAGCACCAAACGTAAGTTTTGTGCTTTTTATGCCTGTTTTGCTTCTACTTTTTTTAATGTCGATTGACTTTCGTTTTTTGACACTTTTATATTGTTTTTTTCATTTAGAAATTGGTGTGGGGCTCACCGCCTTCGGTGTGTTCTTCATATTTCTCGGAATCTTGATGTTTCTTGATGCAGCCTTACTTGCTATTGGAAATGTAAGTGGCTTTTCCGCTTATGGTAATTCTTTGTTCTCATGTCTCCGATAGATTTTGCGTCGATATCATAGATAAAATGGATCTCGCAACTGTTTTGAAAATTTTCTTGACTGCGTTTGAATGTGTAATACTTTTTCTTTTCTTAGCTCTTTGTGAGCCATTGACCCAGAATATTTTCGAATGTTGAAATTACATCTCAAAACATCACTTCACTTTGACTCGATGTTCATGTGAAAATTAAAGGCAGTGGATCGGCGAATGGACCCTTCTCGGATTTTGGTAGGTCTAGGTATTAGACCCCTCCCCAAGTACGCTGTAGCCCAAATCTCACCTGCTAATTCATCCGCTAAGTCTTGAAAAATGCGCTTCAAAACTCCATCAGCCCCGCCCACCAATGGAAATGGGCGAGGGGGAGGGGCTGGTGGAGTTTTGAAGCGCATTTTTCAGGACTTGGCGCATGAATTTGCAGGTGGGGTTTGGGCTGCAGCGTTCTTGGGGGTCTGTTACCTAAATCCACCAAACTTCCTAGAGGGTCCATTCTGCCGATTCACTGCGAGTCGTCAAACCTTTACGTCCTGTTTGTGGTCTGAGTAGAGGACATCTTGAAAGACAATGGACATCCAATATGCTATATTCCCATCCGATAACTTATGCACATTTCAGCTCCTGTTCATAGTCGGGATCACGTTTGTGATTGGTATCCAACGAACTCTCGTATTTTTCTTCGAGTATAGAAAGCTCAAAGGGAGTGTACTATTCTTCGGAGGTAAGCCCGTAATTTGTGTTGTTTGAGTGCACAAATAAACTTTTTCTTTCACTCATAATTTTCAGGCATATTTATTGTGCTCTTCGGTTATCCCCTTGTAGGGATCGTAGTTGAGATCTGGGGCTTTGTCCTTTTATTCGGGTCAGTTTGGAATGAAAGCCTAGTATGTCATGCATCAGTAAATGATATGTTACAGAGGCTTCCTTCCTGGCATCGTGAATCTTTTGAGGAGCATACCTGGTATCAGTACAATCACCTACCTCCCTGGAATCAAACAAGTAAGTGAAATTCAGGATTTTATATTACGTTCTCCACTGCTATTTCATTTTCCGTTTAATCTCGTTTATGAGTGCGCAGCTAATCTTTTTTTTCTCTTATTGCGTTTCACAGTTGCCATACAAGTTAAGATTTGAAGCGGACTCTTGGTTTATTCTTAGGCGTTGATCCTTATACCAAAGGAGCTATCGTAAATAAGTCACTGATAACTTTCATTTTTCGGTCTTTCGTTCACACACTTGGATCACTTACGAATGTATTGTTAACTTTCGGTCTATTGCAAATAAGACTTTCTTCCACCGAACGCAGCCTAACTATCGAATATCCAGTGTAACCTGCGTCCACCTCTATGCTCCCGTAGTCCATTTCTGCAATGCTTCTTTGGAAATCTTGTTCGATAATATAGTCACAGGCCTTGAAACAGTTGGGGCAGACCGTAATTTCTGTGCTTCCATGAGTGCAAAACATCTGCCGCGCAGCCCATTCGATAATAGGCTAAACTGTCATGATATTATTGATCGCTGCATGGTAATGACTCTTTTCTCGATTTCAAAAAAGGATAGAGATAGAAGATTTTGCAAATAGAGAGGCCTAGTGGTAATAAAAGTTTTATTTTTGATGAGGGCGGAAGTTGGAAAGTTTTCAGGTTTTTTTTTGCAAATATATGACCCTGTTTTCGAATTTTATGAGGCTCAATTAATCTTGCATTTTGAAAATCCACTTCTCATAATTGAAACTTTGTACGACTCCACAGCTCAAATAGACCATCTTCGAGACTTCGCGACCCAATCTCGACCCTAAAAATAGTCAACATAAGGATGGTTTTCTCTTGTGAGTGATGTTAATGATTAGGCAACGGATATAGCGAGTTTGGAGCAATCTTTTTTCTTTGCTATCTACCGTAGCTTGGATGAACTTGTGCTGACACTGAAGGATAAATTCGATTTTAACTTTGCTACCCTAATTTCACGCGTACAAGGCGCACCTTTTTCGATTTTTCAAGCAAGCCGCTTAACCGCTTTAATGTGTTTCGGAAAGCGAACCTTAAACCATTCAATTCTCTCAGACAATACGGAGCCCGGTATAGGGTCATTTGGTCGCGAAGTGTTGTGGCGTGTTTGGGCTGGCTTAGAAAAAAAACCCCCGCGCCTTGTACGCGTAAAATTAGGGTAATTATCTCATTGGCAGCTATCTACTGCTAGTAGGAACTTAGAGCAGTTTTGGAGACAGTGCATTGGTTACATGAAATTGTTCTTATCCTTTTAGATTCTCGATCGATTGGCTCCTGAATCCAGATATCCTGTCTAGCATATCAAAGGTAAGCTGGGTATAGTCCAATCATGCAGCTACTCGATGCGTGTCAATCAGCATTTTGTGATTACATATTGAGAGCCTTCGAAGTTTTTTCTTATCTAAATTCCTCATCCTTGTCATCTCAGCAAAAGCTGCTGCTGTATTTTTTCTCGGATGCGCCGCATTTTTCATATATTCGTCAACGTTGTTGATCACATTTTTGATGTAGAGTGTTAACAGCTTGACATGTGGCAGAAAATCCTTCAAAGTTGTTTTGAAGGCATATAAAAGCCAGCTAGCGTTGGAAAGATATTTGAAAAATAATTTTTCACCCATAGTAAGTAGCAGCAATATGAATAACTAGTCACTCCTCTTGTTTTGTTTTTGAGTGGCTCTTCCAAAAGATCTAAACCCTTTTGTATAGCACTAAGCGCTATGTACTCTGTCGACATCTGCTGTGCGCGTATACAGCCTGACCCTGGTGTTTCGGGTTGAAAAATGAATGCATGTTATGGAATCAGACGTTCCTTCCTGCGTCCAAAGGCATAATTAACTATGAGCATAGTGTAAAGCATCTACTGCATAGAATAACCTGACATGGCCCATCTTGAAAGCTCTCAAAAATCAAGGCATCGATATCGCAGTTAGCCCTACACTCTCTTTCCGGAAAAGTTTTCGTTGCACTCGAAAAAACCATGCAGTTAAGACCATAAGAAGCAGTAAACTTGTCGCTACCTAGCGTGCACCTGATTATACCGATGTTTTAAATCGGAAGAGAACTATGCGTCAAAAAACCGAAAGTTTTTCTCTTAAAAACCTCGTCTTTGGAAGATTACAACTCCCTTCACATATTGTTCCTATGGCTGCTGATCAGCTCATTTTGTAGACGCAAGCCAGTAGTATACGTTTGTATAGAAAGGACTCGACGGAGGAGTTCTGCGAAAAGAAAAGGTAAAAATTCAGAAATGTTCACTTTTTTGAGCCTATTTGTGGTAGGACAGAAGGTTCCAAACTACGAAAATTCGGAATTCTTCATGCATTGAATGGCTAATTATTCTGCAAAACTTACAGGCAGAAGGTCCTGACCTCAAGCATATAGAAATGAGTGGAGTTTTGGCTTTGACTTAATCAGGAAAAAAAATTATAAATTTCGCGACAAAAATTTTTTTTAAGGAAGGTGCGTGGCGTCAGCCACGTACTCAGAAAATTTTTTTAGGGCTGCTTCTCAAAATTTTTGCGGGTTCCCAACCTAAACTGGAAAAAGGGGGCTTGGCGTCAGCCACGCCCTCGAAAAAATTTTTTTTTACAAGGCTAATTTGAATTTTTAAAAATTTTTAAAAATTATTTTGATTATTCACAAGTATAAACAAGTCATTTGCACATTTTTAAAAGCCTTATAAGTAACTTTCAAAAATTTCGCGACCCACTCTCGGGCCCCCCCCCCCCCCCCGCCCCGCCACTGGAGCCACTGGGCTATGCAAAATGCTGGTGAAATTCTCTCAGATAAGATAGAAGTTCAATTTCACCACTATTAGAAATTACATGAAGAAAGCTTTTCAGAGATGTGCAGAATCTATATCGAAAAAGAAAATTCAATGGAAAAAAGTTCTTCGGAAATTAGGCCTCTAAAAACGGATATTATTTTTGCAATAACCTAATAAATCAAATGTCCTTCCGTTTTTTTCCGCAAAATATGAATAAAGATGAGACGGCTCTTGTTTGAAACCGCACAGCGATTGCGTTGCGAAGTATTATCTCAACTGAATAGATTAAATTCATTATTTTATAGAATCGCGCTCCTTTTGATTTCTTTTGAAACGCGATCAAAAGAAGCTTCCATTGGTTGGTTTGAACAAGTCCGCCTTTAGTTTGAGGCTTTAGCCTAATGACTGAATATTTTAAAGAGTGCTAGGTATGTTTTTTCGGCGGTGTGATTGACAGCTCATGTTGCCCATATGTAAAGTAATGCCTAATAAATCATTGTCTCAATATTTTTCAGTATTTTTGGTCTACATAATGTGCTCATCGCTCGACTGCGGGGTTAAGCGTAATTCCTGGTCTGAGGACTTTTATTTCACTGATGTTTTTTTTCTGCATACGTAATTGTTTTCTCATGGTGTATGTGTATATATTAATTCGCTACTGCGAGGACCTAGATAGTTTGTATACTACTCGAGCACATTCAGTTCAGATGCCTCTGAATGGAACTCCGACCTTTATGTGTTGATGGGTATTCCAAGTGATCGTATAGTGATTTGCGTTTCTTTTTCCGCTGTGGCGGCTTTATCGACATTATTATTCCTATTGAAGAGAGTGCTATGTTTGTTTTAATTTATTTCTCTATTGTTTCAACCAATAAAAGATTGGTTCTCAGTTTCTTCTGTACTTATTATTATGCTGCATGTGCGAATAGCGTCCACAGTCCACTCATGAAGGATTGTTGCGCTTGGCTCTCGCGCTAAGATCCTCGTGAATCCGGTTAATCCGCGCTTTGGATGATATCCATGTAAATGAATCAGTTTCGGTCTATTGTTTTCGTTTCGTCGCTTTATGGGATGCTGATCTGGCTGCTGTTGTGAGTGATTTGATTTACGTTCCTTTCTGCTGCCATTCCTTCATGCTGTCGATGGATTGAAGTGAACTGTTAATAGAAAAAGCGATGGATGTGTCTGTCGAAGCAAAAATGATTTACCGTTTGAAATTTTGCGCTATTTCATGTCTCGCGACCTTGTAGCAATGTTATGATCATAGCTTAGAGTCAACCGTTGAGCAGAGGGTGTACAAAAAATTATGCACACTGTTTGATCGTTAAAACTCGTGTTCTAATGCATAGTTTTAGTATGCAGCGACTCATCGATCTCACTTCGTTACTGTAGGATCACGGTAGGAATTCTTAGCATGAAGTAGCTTCGTGAATTGGCTGTTTGATAAAGGAATTCAAAAAAAAAACCTCATTGTGCTGTGGGTTTTTCACGCATGCTAGTCATTAATAACGTTTTGAAGGTCTGAGTTTTTTGCTGGTCTAATCATTTGAAGAACATTGAAAAAGCAAGTTACGATGTATTTGAAATAACTTACTGAAAAACATGGGATGTAGGCCCTTTTAAACCCTTCGCGCGCGATGCTCGTTTCGCCGCGTGCGGCGCCGCTGGCAAAGCTAACAAGTCGCATTCACAGTCAACGGGGGAATTCTTAGTTTGAAGCATATAATATACCTGTGTCGAAGCCTACCATCATGTTGGACACGAAAGATGTATAAAAATGATGCTGCGTCCTACTCATAGCCTTGCCAATGGTATTGGAAATGTTGACCAATCAGAGGCGCGCCGTGATGGCGGGCGGTTCAAAAGGGCCGTTTCCCAAAAACATGACTATGATGTGCCTTCATATGTGAAATCAGCGACTTTGATCAGCCTAGTTTATAAGTTCTCGGCTTGTTTGATTCCTTTTTGGAGTAAGTGACCCTCAATGGCTTGAAACCCTTCAAAGTTGCTACCGTAATCCTACAGTAACGAAGAGAGATTGGATATTCACTCCGTACTGTGAAGTTGAAACCAGCCCTACTGAACAACTGTAAGAGTCAAGTAAAAGACCCTGAAACAGAAGAGTTATCAGTTTCCTTGGACTCCTTGTATGCTTTACAGTTACATATGACTCGGTTTCCTTTTCCTGCATTCAAAGAACTTATTTGCGCATGAACAGTTCCTCAAAATTTCGGTCGTCATCATATGTAGCAATTTCGAAAACGACAGAGGAAAAATTTCAATATTTTACAGCTTTTCTTATATTCTAATTGTTACAACAACTTTGTATTTCACAAGAAATAATTCTCTGAGCAACACTCATGTGTTATCGTATTCTCCACCGTCTCTATTTTGCTTGGGGTGGTGATTTTGAATCTTGGCATTCAAAGAAGAGCGTTGCTAGCACCACAGTACCTAGTGTACGGGAAGACCCTATGATTGCGTTGATCCTGCCCTCGAATGTGACCACTAAATGGGGAAAATGGACGTGAAACCCGCGGAAGTGCTGTTAAATGCAGCGTACACGCAAAATCCATAATCCTCAGACAACTATATATTGAGTATGCTCCGAAAAAAGACTTAAAAATTAGAGGACCGAATGGACCAACGGGTTGGTCCACCCGGTCCTCTAATTTTGCTTTCAAAAAGGAGAAAGGGAGAAATAGAATGGACGAAAAGTTTTTTTAATTCCACGTAATTTGCACCCCCATATTCTGAATCAGGAGGAAAGGCCTAAAAAGGATGAAAACATTGATGACGAAAATTTCAGTGGGTGTTGCTTTTGAGCCAGCTTTTGTCAAGCTCCGCCCGCTCGAGTACAGAAAGTCGTGTGCCTTGATAGGGCTCTCAGAAATTTAGTTTTTCTGGGCATTTTGCACAACTTTCACTTCGTATCTGTAATCAGGGCCACAGTAAGGCACCATAATGACAAAAACATGGACGAAGATTTGGATGGATGGAGCTTTCAAAAGCACCGTCCAACTACCCTATTTTCAGGTGTATAAGCCGCGGGGTGGCTTAGTTTACATCGACCAGCCCGAACACATCAAAGGACTTAACACATCATCAACCAAAGGACCCTACACTGCGTATAATCATGCGGCATAAGGAATGCTTCTCGAAACCAATGAAGCGGCTGAGCAGCCGTGGAAAAATTTGAAAAAGTGCGGCTTATACACCTGAAAATAGGGTAAATGGGGGGGGGGGGTTGGGGAACATATCAAGATTCTAATACTGTATGATAGTAGGCCTACTCCATTGGGCAAATGCAGAAGTGATGTTGGAAAAGGTTGCTGTAGCAAAAAAATTGGAAGAAGAAATTTTGTACTGGTGGCTGTGAGGAGGAGTATGTTCGCCCTCCAAGGATTGCCAGTTGCATTCTGACAATTGCAGCCGAGACGCACTTCATGATATGTCTCTGTTTCATGGGACAGGGACTAGCATAGGAATGCTCACCCGCTTGCCAAAACGTGGTTTCAGGAAGGTGGTTTCCGGGGTTTTTTCAAACACTTATTTTTATACTCCGACTCATGCCCGATATTTGGGTCATGGAATGGCAAGAATGCTAATATGAAACCGAAAATCTGGTCGAAAAAAAGGACTAGACAATTAGGACTATGCACCAAACATGTAGCATAAGCTCGTTCTCCCTATAACAAAGAAGAGGGGGTTGTCAGCGTCAAAGTGTACTTGCAGCAATTGCAAAATTTGTGACACCTTTGGGCTATGTATGTGAACTTGCACCAAAGTTTTCTCGAAAAGATAATTCGACGTTGAGGCGAAAGCTTATACAATGAACCGGGAAGTCCAAATTCCTATTGTGAAAAATTTGCTTCATTTGCCTATCTACGCCTCTAACAATGAGTTGATTATTTTGCAATGACTGGATAGATCGCAACAAAGCACAACTCTCAAAAAGTTCGTGTCGTTATCTTTATGGATTCCTAGATCAAAATATTAAATTAACGGTAATTAGTCCGGTTGCTTTTTTGCAGCTGTGTGATCCTGCAATGTCGTTTATGAAATGAATTATTTATTTCAGTTTAGAGTATAATGTTTAGGACCGTCATTTCTGATGCAGATGCTTCAAGTGCAAACCAGAAACTCATACGATGCTGTCATGGGGACCCACAAATCGACAAAGGTTGCGCCGAGAAGTACTGTCGAATTCCGGCTATAAATCCTCAGAAGGTACATAATTTTATATACTAGGAGAGTGTTGAGAACGTGGCAAAATTTCTTGGATTGTCTCGCAAACTGTTTCCCACTTGCATGCCAGCAGTAGTTTCTGAATATTGAAGAGAAGGGAGTGTTTCGATGACAGTATCGAATTCAGTGATAAGCTATAGGTGCCGGCCCAAAAAGCTTTTCGGGAGAGGGGGGGGGGGGAGAGGAAGGGGATGACGGGAGATAATCTCCCAGTTGAGGGGGTGTGGATTAATCACACCGTCCGGAATATTACGACTAGGATTGAAAAAAAGAGGCATGACTGGCGCCATGTCTTGATGATTTTTCTCTTATAATGGTAACTCAAATTTTTGAGAAATTTGAAAAATTATTGTCCACTAGCTGGCTTACCCGGCTCCGCCGTATCCGGACCAAACTTGGCACACATACACTTCGGGCCCCGGCGGGTGTCACAGTCCACTTTTCGTTATCGATCGATGTCGATTTTACCGATTTTTATCCATTTTTTTGCAGAGTTCACCTACAGGGCTAGGAGTTGGCACAGGGGGGAAGTGAGCATGGGGATTCCGAATACAATATTAGTTTTCAGAATTATCGATTACTTTTATTGATTTTATCGATTTTTTGTAAATTTTGACATGCGAGGCTGGGATTTTGCACAGGGGGGTAATCGAGCATGCTGATTACGAAAACAATATTAGTTTTCAGGATCGTCCATTACTTTTATCGATTTTATCGATTTTTTTTGTAAAGTTTGACCTGCGGGGCTGGGAGTTTGCACAGGGGGTAATCGAGCATGCAGATTACGAATACAATATTAGTTTTCAAGATCGTCCATTACTTTTATCGATTTTATCGATTTTTTGAAAATTTGAGCTAGGGGGCTGGAATTTGGCACAGGGGTGTAATCGAGCATGCTGATCACCCCCCTTGGGGATGATCAGCATGCTCGATTACCCCCCTGTGCCAACTCCCAGCCCCCTAGCTCAAACTTTGCAAAAAAATCGATAAAATCGATAAAAGTAATCGATAATCCCGAAAACCAATATTGTATTCGGAATCCCCATGCTCGATTACCCCCTGTGCGAACTTCCAGCCCCGTAGCTCAAACTTTGCAAAAAAATCGATAAAATCGATAAAAGTAATCGATAATCCCGAAAACCAATATTGTATTCGGAATCCCCATGCTCGATTACCCCCCTGTGCCAACTCCCAGCCCCGTAGCTCAAACTTTGCAAAAAAACCGATAAAATCGATAAAAGTAATCGATAATCCCGAAAACCAATATTGTATTCGGAATCCCCATGCTCGATTACCCCCTCGATTATTAGTGCGAACTTCCAGCCCCGTAGCTCAAACTTTGCAAAAAAATCGATAAAATCGATAAAAGTAATCGATAATCCCGAAAACCAATATTGTATTCGGAATCCCCATGCTCGATTACCCCCCTGTGCCAACTCCCAGCCCCGTAGCTCAAACTTTGCAAAAAAATCGATAAAATCGATAAAAGTAATCGATAATCCTGAAAACCAATATTGTATTCGGAATCCCCATGCTCGATTACCCCCCTGTGCCAACTCCCAGCCCCGTAGGTGAACTCAGCAAAAAAATCGATAAAAATCGATAAAATCGATATCGATCGATGACGAAAAGTAGCCTATGACACCCGCCGGGGCCCGTAGTGTATGTGTGCCAAGTTTGGTCCGGATCGGTTCAGAAATGGAATTTTCTATTCGGAACATACGTACATACATACATACAGACATACATACAGACAGACATACAAACAGACATTCAGCTTTATATATAAGATTCAAGACCAAAAAGACCCTTGCACAGTTTCACAAATTACATAAGCTAGTTTCAAATATTTGCGACCCGCTCTCGGTTGGAAAAGCGCCTACCGTCTCTGTCCTCTGATAGCTATGTTCGTGTACTCAAGATTGCTAGTAAATGGGTTTGTCAGTATCTAAGTTCCAACGAAAAAGCGAATGATACAAAGAGTTCTAGGAAACGAATTTTGGCAGCATAAAATATTGCTTAAAAATGAAAATCTTGTAATTTTTAATATCAAAGATTATGCATCCCTGCGTTTCGTTCAAGTGAAAACTAGCTAGCAAAAAATCATATCGGGCGCGAACATGTATAAACAACCAAAACAGACCAAATAAGGGAGAATGAGGTGTGTAGGTTTTTTAACAATCCAGCTAGGTATTCTCAGACTACTTTTCCTTGCGTTGCAAAAGCAATGCAAGTTTTGCAAGTGCATTCTCAGGGCAAGTTGTGTGAGACCTTCATGAACAAACTTTGATTCTTGCTTTCCACAACAAGTTTCAAAACAAAAACACATTATCGGACACCAAACGACGATATACACTAAACACGATATACGCTATATCAATGATAAGGGTGGATAAAAACTGCACAAATCCTTTTGACAGTTTTCGATACTTAAAACTCAATACCAAAACCTATAATTCGTAGTTTATACCCGGATACAGCTTTAGAAAAGCGTAAACATAGAAAATAACAAAGTATTATCATGTCTACAGTATCACCATGGACTGCGGGCATAATGTGTACTAAAAGATTACTAAAAGATTGGTCCCGTCAAGCTAAAGCCAAATCTTCTCGCAAATTCCAAATAAAATCATTTTAAAAGAAGTTATAACTAAATCCCGCAAATTCCTCAAATCCTAAAACCGGCGAATCTTGTGAAACCGCGAATCTCGTGAATCTCGTGAATCCCGACAATCCCGCGAATTTCGCAAATCCCGCAATTTTTGCCGGATTCCACCGTTACAACTATAGTTTTCAAATGGCTAGTAGGTCAGTGCAGCTTGTCTGATGTTTTTTTGAAGAATCGCGTAGCACTAAGATTGAGTTCTGAATTTATGACAGCCAAAGACATCGCGCCTCTTGACCGTCTCCCTCCCCAGAAAGTTTAACTTGAAAGCAGTGTTCAAACAAATTCAGGTGCTTGGACTCCTTATATGCATGTGCTGATTAATAGGCCCGAAAAGGCCATTGCCAAAGCAGCACCCCATTTAAGTCGTGGCCCAGACCGTAATCTCTTCGGGCGGATTCAGCGTCCTTACATACAACTGTGTTTAGGCAAATGGCATGCAGAGACATGACGCCACTGTGGACGTTGTCAGCGTTTCTCAGAGTGAACGCTCCTTCGTTCCTCTAGCTGTCTGCTGTCTCTCCTAATCACGAACTATCCTGACAGGCGCAACGGCGTCCAATTGCGCGCGTTGAATGGCCTAGTTCACAGTTTAACTGGCTGAATAATGTTAGCGACACTTTCCTAGACGCAACCATTCCAAGTTTCTGCAAAAAAGTTTTTTTACTTGTTTTCAGGTGGTGCCCTTCATAGCAGAATGTGCCCCTAAAGGGAATACCGTCGCACGGGTGTGGGACTGCCTCTCATCTCGTCACGAACACACTAACTGCTGTCGGAAACAGGTGCAGCTTCAACTCTTGAGTTAAATTAGTTTATAAACTGTCTTTTAGGGCGTGATACCACTCTGTATGCCATACTGTAAGGCAGACGGACCAGTGCCAACGAATATGCTGACATACGGTATCTGCATTGGCGAGTTCGAGAAATATCGCGTTTGCTTTCGTACTTATCTCAAACATCACCGTTCTATCAGAGGAGATGAGTAGATCACTTTTTAGCATCTTTTCTTTTGTTCTTGTAGGCATATTTTCCATGTATTCTGTGCAATGGTAGGTATTCTGTTATTCACCTTTGTAATCAAGTATCAATAAATTCTTTTTCCCTCGTACTAAGCTTAGACAGGGCGCACACAAAAGCAAGTTTCTTTGATTCTCGTTCTCCGTTCAACAACGAAGCACTCAGGAGAACATTAGGGTTTGTGTTGATAAAAACCAAAAGAACAGGATCTCTGCACTTTGACACACTTAATAACTTCTTTCGAGAAATGTGGACGCGTTTGGGACAAGCCCAGAGCCTTGTGCGTCTGGCAATGCAATTTTTTCGGCCTCGTCTGTCTGCCAAGGGTCATCAGAAATCATACTTTTGCGTCCCTGTGTAATATTTAAATCAAACTTTTGAAATTTCAGTCACTTATAAAAGTAACTATGAAAACTCTTAAGCCACTGGTTAGGCAATTTTAAATGTCGAAAACCGTCGAGCCATCTTTTGACTGAGAAGTAGATGATGAACAAGCTAGCAACCAAGAAGTCGACAAAAATATCAGCGAACTAGCTGGCAAAACCGGATCCGCCCGGCCGTGTCAATAATTTTCGTAAAGAATGCTCACTTATCCCTCAGGGTCAACTCACATCCCCGTAGCTCAAATTTTGCAAAAAATCGATAAAATGGTTATCTTGTGTCCGGATAGGTTCAGGAATGGAAATTTCTATTCGGAACATACGTTGACCCAGACATACAAAAATACAGACAGACAAACAGACATCCACCTTTATATTAGGTCGCTCCGAAAGTTCTTTCCTTTTTTTCAACATGTCATAAAAACACGTGGAACCAAGAAAGGGAAAAGCTTCAGGCACTGTCCGACGCAGCTTTTCTTCCTCTTTTCAACTGTTATATTCCTATGCCGCTCGCTTTTGGGTCAGTGAGATAATGGCCGAAATTACGAACCCATGGTTTTTACCATGTCCAACTTTGGCAATTTTTCACTATCTTCTTTCTTGACTTTTGGAAAAGCTTTGATAACAGTCGGATAGAGTAAACAAAGTGCAATTTTATGCAATTTTCCGGCATCTATAGCTAGCCTCAAAACATTTTTAGAATTATTTTTCTGATGCAATCAAATTCCACTTTTGGGAATGCCAAAAGCCATAGAACATAAAACGGCGCACAACTAAGGTGTCATTCGATGCAGCCTTTTCTCCTCTTTCTGATGAGTGCTTTTTCTTCATAGTTTGTGGGGTCTTTGGCGATAAAATTTCCATAAATCTTGATTTTGAACCCGCCTCATGATGTACCCTTGAAATGCTAAATCTTATATTTCGAAGCGGCAAACACTCAGTTACTTTGTAAAAATAGTGCACAATCATAAACGATCTTTAAAAGTTTCGAAAACCGAAGATTAGTTGATGTTCAGAACGTTTGAGTGTTTTGTGACTTCGGAAAAGTGAAGACTTCTGAAAAAGCTATCTAAAAAAAATAATGAGAAGCCAGCTGAAATTGCCAAAAAATTGCATTGCATTGCCTTTGTTTACTCTATCCGACTGCTATCAAAGCTTTTCCAAAAGTCAAAGAAGAAGATAGTGATTGCCAAGTTGAACATGTTAAAAACCATAGGTCCGAAATTTCGGCCATTATCTCACCGACCACAAGAGCGAGCGGCACAGGAATACGACTGTTGAAAAGAGGAAGAAAAGTTGCGTCGGACAGTGCCTGATGCGTTTCTTTATCTTTGTTCCACGTATTTTTATGATATGTTGAAAAAAACGGAAAGAACTTTAGGAACGACCTGATATATTAGGTCGGTGCAAAAGTTTTGTCAGTTTTTTCAATCCATCGGCAAACACGTTAGAATGTAGATAGGCTAACACTTCAAAATGTATCCGATGCAGAATTTCTTCCTCTTTCCAGCTGCTAAACTATCATTGTGTTTCCGTTTCGAGAGTGACGAGATACTTGCTGGAAATTACAACCACTCGTTTTTAACATCTCAGACTTTCGCTAATTTTCAGAATTTTTGTGTGAGACTTTGTGAGAAGCTACAGTAACCAGCAGATAGAGCAAACATTTTGCCAACAGAAGCAATTTTTTCCTTTTTCTCAGCTGCTTTTTCAAACTTTTGTTAAATAATTTTCTAAAAGTCTTGTGTTATGGAAAAAAACGCATAACCTGTTATTGCACCAAACACTGCAAAACTTGCAGAATGCTGAGGTTTCAACACTCGATTATTACTACCGCTACCGATACACAGTAAATGAGCGATTTTCGCTTCAAATCATGATGATTTTGAAACATAGGTTACCTCAGTGCGCACCCTTGAAATTAAGAAATACTGCGATTTTCCCCCACCAATTTCGCCTTTCCCGGCAAAAAAGATAAGTATTAGGAGGAGGAGGACAAGTTACATCGAATGGTAACTGAAGTGTTCAACATTTTATGTTTTACGAAGTTAAAATAGGCTGAATGTAAAATTGGGTCACTTCAAAAAATAAATCGTAGAAATTCTGAAAGACAAGCCATAGAGCTACAAAAAATTGCTTCTGTTGGCAAAAGGTTTGCACTATCTGTTGGTTATTAGGGCTCCTCCGAAAGTCTCATATAAAAATTTTGAAAAACGAAAGTTGGACATGGTAAAAACGAGTGATTGTAATTTCCAGCGAGTATCTCGTCACTCTCGCAACGAAACACAACGAAAGTTTAGCAGCTGGAAAGAGGAAGAAATCCTGCATTGGATACATTTTGAAGCGTTTGTTTATCTTCACTCTAGCGTGTTTGCCGATGGATTGAAAAAACTGACAAAACTTTTGCACCGACCTATATATATACAGTGACCGCCAAAAAGTTGCGGACAAGCCCCTCTCTCTTTTTCATCGCTCTTTTTCAGAGGGAAAACAAGGATGAAAAAATATAGTAATTACACGAGATGATGGAGCTCTTCAAGCTCTACAATATGCACTTTGAGCTTTTTGAGAAGCTTGTATTCTAAAAATTCTAAGAATCTTTTTATAAAAAAAAGTCCGAAAATGGTCCCGTCACAATGTCGCGGACAATAATTCTTCGAACGCAAACATTTTCTTTTGAGTCGTATTTTGAGGCGGAAACACAGGTTATCGGACGGGTAAGCATACTACTATACAGAGCTCGTCAAGAACTACACACTGGTTATGGTTGCTTCCCCAAAAAACGCAAGCTTGAGTTTTATTTTACTTTTTTCAAAAAACAACATTTAATTCCCTTTATCAAGCCAGATTTCTTCACACGGAAACCTGTTCAAGACATCCCAACAAAGCCGTCTGGGTAAAATAGATGCTCTTTGCCATCCTCTATGCATCGGACATGTGCTGATGAGTTTCTTTGCTGAAAATGGCCCTTGGCAGTGCTTGCACATGACCCCACCTGCACCTCACCACTGACTTGTACCGCTTTGAAGGCTTGTAACTCGGCCTGCAGTCAATATTTGAGCTTGCAGTTAGGCTCATTCGAAAGAGCGAGACTTCCTATACACGAAGGTATGCAAATGAGTTGAGTTTGAGAAATTTCAGAGATTTGGCGGATGGGGTGAAAAAGTGCAGCCTTAGAGGTGACTGCAGTGAAAGCTCTTATGAACACCAGAACAGTCTTAAAGCTTCGAAATGGATCTATTACAAGAAAACTGACGGTTTTGAACTTCCAGAATGAAATTGGTAGCGAAAGGAGCTCTATTCAACTTTAGCTGGATATCCTCACTCTACCACTGAGGCCGCGTTTCTCCCACCCCATCCGCCAAATCTCTGAAATTTCTCAAACTCAACTCATTTGCATACCTTCGTGTATAGGAAGTCTCGCTCTTTCGAATGAGCCTAACTGCAAGCTCAAATATTGACTGCAGGCCGAGTTACAAGCCTGCAAAGCGGTACATGTCAGTGGTGAGGTGAGGGTGGGGTCATGTGCAAGCACTGCCAAGGGCCATTTTGAGCAAAGAAACTCATCAGCACATGTCCGATGCATAGAGTATGGCAAAGAGCATCTATTTTACCCAGACGGCTTTGTTGGGATTTCTTCAACAGGTTTCTGTGTGAAGAAATTTGGCTTGATAAAGGAAATTAGATGTTGTTTTTTGAAAAAAGTAAAATAAAACTCAAGCTTGCGTTTTTTGGGGAAGCAACCATAACCAGTGTGAGTACTCTGCGTTGATACCACTGCTAGTATGCTTACCCGTCCGGATAACTTGTGTTTCCGCTCTAAAATAAGACTCAAAAGAAAATTTTTGCGTTCGAAGAATTATTGTCCGCGACATTGTGACGCGGCCATTTTCGGACTTTTTTAGAAAAAGATTCTTAAAATTTTTAGAATACATGTTTCTCAAAAAGCTTAAATTGTATATTGTAGAGCTTGAAGAGCTCTATCACCTCATGCAATTCTTACATTATTTCATCCTTGTTTTCCCTCTGAAAAAAAGCGATGAAAAAGGGAGAGGGGCTTGTCCGCAACTTTTTGGCGGTCACTATATATATATATATATATATATATATATATATATATATATATATGTAAGGCATTTGAAAAATCATGATGACGCGACCGCACGCGACACACACGCCACTTCCGGAAATTGTATTTTCTTGGTTTTTATCTCTATCGAATGGTATTTTGCTTACGTATGATTATAATTAGACACTGGGAGTGTCTGAACTGAACGTTGAGGTGATGCCTTCTTGTATGAGCGTTTTATGCTCCTATGGGCGCAAAGTCCGCAGTAAAATCCGTCGTCACGATTTTATAAATGAACTATAAGATTATCAGCAAGCGAGAGGTACTTTTTCAAAACACATACTCCCCACTTATTTATAGGCTTTCGATTCCCTCCATGTTTAGTTCTGCAGCTGCTCTACTTACGTATTCCGGTTTTGTTTTTCCTGGAAGGAATGTTGTGTTTTTAACAAGGTGCCATTCTATTCTGACCTCTCTCATCTCTGGCAAGCATGAGAAACCTCGCTCATTTGCGTGTCTATATTCAATATGTCATCGCGAATTTCTTTAAATATCTTTCTTCCCTCTCCAGTTAGATCTCTGATGATTCGAGATGATACAAAACTGCGAATCGCTCTAGCAAGGGAAGTGTCAGAAGTCGCAGCGGCCTTTTGATATGAAAGTGGTACCATCTAAAAGTGCTGATTCCAAAACAATCTTCCTAGCTGCAGAACGAGTTTGGAACCGAAGCTATGGGCAATTTGCACAAAATTTACATCGTTTAAAATATTCCATAATCATATAGATCGTTCGAATGCTTATTACAGAACTACAGCATAACATTGAAGAAGGATTAGATTTACAAAGCACTGGGAAACTGTCCTCTAGGTTCAAGCTCAAAATACATGAATTCTGAAAATTTTGGCTACTTTTAGCCTTGTGAATTTCCCGCAAATCAAATTCAATAACTCCCGACCCAGATTCGTTCTGCAGCTAAAAAAGGCTGTTTTGAAACGAACCTTTCGAGCTGCTTCAGACTATACCTATTTCATTTTGCAATGCCAAATACGGAAGCTGGAGTTTTACCTGACTTCTGTAAGAGGCTTCAAGCTATCACATGGCAGCTCGTTCGACTCATCCGTGACCAAGAAACAGCACAACTCGTACGATTCGCAGGCGACCAATCGGCGTCTTTGGGCAACTAATTGATCCGTTTGAAATAGAGTACGATATGGGCGATATGAGCGCCCAGATCTACTTAGACGAGACTTTTGGATGCACAACCTTCGTAGGCATTCAAAATGACCTGACCATCTCAATGCCACTATAATCTTAACGGTAGAGCGCCGAACCTGCAATTTTGCATCCTGTTATGCCGACCGACTTGTGTAAACTGCGTGACCGTCAATCATTGTATTCTGACTACTCCATAAATGGTCTGGATGCGTTGAAAAACAGCGAATTTCACATGTTTTCGTGCCTAATGAAAAAATATTCCTAGCTCTCAAAAACGCTGCAAAACGCTGCTTGGACTACGAAAACGTCGAACAGCATGCATTTACCGCATAAGTTCGCCTTGAGTAGTGCACGTTTAAAAATTGAAAAAAAATTGAAGCTTTCACGCTGCTGATCTCTCTCTACTTCTATCTGTGTGCCTTTTTTTATGGCATCATAAACTATTTGGATGCGTGCTTCCACCTTGACAAAAGGTGTTTTAGTGTTTATTTCTCTAATTCGATTAGTTCAAAGAAATTTCTTAGGTCACGAATGGCAAATAAACAGCACTAAACTTTGCGATTTGACCATTTTCTGCTCCGCATTAGAGGAAAATCTTTTTAATCAAAATTCTCATTGCTTTCCAGCTCCTTCTCACAAGTTTGTCATTAGCAGTCTTGAAGTAAGCTCGCCACAAACTGGGGTGTGATCACAATAACAGCAGATATAATGACTTATGCATTACAATAACTGTACTGATGTTTAGCCGATTGTCCTATATAAGCTCGAAGCCAATGCTTCCTTAACAGCGCTTGTTCGGGAACAGGTCTTCGATATCTCGTCTCTGCGATGTCTCTCGCCTTTGTCACGATCGGTTGCTTACGCTTGATAAAGTGACACCTACTGCGGCTTTGGCTAGCTGGATACTCTGCTTGCTAATTTTTGCCATGTCCTCCTTTCCCCTATCAGGGCTTTTATTCCATGCTTAATTCTCCGAACAAAAAACTCGTTTCAGCTTTACACTGAGAGCAGAACGAGTTACAGCTATAAAGGCCGTAACAAGGTTCCATGACTCGTATGCGCTCCCTCACTACTCGTTCTTTTGGCATTTTTCTTCGCTGTTTTGCAATCGGGGATAGGAAACGATTCTGAGACATAGACCTTCGACTTAAGTCGCGCTTTAGAGGGGATTTGCTTGCGCAGCTGGCTGCTTCATTTCGCAAACTACCGCGGTATAGAGCCATTTGGAACTGGTCAGACTAACCCGTCCAGAGCCGAGTCATTCCCCCACCGTCACCACCTAACTGTGACGAGATGTATGTCATGTGTGTCCGGACACACTCTCTGATACTGGCCTCGTGCAACAGGTTGCCGAGGTGTGAATCCCACTTCGAGTTCCCATTTTGTGATTCCATAAACTGCGCAGATCATCTCGCTAACCGCGCTTCTTCGCCTTCACTTGTTTTCACTGTTCTTTGTCGGTGTCCGCTATGCGGTTGCGGTTTTCTCTGGACTTATCGTTAATTTCGATACGCACACTTTCTCTCAACTTTCCGTTGCTCATCTTTTTATGCAGATGTTGCTACTGCTGCTATTTGTGCCATCGACAATTGCGCAGTGGGACTGGAATCCATTCGCAGAACTTCAGCAACCAGTAGCTTTACAACCTTTTCGACGACCCGCGGCCGCTGCTGCAGGCAAACCACAGCACCAGGCGCTCAGCAAATCTCAAGCCATGTAAGATTTCTTTTCATATTTCTGTTGTGATGGTTAAAATAAAAACTACCGTGCATTCTCATCATTATCTCATGGTCAAACCTGTCGTTAAAGCAGAGTATGAATTTTTCTTAACAAATCGCATTGAAACGAGTTCATAAATTTTGTGCTTTTGTTCTCAGTCCCTATTATAGTGCAGCTTCGGCTTTGTGGTTTGGCAGCGAAAGTTAGCAACGTTCGTTGAAATCCTCACTGTAGTAGATTGGTCATTAAGTCTTGCACCAAAAAAGAGAAAAGTCAGTATGCGCAGCACTCATGGGCACGGCAAATTAGATTCACGGGTTGTATGACAAGCGAGCAGCTTAGGGCCTTCAATACGTTCCGATCATTACTGCTGCTTTGATCCACAATCTTAGTGGGCCACGTTTTGAAAACAAATTTTTTTTTTCACTCTACCACACTGTAGTCAGATTTGCTAAGATTTTCTCCATTCTCAGATTGGTCCAGAAACGTCTAGTGGTCTATTATCTTCTTTCTGCAAATCCTCTGTAGGTCATTCCGAAATTTATTTCGCTTTTTCAACCCAAATAAAAGCACGTGGGATCAACATAGGTAAACGTTTAAGGCCCCGGTCAGACTTCACGCGACTTAATCGTCGCGATCTAATCGCCAAGATTTCCATTCATTTTCATTTCACATTCAAAAATTTCGGTCTGGAAAAGTATCACAACCGAATGCAAGTTGATCGGCATGGAATGATGTTGTAACAGTTGTTTCGTCGCAATTCAGTCGCGACGATCAAATCGCGTGAAGTCTGCCCGGGGCCTAATGCGACATTCGATGCAAATTTCTTACTCTTTTCCGCAGTGCTTCTAAAATAGCTCCTCTAAACCTATGGTCGTTACCATGTCAGACTCATCCGATTTTTTTTTCAAATTTTCTATTTAGGTTTTTGGAATTGCTTTGAAGCAGATAGCAAAAACAAAGTGCAACGCTACGAATTGAATTTCAGAATTTTAACGCTATTCGTGAGGCATAATTTCAAGCCCCCACTGTGTTACGGGGATATTAGATATTCCGAGTCCGTGTTCCTCTTTCGCTTTGTAGAATTCATTTTGAATCATGATTCGTTTTGGAAGTTCTGAAATCAAAAGATTCAGTTTGTTTTATTAGGTTGTTAAATGTGAAAAGAAATGTGAGAAGAAGTCAAAAGAAGGTCTCCTATAGTGTGGACCCCGGCCAGGTTCCCATATGTACCTCCGCAGCGCATACGCAACGCGCGCACTGTTGACGCTTCTTATTCCATATGGACGAAAAGTCATCTCTAACTTAAGATAGGAGTGAGACAAGAAGTGGAACCCTCTATGCTTAAGCAGAAGAAAAAACTTTCCAACCTCCACTAACACTTGGTTCTTTGTCATTCTCATGCATACTAGTATAAAACTACCACTGATGGGTGAAAATCGAGAAATAGCGGAAAGAGGATTACTTTGGGAACGTTACTCTTCTGCAAACATTGAAAAACTAGAAGCATAAGGTGGAGAGCGTAATTTAACAAGCTGAAGCTTCAGTGCCGCATTGAAAAGCAACTAAAAGATTTAGACAAAACAAACTCAGTCGGATACATACGTTTCTATACAAAACAAATTCAATCGAATAAATACGTTTGGTCCGTGATAGAAACCCTGAAGAAATCTCTTCAAACTATACTTAATCCTCGAGGAAAGAAAGGAGAGCTTTTGAGACAGAAGCTCTCAAGACTTTTGAGGCTCGTAAAAACTTGTCATCATCAGCTGGTGTGGTTCGTTCGACCCTGAAAGAAAGAGATTATAGAAAAAAACAAACTCAATAGAGAGAGGAACGCATAGAAACCAATAGGTCCTGGGACGAAAAGAGCACTGAAGGCATGCGCTGCGTTCGCGGCGCGGAGGTACATATGGGAAGCTGGCCGGGGTCCACACTATAGCAGTAGAAGCTTTCATGCATACAGGCCTTGGAAGGAGATATTGAAGCTCAAAGTTCACTTCTTCTTGTAGATATGGTGTTCCTGGCAGGAGAAACGCAAATCAAAAACTGCGAACATGCTGCAGAGGGCTGAAGGATGCCGATATCGAATGCCGGCGGCGCTTCTGCGACTTCAACGCTTTAAAACCTGAAATGGTATAGTGATTTCCAATTTAATTGCTCAACAAACTCCATTGGAAACGAGTCACAGTTTACACCATGTATGATACATTAGTCAAAAATCAAGCTCATTCTGAGCTATTAGGTTGGAAAGGAAAGAATGTCGCTTTTTTTCTCGTCATGGCATCGAAAAAGGTAAACCACCAATGTGTATGGGACACCTTGCGATAGAGCAAAGCTAGTTTTATAAATTGGCATTACCGCTTTTGCACCAAGTTTAGTCGAAGGAGTAGAAGGAATCTAAATAGTTTGAAATGATCAAACCGAAAAGATCGTATCTCTGCCTAAAAAATTCCTACCTCCAACTTGCTCAAGAAATACATGGTACCTCAAAATTCTTTAAGCCTGAGCTTCTAACATAGTAATTTTGCTAGTACTCCTCGCTTTTCTGTAAAAGTGTGCATACGAGTTTTTTGCTCTGTTGTTGGGAGTTCTACAAAAATCACACCGTTTGAATTCTAGAATACATTCTCAAGATATTCTGCAGCGCACTACAGTTCTGAGGTTGAGTCAATGGAAACGTGCCCACTAAACAAACCTGTACAGCTCATTTTTCTTCCAAACTCTTGCAGAAGCTTGAACTGCAAATTGTGGAGCTAATTTTACTCTACATTTACAGTGTAAAAATTACTACCACTCTTTGTTCATTACTGTACGATTAGAATACAAATACTTAAAGCAGTGCCGTGCCAATGAGAATAAAAAGTTCTCGAAAACAAAAACCCGAAGGAGCTGAAAACTTCAATAACATCCGGGTGCACCAGAATGGCAGTCTTCTTGATGTACGCGAACTTGATAACTACATTTTGACACTTGCTAAATCTCACAAATAGTTCTCCAATTAGCATGCTTTCAATCGCCAGGTAAGCATAGGTATGGTTAGCAAGGCTTGCTCTAATCTGCGGTAAATTCTGGACATTCTGAAGGGTTTGCTTAAGAACGTGTGAGACCTTTACGTAAACTACCTTTCTGCAATGGTACGTACGTTCCGCGAGCGTCTGAAGGCCCGTGTGAAGGCTAAAGGAGGGATTTCAAAATTCGAGTGTACGTCGTTGTCTTGTAAGTTTTTCACAGACTACATGCTTGATTCCATATGTCCAAGTTGCTTCGTACAATTTCACCTGAAGAAATACTAGGCTTAAAGACTTCTGGGACACCCTATACATCCCACATCAAACATTCATATGCGCAGTTTCTGTAATTTTTCCTTGTTTAGACATCGAGAAATTGAAAACTTTCAAGATTCTGCCAAAGTGATGGTGGGCAGTTCTCGCATAAAGCCTGGGATGTTGATAGATTTTGAGCCCTCTATAAGGAGTTAGATCTCGAAAAACTTCGAATTTAGCTTTTTTGCTTCTGTTCTTTCAATTAAATTCGATATTTCTCGAGATCAACTCCTGCAGAAGGGTGGGAATTTACGCTTGTACCTCCCAAGCTAAGAGTATATAGGTAATACTTATGCGGGAACTGCCACCATCACTTTGGCAGATCATAAAGATTTTCAATTTTTCGATGTCTTCGAGGAAAAATTACAGCAATTGCACATCTGAATATTTAATGAGGGATGTTTTTGTTATCCCGGTCATTTCAAACTTTTTAGATTCCCTCTTCGAACTCTACCGCATCAAACTTGTTGCGGAAGCAGAAATGCTATTTTGTAGAGCTTGCTTTGCTCTATCGAATGGTATCCCATACACGTTTTTGGGGTTTGCTTTGTTGTGATGCCATAACAAGGAAATAAAAAACGACATTCTTTTCTTCCCAACTTTATAATTACAGTCATTGTTCATGCACAACACACAGTACACATATTCCTTCCATATGACACTTTCCTGTCCCTGCCCCACTTTCATGCAGTTCTTTGTTCCTACAGTGTCGTAATCAGCATGCTCCCTTATACCCTGCAACAGCCGAGTCAAGGGGGCGGGAGCCCCTCGATGATGGGTCACAAAATCTTTGAAATTGGCCTACATGAGCTAGAATATGCAAATGACTTGTTTTTACTTGTAAGTTATCAGGATGTTTTTTGGGAGTTTCTAAAAAATTTTGAGAAATTCTGGTTAGCCTCGTCACCCCCCCCCCCCTTTTCTTCTAAATATGGAAGTACGGGAGCGCAAAAATTTTTTCAAAAGGAGTGGCTAGTGGCAAACCAGTCCACTTCAAAAAAATCGTCTCGCGCCCTTCCGCCGAAAAGAATTTTTTTTATCGTTATCGCACTGTATAAGAGCTCCCAGCTCGCAGTACTGACAATCGAGAGTTGGATTGCGGAGGAAATTTCATGGTTACTGTTATTTTCGCATCAATATGCGCATTTATTTCACCATATGTTCCAATGTCCCAGCACAAGCTTTGCAATCTCTTTGTATCAACAATTTGGCATCGATCTATGACCTTATGCTAGACAAATTCCTCCAGCTTAGCTTTCTATCCCGCTTGGAAATCTGGTCTAGATCGGCTCGAAATTCAGACTCTCTAATCGCAACATACTACGTACATCATGTTGCACTAGTCCCTTTGAGTGGTACCAGTAATGCCTCCATTCGTCGCTGTCTAGCGCGATTGTTGACCAGTGCTTATTTCACATTACGTGTTCAGCCCATCTCATCTTGCTCTGCTTGGCATATGCGGCAGCTTGCCTAATCTTCGATCGTTGACGTAAAGACTCCGTATTCCTTCCCTCACTTGCATGAGTCTCCACCTAACATCACTCTATCAACAGGACGTTCGATGACGCTAGCCACTTGTTCATCCTACTTCCTCATTGTCCATCTTTCTGAAGCGTATGTCACAGCAGGAAGAACCGTCGAGTTGAAGAGGTGGGCGTTGAATCGGATGTTCTTGGTCTCCTTCCAACGCCCCAAATTGTCTTGTATGCTCCGTCATGAGCATTCGATGACGTTAGTTCCGTTGAGCATAAAATAAGCATCAGACACTCTTTCGTTTCTCACGAACTGGACTTCGTCAGGTTCAGCTGTAGACTGATCTTTCCACACACCTCGTCAAACTGGGCCAGTGTTTGTTCCACTTGCTTGATGCTCGGTGTTATTAGTGCGATGTCATCAGCAAAGCGAAGGTGATGTAGTTACCGACCATCGACTTTCACTCTCATGTCGTCCCATTTCAATTTAGCATGACGTTCTTTATAGCGACAGTGAATAGTTACAGCGATACAGTGTCGCCTTGTCGTACGTACGCCTCTCTCCAGGTCGATGATGATGTCCTTGTAGAAGGTGTGATGCTGATGGTGAAGTCGTTATACAACTCACGAATTATCTTGATGTACTGAGACCTTGATTGGTCAAGGCACGATGACGGCTTCAGTCTCAGCCGAGTCAAAGGCCTTCTCCAATTCGATGATTTGAGGCAGAACAGCATCTTGTACTCTCGTGCCACTTCAATGAGCCGACACCGTATGTATGTGATCTATCGTGCTGAATCCTCTTCGAAACTCAGCTTTTCGCACGATTGTCCTTCGTCTAACCTTCTTCCAATCCTCGAGAACAACTCGCGTAGAGTTTGTAGACTCGACAATAGGCTGATAGGGCGATGACCGATCGGAGATCTTGCTTCTTGTACAGCTACAGGTCTCTTAGTCTTTCATTATCTTGGAACCTTGCGTTCCGTCCGGTACCGCGTGAAGGACTTTCCAAGTTCTTGATGAGCACCGGCAAAAGACTCTTCAAGATGTTCTGGATTGATTCTGTCGGGAGTGAATACTGTAGATTCGTCATCGACATGATAGTATGACGAATCTCAGAAGGAAGAAGAGACGGTGCAACATACTCGTCCTCTCTAGCATAAGGTGACATGGAAGCAGATGGGCGTGGCTTTCAAAGAGGTCTGAGTTAGTTGCCTGGGCTCGTTAGTGTCTACGTTGGTGCATCAGGTCCAAATTCTCCGGAGCCACCTTTTCGTACCTCTTAGGCCCGTATGCATGTACATTCCCGCTGAGGAGGAGAGAGGATCTGAGAGAGGATGCGTCATATCTCGCTACTCTACGTATCTTTCTTCTTCCTTCTCTATCTTGCTTATAAAGGTTCTCATACCCTTATACCTACATAATGGATGCCAGGTTACTGCCATACAAGATTGGTTTTTTGCCGTTTTATGTGATCTGGGGATCCCCTGGGAATCCATAAAACATTTTATTTTCAAAGACATCTATCTTCCAGAGAAGTCAATGAAAATTGAAAAATTGTACTGAGGATATACTACGGCACTGCTAAACATGTTTTTGTTTGAAATATTAGGGTGAACGGTAAAAAATGGGACACTTACGAAATGAATGGAGATTTCTCAAGAAAGAGAAGTGATTAGAAATTTCGATTTTGATAGTTATTAGAACATGTTATTGTCTTTTAGATAATATCTATATAAGGTCATTTACATAATTAATAAATTTTATACTGGCTGAAATGCAAAGTTAATCACTTCGGCAAATTATGAACTTTGAGCAGTATCTGCGCAGTGAAACATGTGAAACCACCCAAAGTACCACTGCTGGAGTGGGTGGTGGGATAGTCACCAGACCCACAACGACTTGGTGGCCTCAACTTCCAAAATCAGGAGATATGGCCATTAGCAGCTTCGAGAACGAAGATACGCGTTATTCAATTCCTTGCAGGTGAACACATGTCTTCTAGGTACGATCTGATAGAGCTTTTTGCGCTCTGTCCATCCATGTGCAACTTGCCTCAGACTTTATCTATTTTCGGAAAATTTAGGGCAAAACATGATCTTTTGGTTTTTTATTGCGCCAACAACAGCTACTTTTCAAGCTTTTTCGCTTTTTTTCTGAAATTAAAAAGAAGTTTTATGAATTTAACACATCATTTGAAAGAGCATGAAAAGCTCTTTCGAATGGTATGTCATATGCTTTACGAATTTACGCTATAGCAGCGCAAGATTGAGAGTTGCTCCAAAAACCCTGTCTGAGTTCTTCACGGCGCCGCGCGTACGATTATGAGAGAGGAGCGGTAACGCGTTGCCAGAATAATAGGCGAAGGTCGGTTATGTAAGCGACGTTTGAGTTGTAGCCTGCTTGTTGTCGGTGAGAACAAAAAATCTCAAAATGTAAAAAAAATCAAGCTGTCCCATTTTTTACCGATCACCCTAATAATTAACATCTCAGGATATAAATATCTTCAATGATCCACTACTCGCGAGCTAGGGATTATCGAAAAACTCACTGTCTTCAGATTCCATTTCTCCTGTCGAAAGTACAGTTTTGCAGCGTAAAGTTGACTTCTCAAGAAGATAAATGACTTTGAAACTGAGAGGTTCCCCTGGAGACCCTCTGGGGATCCCCTGAGGATCACACAAAATGGCAAAAAAACTAATCTTGTTTGGAACCTAGCATCCACCATGTGCAGGTATAAGTGTACGGGAACCTCCATAAGCAAGATAGAAAAAGAGGAAGAAAGATACATAGAGTAGCGAGATATGACGCATCCCCTCTCGGATACCCTCCACTTCCCAGCGGGGACGTACGTGTATACGGGCCTTAGACTCTGACCTTCCCTGGCACAATGGAGATATTGAAGGAACCATTAACATTCTTGTCGATGTTGTCGATCACTTTATCTCTCCATAAGTCGGATATCGAAGAAAACAGATCCCAATTGATGGTAGCCATGGGACGATGTTTTTGCTAAACTTGAGGGCTTTCTCTCCAATCGGTGGAAAGTGGAACTTGGCACTTATGTTAGAAGGCGATAGTCCGATCCCGTGTAGAACTTCAGAACAACAGCAACGCTAGTCAGGCAATACGTTCTATTGACGGTGATGTAATGAGTTTCGTTATGGTACTTCCACCGGGCGATTTCCTGGTCCATGGTCGTTGGATAGGTGGTTTTTGGAATTGTGAGTTTCCATGGATGGTCGTCGCCACGATGTTCGGACGGGCTCTCCCCTTGTTCGTTCCATTGTAATCCATGGGTCTCGATGTGAAGATCGGAGCTAGACGAAGTTATTGACGACGATCTGAAGGTGTGATTTTCTCTGTAGACTTCTCCAGGTCTACATAGAATGCCTCAAACTCGTAGCTAGGTGTCCTTAATGAAGACGGTCAAGGTCGAAATCAATCCACATCTTGCTATCAGTAAACGTCCGATTCGGAATATGAGCTGTTCGAAAGAGTCGAGCTCGTGGGGCTTCTCTCCGCCGCACAACTTCTCCATGGAAATTCTATCTTATGAGGAAAGAACATCGCCGGTGGACATGGGAATCGCTCAGCGGAACGAGTCATGCGGAGATCGACCACATTCTTACCAACCGAAGGTGGAGCTTGTTTGATGTCTCAGTATTCCATGTTTACGCGGTATCTCTGATAATCGCCTCCTTCGAGCGAAGATACGATTCAGTCAAAAGCTGGAAAAGAAAATCTGTCCGTGACTGGAGGAAGACCCAACCAGCTTTCAAAAGGAGCGATTCTGCGGCGAGTGTGCCCCTCACTGACTTCCGAGAAGATCTTGGAACGCATTTCGAAGCCAAGGAATGACTCGAAAAAAGATCGCTTAGGCAAGATCCGAGTGCAACCCCTCTCGAGCGACTGATAGCCAACCCTAGTTGTAGAACAGCTTTGCAAAAGAATCTCAGGAAGTACAGGCAAGCCAAGATACTGGAAGCAGGCGAAGGAAGACGAAGTCTAGAAAATTACCGAACGGACTTCTGTAAATATCACGTACCGCTGGCTGCACTATTGAACGAAGACGGGACCCCGACTCTCTTCTTCCTGAGAAACTTCTTCTTTCTTTACGTTGGGGTCTATCGCGAAGAATTTGCACACAACCTTTTCCGCTAACGGCCGTGACGATGAGCGTTGTTCCCACTGGATATCGCGATTCAGACCATGGAAAAGTCAACGGGTCCAGGAACAGACGATCTTTCCATCGAATTTCTGCGAGCCGGAGGACAACGCCTGCACGAGATTTTCGCGTTGGCTCTGACAACTTGTCTTCAAAAGGAAAGAATTTCCTACCAGTGGAGAACTTCAAGAACCGTCCTTCTTTTCAAGAAGGGTGAACGGGAGGATCTTCGGAATTACGTCTAATACGCCCATGAGCGTGCTGTACAAGCTTCTCACCAAGATTATCCTTGCTCGTAAATCTGGGACACCGAATGAAACTTAGACCGAGGAACAAGCTTGATATAAGTCTGCCTTACGAGGGTATCGACTGCCTCTTGTTCTAACTTTCGTCGACTAAGAAAAAGCCTACGATATCGTCGGAGCCAACATTATCCTGTTTGCGCTAGTCGAAGGGGTGGACACAGGTTACCTGAGGACATTAGCTGACTGCTACAAGGAATTGTGCAATAACGATGCAGCTATTCCATCGCCACTTCACAACATAATTGGGAATGGGGTCCGACAAGGTGCCACTATTTTGCCGAAATTGTCCGCATTTGCGATGGTAAAGAAATCACTGGACTGGGATTTGAGAGGCATACGAGTTAATGGGGAGGTTTTGTCGAACTTAAATCGTTCTAGAACAGTATCACTGAAATAGAGACGATACCGAACTAATTGAACAAAGTAGAGAAGGTGAGACTTGAGCCGACACTTTGGCCACCTCGAAAGCTATGGACCACTCACAGGACGCTTGAGGGCAGTCTTTGAAGATCAACACAAATGACTTTCGGACTTTGCAATACAGGTATGAGGAAAGGATTCTTTGTTCTTGACCTACTGAAATAAGTTGCGAAAGTGACATGGACGGGCCGGTCAAATCATCATGCGAAGAACAGATGAATGGATATCAAGAATAACAGAGTGAAATCCTCGCGAAGCAAAACGTCCCTGAGGAAAACCACCAACGAGATGGCAGACATGTTCGGGGAACGGATGGACGTCTGATAAATCAGCCATAGACGACTTTCGCTCCCGGAACACTCGGAATCAGCTCTGCAGACAGAAAAGAAGATTTTGGGTGTCCGAAGCGAGGGACGGGAACCATTAAACTTTTGTACCAGCGCTTGCAGGCCATACGAAGCCGGATCATCGGAGCATCTACAAGGGAGGGTCGCGAAGTTGAAGTTGCCGATCACTACAAGATATGTATGATCACAAGAAGCTTATAGCTCTGATTTCAAATCTGCCTTTGTTCTGCGGGACCCTTCCGGGAAGGAAGTTATGAATTTACAAGGCCGAGAGTGGCCGAAGTTATCAAGAAGTATCATTTCGAAGTCAGACCTACTTGCAACAGTTTATCCAGGCTTAATGTAGTGCTTATCCCAAAATGGTTAGCCCAGGGCCTGGCACCAGCTGGAACGGGGCAAGCTGGATATCGTTTTTGGGGCAAAAAGCAAAGGGGGTTTCGTTTTTGTGGGCGAAGACATACGGAAAATTGGAGGCGGCGACCTTTTTTTTTTTTTTTTTTTTTTTAGTCGACGTTTCGTTTTTTGGGGGATTTTGGGGATTTTTTTAGGATTTTAGGGGGGATATCGTTGAGGATCAAAGGGGACTTCGTAAAATTTCCCAAAAGTCAAGGGGGACTTCGTAAAAATTGGCAAATTTCAAAGGGGACTTCGTTTTCAAAATTCCCTGGTGCCAGCTCGTGCCGAGCCCTGGGTTAGCCTGTTAGCGCAAGAGGCAATTTGAACCATTTCGATTATTTGTAAGTAATCAGGATCATGCAAAATTCAATAAAAAACGCCCATTTCCATCCCAGAAAAATGTTCTGCGGATATGAGAGGCAATTTTGAAATCAGCACTCCAATTTCTTTGTAAAGGTATTCATTTTGTAATCGGGCACTTCGATTCCGCGACCCTCTCTTGTGAATAAGTATTCGGACATGTCTAAGGTGTAGCGGTTTATGGTTGTGTATCATTGCACTTAACCTCGAGTCATTTGTGACTCAGTATGTGAGATTCACACTAAGCCCTATTAGCGACGGCACCCATACTATAACTTCCCAGTAAAACATTTTCTAGCCTACCAAAATGTAGAAATGTATTCTGCTGACTAACATATAACCAACTAAACAAAAAAAAACAAGGAAACAAGGAGAAATACTGGACATGAGCAAGTTTTAGTTTCGCAGTTCGTCAGTTAGCGTGTATAGTGTGCACCACGCATATAGAATTACAAATGACTCGACGATATAAAGATCTCGTATTGCTTCTAATGACTGATAATCAAGACGAGCTAAATCAATGTTTGTTCGGTACTTCTTTTCGTGGTGCAAATTGAGTGTACAGACTAAGAAAACATTGATCGGAAAGTAGAGTAAGTAAATATAATAGCGTGCAGAGTACAAGTATTTCCGGAAATAGTGTTGGCCTTTAAATCTCACTTCTTTCCATGTAGGAATTCCTACTCCTAACGGCGGCAAATTAGTATTGACATTCAGGTGATTGGTTTCATGGCTCAATGTGCTCCTCGAGGGCCCACTGTTGGAAAGATGTGGGACTGCGCATCATCTCGAGCTGACCACACCCCATGTTGTCGTAGACAAGGAGTAAGTGATTTTCGCTGAGATTCAAGGCTTAATTGAACTTTTCAAGGTGATCGACCAATGTCTCGTTTACTGCGAGACTACAAATGGAGTGCCGACGGATTACTTGAAATACATAGTGTGCCTCAGCCAGTTCGACAAAATCCGTTTTTGCTTCAAAGAATATCTTCAACACAACCCCAATATCAATGGAGAATTTTGAAAACATTGAAATGCTAAAGTCAAGCAGTGGTGATCTCACCGTGTCGTCATGCAGGAAGCAATCCGTTTTGATTGACGTATTTGTGATATTGTACATTATAGTATCCTCGTAACCTGCACCTGTATGTATCAGCTATTATGCTTCTTTTATATACGCTCCTTTCAATAAGTCTGTGAATGGATTGAAATAACCTTGAATTGAAGTCATTTTGCAATCAATTCATCAGCAGATTCAATTTTGAAGATCCGTGCTATGAAAGCATGTGGTATGCAAGGCATTATTGTTTTTATTTGAAATACAAGATGGTTGAAGGCGATGAAAAATAGTAGCTAAATATTCCACTGTGCAGCTCTTCATTTCGATCTGTTGCCAACAACATAATGCCATTCATAAAGACCTCTTTTATTTTGGTCGAAACTCGCCAATCTTTTCTTACAACTCCTTGTATGCTCCTCATATCTCTGGGTAATAAGGAGAGCAAATGTGCCTATGTGGCACTCAGAGCGAGTCTGGTAATTAGATACTTCAAAGAAGATGTCTCTTAGAGTATAATTGTCACAGATGTGCTGCGTCTTGTCTACTTGAAGTCCGTGAAGTCTACTTGCACAGTCCACGCTTACTTCCCACGATTTGACTTGTTCCCAGGGCGGTATGTATCAATCGCCCTCTGGGTGAGGGCTCCCATTCAGGAAGTATCTGCTTGCTCAGCTCGGTGCTCCTGGGATCTATGTTCTTCCTTGTTTGTTCATTGTTTGGAGAGGCTCTACTACCTCGATATTGTAGCGCAATGAATTGCAGTACTTTGCTGGAGAAATAATTCATTACTTGTATTCCAAACGGAATTTCTCTCGGATCACGGCTCATTTTCAAAGTTATTTGCATAATACTTGCAAAAACTCAGTGAAAACGTCTTAAAGTTTTACTGTCGATCTGTTAAGTCAGTGCTACGCATGTTTTAGCAGCACAGATAAAATGTGGAGTTTCTGAGAAGATTTCGTGAACTTGATTTTCCACTTACTTCTTTCACAAACATGTTTAGCACTGTTGTAATAAATTGTCAGCGCAACTTTACGATGTTTCCATTGGGTTTTTGCAAAGGTAAATGATCTCGAAAATAAGCTGATCCCGTGGGGTGGGGATCCCTTTCGGGATCATAAAAACAACAAATTATCTAAGCTCATACAGCAAACTGCTGCTATTCATTATGCTACAATACCAGGGTAGTAGAGCCTCCAAAAGAAGAACAAGCAAAAGAACGCAAATCCTCAGAGCACCGAGCTATGGAGGGGATACTACCTGCATGGGAACACTTACCCAGACGGGCGATTGATACATACCGCTCTAGGCCATTTCAGACTGCGCTTATAGATCCGGAAGTTCGCACAGTTCCAGCTGTGCGTTCAAGCTGCTCAAACCGTGCTAGCACTGTGCTGAGTGCGTCGCAGCATACCAAGATATTTCTCGCCTCACGATGCAGTACTAAGCGGCGGGGAGTAGCTGCGTTGAATGTTCCTCGTATTTATCGCAGGTTTTGCTTCTTTTCGCCTCATTGTACGTCCCTTGCGCTTGCAATAAGATAAGTTCCAAACTTGGAGCTTGGTCTGAGAGTGAACGTGTGAGTGAGTGAAGTTCTTTCCGATGAAGGTGCGTGGTGTCGGCCACGAACTCCGAAAATTTTTTTGGTATGCTCCCTAAGATTTTCGCGTGCGCAGAACCCCGAAATTTCAGAAAAAGGGGGCGTGGCGTTGGCCACGCTCCCGAAAAAATTTTTTTATAAGGCTGAAACGAATTTTTTGAAGATTTTAAAAAATATTTTATTTATTTACAAGTGCAGACAAGTCATTTGCACAATCTCATAACCCATGTAAGTAACTTTCAAAAATTCTGCGACAAGTTCTCCGGGGGGTGGGGGGGGGCCGGTACGTCACTGGTTCCACAATATACAGGGTGTCCCAAAAAAATGTGCCTACTGTTTGATTGTTAATAACTCACTTGTAGTAAAGTCTTTAGAGAAGCTTTGGGTACCATTTTGTTTTGCAGGATGAAGCAAGTCGTCGATCGCTCTTCATTACTGTAGAATTACGGTAAGAACTTGAAGAGGGTTTTGAGCCATAAAAGGCTATATTTTGTCAAAAAGGAACCAAAAAAACCGGAAAACTCTCACACTGGGCTAATTAGAGCTGCTGGTTCTGAGTATGAAGTTTGCAACTTATCATAATGCTTCATTGAAGAGTTACGCGAGATAAGCAGTAGCGGCCATTTTTTCAGTGTTCCTAAAAAGTGCGTTTACACCGTTTAAAAAACTTCGCAGTCTTTTGAATAGTTGAGTATTGAACACTCAGCGTCCATAAAAATCCTATTTCACAAGTTTTCACATTTTTTTGAAAATTTCTGAAACGGCAGCTTTTTCCATAGTGACACCATATGTTTCAAGTTTCTACCGTAATTCTACAGTAATGAAGAGCAATCGGCAATTCGCTCCATACAGCAAATCTAAGTTGAAGCCAGCTCTACAAAATGGTACCCAATGCTTCTCGGAAGACTTCACTACAAGTGAGTTATTAACAATCAAACTGTAGGCACATTTTTTTGGGACACCCTGTATAATATATGCTTCAAAAGTATTTTCGCTTTTTATGCGGCTTCCACAATTCGCAGAGCAAAGATCTATAGAGGATCTTGCCCGCATTCGATGCACTTTTCATCCTCTAAAAAGTCGTACATCAGTGAACGAGTCCTAAAAATCACTAAAATAAAACCCAAGCTTTTAGCCATGGTCAACCTCTGTTATTTCTCTGAAATTTTAACACTGATTCCCGAAGAAACCCAAATTCACACCTTAGAATTTTTACAATCATCCCTTGTTTGTATTAGTAAAGCCTTCGGGAAATTCAATATAACGTTTTTGAACGCGCACCAGAATGAAAGCGAAATCTTTTGAGGCAACTTGATATGATAGCAGTTGCAGCTTCAAAGACACTGTGCTGGCTGATCCTCGACTTCATGTTTTATCCTTTACTTTCCTTGACCTTCCCATGGTCATGATGTCAGATATAAAGTACAAAAAACGTGAAAATTTCCAGAAACACTTTTTAAGGTTTTTTCTCGGAACGCGGAGTACTCGAGCCCCACTCCTATCTTATGCAACAAGGAATCTATCATCTGCTTGACGTTAACGCATCGAGGGGAAATCGCTGAATGGGCGGACAAGGAGTTAGGCTCACCCATGGAGGCATACCCTCTATACATAGAGCCTCGTACTCTGGTAACTTTCACTTTGAGAACTATGAGGGGACACAACCTTCACCTGAAAAAAAAAGAACATCCGCGACTTCGCCCCGGATGTTATTATCCTGACTATTCGGAACAAATGTTAATGAAGTAAATATAGGGAATAATATATTAGGTATTATTCCCTTACCTCTCAGCGAAACCGAGAATTTGCGTTTTCATGCATTTTACGTCCAAAAAAAGTTTCTATGGAATTTTCGCCAGAATTCATGACAACATTTGTCACTTCACCTCTCATTTGACCAAAATCGAGTTTCAAAAGTTTAGGAAAGCTATTGAAGTTAATTGGAAACGAGAAACTGCGCTTAAATCTTGCGCAGAGAGCTGCGCACGAAAACGCTGGTCTATCTTGTTAATGAGTGATTTCCAAAGCTTTGGACGTTGTCAGTTCTCCTCGTTCTGTCATGACGATCAGAATGATATACAATGTTACAGGGTTTCGTTGAGGCCCCGCGGAGATCTACGACCAGAGTCAAATGCCCCGTCGGCTCTGGTCTGTCTCCGCTGCTTGTCTGCGTCTCCAAGCGCTGCGCGCTACCTCGCTACCCCAAACGCGGGGCGCGGGCATTTGGCTCTGGTACCCTTTTCTTCGCTGTTTCGAACCCAATTTTAGCAAGCTATATATCATTTTGAAGCTCTTGATCTTTACTTTCACGCTGATAACGTCCCAAAACCACTATTCTTGATTTGAACGAGAAATCCGGCAAAAACCTTGTTTTCAAAAATCTATTGGTTTTTCTCCCACTTTAACTCTTTTCACCCCGTTTTTTCGTGCATTCTATAGATCTTGCTTCTGTTTATAATGCAGACAACCACCCCTTTACCTTTTCGATTATGATGGAATTTTTTGCGAAAAATCGTAAAGAATGCGTTTTTCTTTACCTTGTTCTGTTTCAGTGCTTTCGCAGCGATTTTTTTTTCCAGCTTGGGCGATTGTTGCTCAGAACAGTGAGCGCAACAATCCAGACAACGTCCCAGGAAACAGGAACGTCAATGTGGGGGTAAAAATTTAAAGGACGCATCAAAAATTAAATTTGGCTTCGACGTTCTTTTCGACTTAGTAAAAAAGAAATTTGCATTTTCATAACTAATTTCTTTCCTTTTTGTCTTCTTCTTGATGACCACTCCTTCCAAAACATGTTTTTTGAAACTATCACAAAAAGAAACTAGCTCTTCTTCGCTTTCCCCGTGCTACGAATTGCTGGTCCGGGAGCGAAAACTTGCGCTTTGAAAAGCCGCCAAATGAAAGATTTCAAACCTCATTGCAGCATTTTTATCCGGCTTTCGGCAGTTTTTTTGCTTTTTATCACTATTTATGACGTCAGATTTCCAAACAACCTTCACTTTTGACGACCTGTCTCTGGACTATCGAAGGTATGCATGAAGGCCTAGCCGGACTTCCGCCTTCTTCATGCGAGGCGTTTTTTCCATCGGAGACCACCTTTTTCAGTTGGAAATCAGCAACTGCGTTAGTTGGGAGACCTGCTAAACCCCAGTATGCCTGAACAATGCCTTCAAGAAAACTTTCATTGTCATTGTAGCTACGCTAACTCAGATTCAACTCGTACCTATAGTTACAAATGGCTGCGAAGAACGCGCCCCCTGGCCCAGTGCAAATCTCGCTTCCGCGCGGGACTCCTGCCGAGTGTTTGCACACGCCCTATAACTTTCTCACAAAGCAAACGACGCTTAGACGAAACGACTACTTT